CCACTTGAGGTAACGGCACCCGGGGTCAGAGTGTCTGAGTTCAAGTCCCAGCTCCACCGATGCACTCCTTGGGAAGCAGGAAGGCACACTCAAGCGCTGGGTCCCGTCCGCTCACAGAGGAGCCCTGGCTGGGAGCTCACTCAGCCCTGGCTGTTGCGGGTATTTGGGGAGAAAAGCAGCTCACGAAAGGCCTCTTTCTCTCTGTCTTTCAGATAAAATGAAGGTCAACAAAGTGAATAAAGTTAAGATGAATCAAGGCGTCGCAGATCCCACCCCAGGCTCCGGGAGGAGCAGCCACATGGGCAGCCCTGTGCAGAGCCTGAACGGCCAGCCTCCCACGCACTGGCAGCACCCACCTGCCCCACAGGACAGGGAGCCACCCCTGGAACAGCCCTTCAGGCCTCCTCACAGCCCATCTGCAGGTGGGCACACTTATCCCTGTTTTGTAAACAAGAACACTTGGGCCCAGAGAGGTTGGGTCACTTCCCAAGTTCAGCTTATGTAGGAGGTGACGTTCAGGAACTCCGGGTGGTCTCCCACCCCTGTGATGTGAGGTGGCACTGGGTGAGGAGATGCCCACTGTGGCCCTGCTGCCGGGAGTCGGCACGTCTGAGCCTGTGCTGCCCCCTGCTGGCCAACTCTATCCTCCCTGAGTTCCTGAGTGTGAGCTAACGTGTCCACAGTTCGATTCTAGTACCACAGTTGGAGCTGGAATCTGACAACCCACGACAGTGCCCTGGGACAGAAGACCACACAAGAAGCATGTGAGCGCATCTGCTTGGTCCGTATGTCTGAAGCAGCGGCCCCCGTCCAGGAGCTGCAAGATGAAACCAAAGAAACAAATGGGGAAAGTGAACTCTGTCCCAGATGCAGCAGAACGGGCCACAAACCACTAGAATATTGTCTTAGAAAAGGAAAACTTTGAGGCCTGGCTCAGTGACCTAATGGTTAAAGTCCTCGCCTTGAACATGCCTGGATCCCATATGGGTTCTGGTTTACATCCCGGCAGCCCTACTTCCCATCCAACTCCCTGCCTGTGGTCTGGGAAGGCACTCAAGGACAGCCCAAAGCCTGGGGACCCTGCACCCACGTGGGAGACCTGAACGAAGCTCCTGGCTACAGACTGGCTCAGCTCCGACCGTTGTGGCCAATTGAGGAGTGAACCAGTGGACAGAAGTTCTTTCTGTCTCTCCTCCTCTTTGTATATCTGACTTTCTAATAAAAAATAAACAAACCACAGCACAGCACATTATGCCTTTGCCTGACACATCAGCATCCCATATTAGTGCCAGTTTGAGTCCCAGCTGCTCCACTTCTCCTCCGGCTCCCACTTGTGGCCTTGGGAAGCAGTAGAAGATGGCTCAAAGCCTTAGGACCCTGCAGCCACGTGGGAGACCTGGAAGAGGCTCCTGGCTCCTAGCTTCAGATCAACTCAACTTGGGTTGTTGTGCCCATTTGGGGAGTGAACCAGCAGATACAAGATCTTTCTCTCTGCATTTCCTTCTCTCCATAAATCTGATCTGCCTTTCCAATAATAATAATTAAGTCTTAAAAATGTACTTTTTCTGAGACAGAGACACAGAGGGACCGCTCCGATCCACCGGTTTGCTCCTCTGGGACTGCACCAAGCCAAGGCTGGAGCCTGAGAACTCAGTCCCACCCCAAGGGCTGGCAGGGACCCAGTGATCTGAGCATTACCTCCCAGTGTGCCCAGCAGCAGGAAGCCAGGGACGGAGCCCATGTGCCCCAATGTAGGATCAAAGGATCCAGCGTCTAGGACGGAGCTCACTATTTCTCGGAGAGGTGCCTTGGGAACTCGTCAAAAATCCCACAGCCCTTGGCAGACAGGCTCCAGCCGAAGCATCCCAGAAGCCACTTCGTGGGCCAGAAGCTCTGATGTCATTCCCCGCACACTCCTGTCCTTACTCTTGGGCCACTGTCGCTTACGCTCTGCAGGGGGTCCATCTGCAGGTGCCTGGAAGAAGAGCGGAGCTGACAAAGGATGCTACACTTGGGGAGTTAACACACCTGTGCTGGCCCACATCAGAATACCCGAGTTCTGTGCCTGACCCCAGTTGCCAGTGACACAGACTCTGGGAGAGGTGAAAGTAATGACCCAAGTTGGGCCCAGGGGAGAGACACAGACTGGAGAGTGAACCGGCACATGAGAGATCTATATGCCTTGTGTAAATCAAAATATCAAAAAGCAGACATTTAGGGCTTGGCGCAATAGCCTAGTGGCTAAAGCCCTCACCTTGCATGTGCCTGGATCCCATATGGACACTAGTTCTAATCCCAGCAGCTCCACTTCCCATCCAGCTCCCTGCCTGTGGCCTGGGAAAGCAGTGGAGGATGGCCCAAAGCCTTGGCACCCTGCACCCGTGTGGGAGATCTGGAAGAAGCTCATGGCTCCTGGATTTGGGTCGGCTCAGCTCTGGCCGTTGCGCTCACTTGGGGAGTGAATCATCAGACAAAAGATCTTCCTCTCTGTCTCTCCTCCTCTCTGCATATCTGACTTTGCAGTAAAAATTAAATACATCTTTTTAAAAAATAGATAAAACTTTTAAAAGCAGACATGTAAAAGAAGGCACCTATTCTTTTCCTTGTTCACAGGCTTGCAAAGGCTTTAAAGACATACAAAGTATGGGCGGGGCTTACGGAGACAGGTCTTCTCCCATTCCCTTGTAGGTATTTGGCCTTTAGCAACAGCAGTCGCACCAGCTACCATTTTAGTAATGGTAAGTGTGCATACCCTCCAGCCCACCTCAGAGAAACATCTGCATGGCAGGAGTGGGAGCTCAGCCTGGTGGGCACGACGCCCACACCCACCCTGAGTCTGGTCTGCCTCCCTCCTCCCGGTCATGCAAACCCCAGAGGTTTGAGCAATGGGGTTCCTGCCACCGTCGGGGTGATCTGGATTAGGGGATGACCCGGCAGATGGGAGGCCTCTGCCTGTCAAACCGAGCAAGAATTTGAAATATTTTTAAATATGTTATATTTTTAAATTGAGACACAGGAGAAGAGCACTGATCCCTAACCTCCTCTTCTACGAACAGAACAAGATAAATTAAATTAGAAGGGAACGTGTCGCTCAGTCCCTGATTTTGAATGCACCCTAACCCCATGGCAAATGCCATGGGACATAAATCGTTCCTGTCTCTTCCTGAGAACACAGACTTAATCTACAGGTGTAATGCTGCACCTAAAGCGCATGCACTGAGCGGGGCTGTGTGCCACGCAGCTGACAGCGGAGACACACGGAGCACTCAAAGCTTGGAGACCACAGACAAACCAAAACAGCAAAAATCCAAACAGCAGAGGCCGCAGACCGGGGAACACCTGGAGTGTTAAAGCCAAGCACTCCCAGCACACAGGCGTGAGGCGCGCTGGGTCGATCGTTTGCAAAGAGTGTGGCTTGTCTATGCCCCAGTGTCCTCAGCGGTGGCTTAGACCAGGGCATGGCGCAGTTCATATCAGGGCTGGACCCCACCAGAGCAGACTCCACTCAGGGCTAAGACCATCTGAAGCCCCACATGCAGGTGGACAGGTGCCACCCTCATGGCTGCTACCACCCTTCATCTCTCATCTCCATCTTGGTCCCTGAGGGCCGTCCTCCTCCTCCTGGAAGCCAGAGTGACCCTCTGAAAGCACAAATCAGGAACCTGGGGCAGCAGCCTAGTGCTTAACGTCCTCGCCTTGCATATGCCAGGATCCCATATGGGCGCTGGTTCTAATCCCAGCAGCCCCACTTCCCATCCAGCTCCCTGCCTGTGGCCTGGGACAGCAATCAGGACAGCCATAAGTCTTGGGATCCTGCACCCACATGGGAGACTGGAGGAGGTTCCTGGCTTCAGATTGGCTCGGCTCTGGCCATTGTGGCCACTTGGGGAGTGAATGAGCAGATGGAGGATTTTCCTCTCTGTTTCTCCTTCTCTCTGTAAATCTGCCTTTCCAATAAAAATAAATCTTTTATATGTAATACATGTTAATATTATATATTAATTATATATTATATATTAAACATAATAAATGCAATATTGTATATTAACATATATTAAGAGTATACAATTATATGTAATACATGGCCATATATAATGTATATTTTATCATATATTATAATATCATATATATAATATATATGTAATGGACCCAGTGCAGTAGCCTAGTAGCTAAATCCTCAGCTTGCATGTCCCAGGCGCTCATATGGGCATCGGTTCATATTCCAGCTGCTCCACTTCCCAACTAGCTCCCTGCTTGTGGCCTGGGAAAGCAGTAGAGGTCAGCCCAAGGACTTGGAACCCTGCATCCACGTGGGAGATCAGGAGGAAGCTCCTGGCCTTGGATCAGCTCAGCTCCAGCAGTTGCAGTCACTTGGGGAGTGAACCACAGATGGAAACTCTTTCTCTGTCTCTCCTTCTCTCTGTATACCTGCCTTTGCATAAAATAAAAATAAATAAAAATTTTAAATATATGTATATCGTTGCTTGGTGACGTCGAAAAACTATGGATTCTGTGTGATTTTTCCCCATTTAAAAATAACACGCTTTTCAAATCCAGGAATCTCCTAACGCAGGAACTACACCTCAGCTGCGGCAGACAGCAGAAGTCAGGAGCACGGATGAGGGGCAGGATGGGGGGCTGGAGGAGAGCGTGGGAGCCAGGTGCACGGCGCGCTTGTGAGTGGGTAGCAAAGGAAACGCAAAGTGCCGTGTACCTTGAACCTTCAGGAGCTGGCAGGGTCACCAGCCGGGTGTGGTGGAGAGCGCCTGCTTCCAGCACGACCACCCCTTCCGTCCGGCCAGCGCAGCCTCGGGGACCTGACTGCAGGCGGCGCTCAGTGTCCCCAGGTGAGCGCTCGCGGACGCGCCGCGGGGCCCAGTGCGCGTGCGCCCAGGTGCGCTCCCCGCCGCCCCGCCTCCCGGGCTTGGCCACCTGCCCGGGAAACTTGGGTTTGCCTGTTGCCCTCGGGTCGCTCCCGCGTCTGGACACGGAACCGGGCCATGGAAAGCAGGTCGGGGACTCGCGCGTCCCGGGCCCTTCCGCGAGAGCGGGACCCGGACCGGCGCCCCCGCGAGCGACCGCGGGACAGACCCGACGACCGGCGCCGGGAGCGCAACGGGGAAGCGCGGAGGGACGGGGACCGGCGAGGGGGCCGAGGCCCCCGTCCGGACAGACACAGGGACGCGGGCCATCGCGCCGCGGGACACGGGGAGCGCGACAAGCCTCGCCAGAGCCGGGAGCGCGACGGAAGCCGGGGCGCAGCCTGGGACGCGGCCCCGCCCCCCTGGCCCGCGCCCTGGGAAACCCCGGAGCCGCCGCCCCACAGGAAGGAGGGCTTGGGGCGCCGCGCCCCGGAAAGGTGAGCTCCACCTCACGCCCTCAGAGGGCGACGGGGGCCCGCGCAGAGACCCTCACCTCGAGGAGGGACGCCAGGTTCACGAAAGGCTAGCCGGCCTGCTGTGGGGGTCCCGGGGACGAGGCGACCCTGAGGCGCTGCTCGCGGCGGAAGTTCCTCGCGTCCTGGGGGCCCGATTGGGTTCCCTCGGTCGGGGGCCCGCGGAGAGACTGCGCATGTCCGGAGCCCCCGCGCTGCGCTGGACCCCCAGCTCCTCCCAGAAGCCTAGTGTGCCTTAGGGCTCACACCTGTTCCGATGTCCGCAGGGAGGTGTGCACCCTCCAGCGGAACAAAGCCGGCTCTTCTGTGGTCCTTGGGATTTTGTGAGCTGGGTACACTGGGCAGCAGGCCCTCTGGTCCCCACATCATTTACTTGTAGGGTCCTTCCCCCACCAGCCGGCCCCCATCTCACATTCATTCACCTTGCACAGACGCTAATGAATGCGCAGATTCTGTGCTTAGCACTGTGGCCTGTCCCTGCCCCGCTCCCACGAGGACACCGACAAACACACACACAGGACCTGATGGCCACTTTAGGCCTCTTGATACCCCTGGCTCCTGACTTGGGCCATCGGGAGGCTGAGCCCAGCCTGTCCGTTGTATGTCAACACAGCCGGAAGGCTGGTCTCTGGAGTTTACTGGTCGTTATCTAAAACCAACTCGCAGGACAAAAGGTGCGCCCGCAGCAGGTCACAGGGCAGCTGGCTGCTGAGGGCTCCCTGGCGGCGGCCACGGTGCACTATGGTTGCTGTTTGGCTGGTGGCATCCAGTGGCAGCGGTTAGGTCAGGGTTGGTTTAAGGACCAGCAGCCACCCACCCACAGCTGGGATGTGGATGGGAACCCAAGAGTGATTTTTGTCTTGTCCTCCACTTACCATTTATTTGAGGCATGGGTTACAGGACCTCTCCCCTGCCTCCCTGCCGTGGTTACTGGACCCACTGCAGCCCAGCACTGCACGTTCCTTTTTGCATCGAACAGCTGGGCCTCTGGTGAGAATCAGGCGAACTTCCTGGAGGAACTAACCGCTAGAGAAAAGGTGCAGGAAGGGACAGACGAGGAGCACAGGGCACAGAAGGCCTTCCCGGAAGAGGAGTAGCTTCTGCAGAGACTAGGGTAGGGGGCCTCGCAGAGGTGACCAGGCTGTGCTGTGACGCCCTGGGCTGGCCAGCCTCGCAAGTAACTTCACGGAGGTTGGATCTGTGCGGAGCTGAGAGCTTTGGTTCCTGCAGGAGGAGGCTCACTGCTGCCTAGTTGGGCAAACTCCCAGGGGCAGAAAGACCTGTCCTGGCTCCATGTCCCATCCCAGCTTGCTCTCGGGCAGTGAGTGATTGCACGGGGTCTGGGTTCCCAGCCGTTCGTGGAGGAGACCCAGCTGCTTCCTGGTCTTGGGCTGCCCAGCCCTTCTCTGGGGCCACCCTACGGGGAGTGAACAGCGGCTACAAGATTTCTGTCCCTATCTTTCTGTTTCAGTCTCTCTGTGCTCAGTCTCACTGCTTTCAAAAATTAAATATACATATATATATACACACACACATTTAGAAAAATAATTTTAAAATAATTAAAATGGTTCCAAGGCTGTGCTCATGTGTGCTGGCTTGTCTGGGGAGCAAGTGTGTGAATGTTCTGGAACGCTTCTGTGAGGTCTACCATAATATAACAAACTGTACTTGTGTCCTGCACATTGTCTCACACATGGGCCCTGTGCAAGGAGCCCCATGTCCTCGTAGCACAGCACGCTGGGGGCTCAGACATATGTCATAATGGGCATGTGTGTTTTTTGCTTCTAGTGAATTCACGTCTGGGAGATACATGCCCTCGAACCCCAGGCCTGGGCTGGAGGAGGTGGAATTTGCCCAGTCAGAGGCCAAAGGACTCCTGGACTGCCACAAATGCAGATACCTGTGCACGGGCAGAGGTGAGCCGTTGGGAGAGAGTTGGCAGCCATCACTGTCTCTCGGGGTGGGGTTGAGCTATGGGCCGCGCACATGTCCCTTTGGGGTCCCTGGGATTTCCATCTTCAGCCCTGTGTGAGAGCCTCATGACAAAGGGACAAGTGCTGCTGGCTAACGAGCTTCTTGTTTGGAACCCTGGGCCTGAAGAGTCAGAGGGGTTGGCATTGGGGAGGAGGGAGCCGCGAGCAGGAGGGCTGCCTGCCTGTGAGCTGTCAGCTGTCAAGGGCGGCTCCTCGGGTAAGGTGGGCCAAATGGGGTGGGGGACTCTCCTGCAGCCAAGCTGCTGCTCACACCACAGGGACCCTGGCATTCTCCCCAGAGACACTGGGACCCCTGGCTGCGTTAAGAACCGGCTCCCACAGACGAGGAAGCCAGTTTGTCCAGAAGGTAGACCTACCCTCTGACGCAGCAAGTGCTCGACAAGCTCTGCGCTGTTGGCATTCAAAACAGAACTTTAAAACTCAGCCCAAGGGGCCCACCTGCAGCCTGAAAGACACTGAAATAAGATCAGATGTGAGCCCCGAGCGTGGTTCCCAGGGCTGTCGTCTGAGCCCTGGTGCCTGGCAGCAATGAGGAAGATCCGGTTAGTTCAGAGCAAGTGCTTGTGTGACTCAGGCGATGGGCTGGTGGGGGCGCAGAGAAGTGTCCCTGGCTGGGCTGTCTGTAGATGATGGACAAGAGCGAGGAGAGTAAAGGTGCCAGCCTCGGGAAGAAAAATCACAGGAAGGGAAGTGACTCCTCCCTAAAGGTGTAGCTTGGCACGGTAACTGCCAATATGATTGTAGGATCAGGACATTTGCTGCCAAGGCTGTCGGCCTTCCGGGCAGTGAGTACTGGCTGGCCGCCGTTCCCCTAGCAACTCCTGAGGCTCAGACAGGGAAACACTGACACTGTCCTCACATGGTTTACTTGCTTAACCTTGCTGTTCTTGAGGATACCAATCACAGGAATGAGCCAGAAGTTGGCTAACAGGTTCCTGTGTACAGACTTTTTTTTTTTTCTCTCTGTGATTGATTGACCAAGATGGGAGGGCAGCGCTTGGAGCTTCTGACCCAAGTATGCCTTGATTTAGCTTTGATAACTTCTGGCTACGTGGCCTCAGGAAGTACTAACCCTGGATATGCAGAGGCCCAGAGAAGCAGCCGTCAGACCCCGGGAGAAGTGGGCCTGCACAGAGGTCGCACCCAGGCCCCTGGAACTGTGCTAGCGTGTACCCTGTGTGACTGCCTTTCCTGATTGGTGAGACACAGTCCCCCACACTCACCCGCAGGAGTGAGAGGCAGGTGCAGCCTTCCCTGGCTTCCTGAGGAAACCCCCAAAGCATGGCTGTGCTTTGTGTCCAGGAAGTTCAGTGGAACATAGTGGGAGACAAATGGGAAGAGATTTACCCTGAATTCTCTTGAGTGAGTAAGAACTTTAGTGGATCAAGAGGGAGGGTAGGAGAGGGCAGATGGAAAGCATGCCCAGATGTTTGAGGCACACGTCAGGCCACAGGAGCCTGGGCACCTGTAGGGTGTACCTTTTTGAGACACAGGTGGCGAGTCAGCGGTTCCCAGCAGGAAGCAACATTCCCATCAGGCCACAGAGCACCTTCTCACCTTTCGCTCTTTCTCTCTTGCCTTAGACCCTTAGTACTCAGATCAGAGGCATGGGCATCTGGCTCCAGGCTTGCCTGCAAAGCAGCTTTAAAAACTTAATTTTGTTAGGGCCAGCACAGTAGCCTAGTGGCTAAAGTCCTTGCCTTGCACACTCCAGGATCCCATATGGGCACCAGTTCGTATCCCAGCACCCCTGTTTCCCATCCAGCTCGCTACTTGTGGCCTGGGAAAGCAGTGGAGGATGGCTCAAAGCCTTGGGACCCTGCATCCGTGTGGGAAACACAGAAGAAGCTCCTGGCTCCTGGCTTTGGATCAGCACAGCTCCGGCTGTTGCAGCCACTTAGGGAATGAATCAGTGAATGAAAGCTCTTTCTCTCCGTCTCTCTTCTCTATATATCTGACTTTCCAACGAAAATAAGTAAATCTTAAAAAAAAAAAAAACTTAATTTCCTCTCAAGACAGTTGCCATTTCTATAGTCAGAAGTTCCTCTCGCTCACCCAGAGCCTTGAGATGTAGCTTCTGAGTTCCTGTTTCAGAGAGCTCCCATGCATTGGTTTACTCCCCCAAAGGGTGGAAACTGAGTCAGGCTAAGCCAGGAGCTGGAAACTCCACTCGGGTTTCCTACATGGGTGGGAAGACCCAAGCACTCAAGCTGTCACACACAGCCTCCCAGGGTACACTTCAACAGGAAGGTGGGACCAGAAGCGTTGGAACCAGGACTTGAATTGGGTGCTACCAGAAAGAGTGTGGGCATCTAAAGTGGCAGTTCAGCTGCCCTGCCCCATACCTGCCTCTGTAGCACTTCAGGAAGGACAAAACTGGTTTCTGATGAGAGGTGGCAGACCATTGGTCTCCTCGGGAGGAAGGTAAACCATTGAGCTGAAGCATTAGTAGGGAGATTCAAGGGCTTCATGTCTGGATGGTGTTCCCGTGGCAGATGTGTGTGTCAGAACTCCGCCAGCTGTATGCTCACTGGAGTCATTTGCAAGTTCTATCTCAGTGAAGTGGATTTTAACGAGAAGACAGCTTTCCTTGTCCAAGATAGAGAAGCCCAGGCTCCTGAAACAGTCCAGCCCTGGGAAAATATTACTGCCCAGATAAGTCTTTAAGGGACCTGACAGATTCCACTTCAACTTAGTAACATTGTTTGAAAGGCTGAATAAGAAGTGAGATGTAGCCACGCAGCTGGACTAGTTCAAAGCCAGGAGCCAGGAGCATCTTTCTGGTCTCGCACGAAGAGGCAGGAACCCGAGGACATGGGCAGCCTTCTGCTGCCTTCTCAGGTGCTTTAGTGGGAGGTGGACAGGAAGTGGAGCAGCTGGGACTCCCTGGGCACCTCAGGCAGTGGCTTTACTGGCTGCATCACAGTGTGCTGGCCCCGGAGCTCTGCAGTCTCTTCTGAGAACTCTCCTGTTAGCACCAGTAAGAGGAGATGGCTTTCTTAGTGCTTTGGGGGAGGGTGGGGTGTGTGTGGCATGTTCTTGCCCTACAGCGTAGGCTGCCTTTCTGGCTGCAAGCTCGCGACCTTCCTCCGGTCAGCTTCATGCCCACAGCCCGGGGCAGGCTGCCTTGCTCTTCAGGGAGTCCTGCTTTGCCGTCCAGAACATGTTGGTCATGTGTGGTGCCCTGCTGCCACCTGCCTCTGTGGATGTGGCTTTGGCTGAGGACCTTGGGATAGAGGGCCGGCACTGGGTGCTGCTGCTGGCGCAGGGAAGGTCGGCCTCGCGGTGGAGGAGCCTGCGTGTGCCGTGGAGCGACTCTCAACGTGGTCCCCTGCCCTGTCTTTGCAGCCTGCTGCCAGATGCTGGAGGTTCTCCTGAACTTGCTGATCCTGGCCTGCAGCTCTGTGTCTTACACGTCCACTGGGGGCTACACGGGCATCACCAGCCTGGGGGGCATTTACTACTACCAGTATGGAGGGGCTTACAGTGGTTTCAGCGGCGCAGACGGTGAGAAAGCCCAGCAACTGGACATCCAGTTCTACCAGCTCAAGCTGCCCACAGCCACCACGGCCATGGCCTACAGTGGAGCCCTCATGGGCTTCTCCTGCCTTCTGCTCGGTGCAGGCGTGTTGCGGGTGCCGTGGCACTGCCCGCCATGGCTGCTGGTGGAAGGCTTGCTGGACGCGCTCATCGCTGGGGCCTACATCCCAGCCTTATACTTCTACTTCCACCACCTCTCGGCCGCCTACGGCTCTGCCGTGTGTCAAGAGAGGGAAGCACTGTACCAAAGCAAAGGGTACAGCGGCTTCGGCTGTGCCTTCCATGGAGGTGACATAGGGGCTGGGGTCTTTGCAGCCCTGGGCATCCCTGTCTTTGCCATGGGGGCTGTCCTGGCCTTTAGAGGATTCCGGAAAGTCAGGAGACTGAAGGAGAAGCCGACGGAAATGCTTGACCTTTAGGATTTTCCCAGCATTCTGCCAAACATGAAGTGATCAAAGTCACCCCAAACCCAAGTCCTTGGCAAGAACACTTAGCTGGGGAGCCTGCCGGAGCCTGGAAAGCCAGAGGCTAACTTGAACACCAGCCGTGAAGGTCCTAGTTGCAAGGAGGGGCATTCTCTGAACCAACCCTGGTTTTTGGAATCTTCCATTAGTGAAGCATGATTGATATTGTGAACAATAGAGCCCGGGACCCACAGGGCAAAGGCTGCAGCCAGGTGTGGCTATAGGTTAGGTAAATGCAGTAACCCAGTGGATCTCAAGAACCTTCTCTTCAAATCTCTGAACAAGGCACAGACACATGAGCCCGCATCCCAGCCCCAGCCTATTTGCATCCAGCTGGAAAGTCCAGAACGTTCCCTGGCTAGCACTCTGGGTATCCCATGGGCGCTCCGGGAGGCCGCTTCTGTCCTATTTAAGTCGGAGACAGGCACAGGCTGAGGGTGTTGCAAAGAGGCAATCCAGCCGAAGCCCCTCTGCTGGGAGCATTTTGTACCTCAGCAATGTGCTGCTGCACCAAGCCTGGAAGCCGACATCTGGGACCCAGCATGCATCTTCGTTTCCAGAACATTATACTCTTGGTCATAGGCTTGCTGGGTTCTGACTGTGCAATACATCACGACCACAGACCTTGTCACGTGTGCCTGGTACAGGTGAATACCTTGTTTGATTTATAGGAATCCAAGAGAAACACCCAGAGAAAGACTCGCGTGATGCTGATTCTCTTGACTCTTAAGTTCTTGTTACGCTCTGTGGTACAAACAGCTGATTGCTTTAAACACGCAAGTGGTAGAGCCAGTGCGATGGCTCAGTGGTTACATCCTCACCTTGGCATGCACAAGGATCCCATACGGGCACCAGATCATGTACCAGCTTCCACTTCCCATCCAGCTTCCTGCTTGTGGCCTGGGAAAGCAGTCGAGGACAGCCCAAAGCCTTGGGACCCAGCACCCGTGTGGGATACCCGGAAGAAGCTCCTGGCTCCAAGCTTCTTATCAGCTCAGCTCCATTGTGGCTACATGGGAAATGAACCAGTGGATGGAAGATCTATCTGTCTCTTCTTCTCTCTGTAAATCTGCCTCTCCAATAAAAATAAACAAATCTTAAAAAAAAAAAAAGACATGAGTGCCATTCAGGTCTTAAGAACATTCAGGACGTATGGACTTCTTGAAGTAGATATAAAATCTCTTGAAGAACACAAAGGAAAGTATTCAGAGTATAACAGTGTTGTTTCTGGGGGAAAGGGAATTTTTAGAATTTTTTACCTTCTGTGTATCTTGATCACACATGTATTTATTTTTAAAAAAATAAAAATGAAAAAAAAATCTGCTTGGTCGTCTCCGCTTGTGTAGGGCCAATGTAGTAGAGGCAGGTGTCTCGAGCATTAGATGAGAAGACGCCAAGACCACCTGGCCCAGAAGGAGGCTGTGTGAAGTAAAGCTCCCGGTCTGTTCCAGGCTCCGGGTCCCTCTCCTGGGCTCCTACCGTCTTTCCAGAGACTCCGCTCTGCCCCACCTGAGACAGGCCACAGCGAGTCTTTTCTGACCCTAATGTGTGTGTGTGCGTGTGTGTGTGTGTTTCAGCATTGACCTGTTCGGTACTCTGCTGAACCAGGACTACTGTCCCAGTGCCGATGGAAACTGGCAGATGAGTGTCACTCCTCCCAATGGCTGCAATTAGTGGGTGGGTGGTTGATTGTCATGGCCTGGGTCTGTTGGTTTTCACTCAGCAGACATGTGCTGCATGGGTTGTGATGTGGCTGTTTTGCTGAATCTGACCCAGAAGGAAGGTGGTTGGGTGTCCTATGTCTTGCAATAGCCATGTTACTGTCTTCCCTCAGAAGATGAGACAGCGACAGCCTGCAGAGGTGCCAGGGCAGCAGCTAGAAGCAGCATGGCATCTGGGTCAGTGCTCTTGCTCTGCTGTAGGAATTGGGTGGCCTGGAGCTCATGGTGCCCAGGGGAAGAGTGGGCAGTGTGGGTTCTCCATGCCGAGCCCTTGACAGCAGGGTTTCATGGCCATCTTGGAGCCTGCAGGAATTTGCATGGGTGCCATGGAGTTGGGATCAGCAAACCTGCCAGCTGCCCATCTGAGTGCCTTCTGGTGGGACGGCAGTGTCTGTGGCACTCACCACCAGAGAGCCTCACCATAGCCTGGCAGGCATCTCCTTCAGGCATCAGATCAAGCGCCAAGACTGAGAGGTGCAAGGACATGGGAAAGATGACCAGGCAGTGAGGGGAGCGGAACCTGGTGTTCCCCAGCATGGGTTCCTTTGCTTTTCTCTGGGCTCCCATCTCCAAACCCCTCACAGTAACAGGGGACCAGCCTGGCTCCCCCTGCCTCCCCAGGGGACAACCCAGGCATCCATGGCAGAATCCTGCTTGGACACCATTGAATCCCCACACCGGTGCTGCAGGCCATGTTACCCACGTGCTCGTCCTGTAGGGAGTTCTCAGAAAACATCTCTGTTTTTCTGCCTCCTAGGTAACATGAGAATAACATTTAAAAGGTGGTCAGGGTGCACAGTTTGGCACAGCTGGTAAATCGCTGCCTGGAACAGTGGCACCCGATATTTCAGTAGCTAGTCCAAGCCCCAGCTTCTCCAGTTCCAGCCTGCTTCCCGCTGACGTACACCTTGGGAGGCAATAGGTGATGGCTCCAGTGCTTTGACACCTGGTACTCACGTGCGAGACCTGGGGGTTCCCTGCCTCCGGCCTCTGGCATGGCCCTGCTCTGTTGTTGCAAGAATTTAAGGAGGGGATCAGCAGATGGAAAATCCTCTCTGCCTTCCAAGTAAGAAAATAAACACGTAGTAAGCAGTGAAGTGTTTATATCTGTGAACAAGCAGAGGAGGAGCGTAAGTTGCAAATCTGAGTGTGCTTTAATTTGCATCCAAGGAACACTAGAAAGTTGTATGAGAAACTACTGGAAGTATTTAGGAACGTCAGCTTTCCCAGCTGATCCTTTACATCATTGTGGTGACCGCCCCCAGAGCCGGTTTAGGGCTCACCAGCTCCACGTGCACTCGTGTGTGTAGTTCTGTGTGACTGTCGCAAGCATGGAGCTGGGTCACTTCTAACAGCACCATCAGAGCCAGGTGCCACCCCCTCTCAAATCGCACCCATGCCCTTCCCCAGGCCACCTAGGGGTGCTCTGTAATTCTGTCCTTTTGAGACTTGGACAGAATCCTTGTCCCCTCTGGTCCTGGGCTTGCTCCACTCCTCACAGTTCCCCAGGGACCCCTGCAGTTGTTGACTGTCAGATCTCACTCCCTCCTGTAGCTGAGCGGAGGGCTCCGTGGAGCGCGGGTGCCAGTGGGCAGCCAAGAGCATCTAACACAGGGCTCTTTGAAATGAGCCTCCTGTGAGCAGTCCTGCACACATTTTTGTGTGGACAGAAGTTTGTTCAGAGCCAGTGCCCGAGAGTCGCGCTGCAGGATCACAAGTGCATTGAATGTTCCTGAGAAAGTGCCAACATTTTTTTTTTCTAAGAAGCATTTTGATTTTCCAGATTTACATGGCTATTAGAATCAAAACACTAGTCAGGAAGCCCAAACGAATCGTGGGGATGCTAACCGCCCGTCTCTCCCCTGTAGGTGTGGTGCACATAGTGGAGGTGATACTGAACGCCATGGTCCTCATGTGCATTGTGGCCTCGTACTTCGTCCTGGCCGGATTCAGTGCCAGCTTCACCACAGGGGGCGGCTTCGGGAGCAACTATTACTCACCATTTGAGGGCACAGAGCTGGAGCAGGTGCGGCAGCTGGACCAGCAGTACACAGTCCTCCGGGCACCCCTGATCTACGGCGGCGTGGCTGTCTCTCTGGGGCTGGGCGTCCTCACCATGGGCGTTTTACTCCAAGGAGCCAAGAGCCTCATGAAACTGCCTAGGAGGTGGCTGCTTCTGGAGGCCGCATCCAGCCTCCTCGCAGCCGTGGGCTACTGCGTGGGCATCGGCATTTACCTGCACGCCGCCTTGCAGATCAACTCCACGGACACTTGCAAGCAAAGGGAGAGGCTGTATGCCCGCAAGGGTCTCACCTGGATGAACTGCCAGCTAGCAGGCACCGATGGAGCGGCGGCCACCTTTGCCTGTCTTCTGGTCATCATGTATGGCATCAGCGTGGTGCTGGCCCTGCGGAGCTACCGGGAGCAGAGGCGTTGCCAGGACAGGCAAGGACAGCAGAGGTACCACGCCGATGCCCCGGAGTACCTGTGGTCCGGGACTCTCTGAGGACTCCTCTGGAACCGAAACGTGAGCCTCGCTACCCTTGTTTCTCTGCCATGAAGACAGGTCCTTTTACAGGCTTGATTCTAGGATCGCTGCTGTTGGTACAAAGTGCAAAGTTCAATGTCTCATCCTTCTCTTCTCCAAGGAGATAACAAGGTCCTGGTTGGCGGACTGTGAGAGAGCTTGAACACGCCGCGTCCATTTACTGCCAAGACCAAGGTCATGAGTCTGGGGAGCGCCCTAGGGAGGGCTCACGACTGCAGAAGGCAAGCAGGGCAGTAGCTCTCTGACCTGGAAGTTCTGAAGGATGCGGACAGCACTGCAGGGCCTGGCGGGCCCAGTGGTAACTGTAGAACTATCCTCCCAAACCTGGCGCCAGGGCCTTCAAAGAACGCTCGTGGAAGAGGGTGAGTTCGTCTTCGTGCCGAAAAGTTTTAACCCCATGCATGCAAAGGGTCTTCAAGAAACTCATAGAAAGGGCATGTGACAGCATGTTTTGTACACCTGTTTACAAAATTTTGTGCACCCAAACCAAACAATCATTCCATGTTTATCAACTTGCCAGCCTTTAAAAATGCCAGCCTGTAATCCCCTGGCAACGGTTTTAAGGCAGTTCTGCTGTGGAAGTCTAGCCGAGTACCTGCGGAGGGAGGAGGTGCCGTCGTGTTGTGCCAGCACCCAGTGGGCCGTCAGCAGCCTGCCTGCCTTCGGACACGATTCCTGCCACCTGAAGAAGTGCCGCCTCGGGCCGGAGGAAAGGTTTTGAAGTAATTCCTAAGGTCTTTTTTTTTTCTAAACAGGAGCCTTGCAAGTCTTGAGGAAATTTGTGAACTTCTTAGATGCCTTGTTCAACTGATTAAGATAAGATAGTTAAATCAGCCGGCTCCGAAGGGTTACAGGAGGCTGCCTCATTTCTGTGTCGCCTGCTGAGCAGGCGTTCTTCACAGATCTGGGACTCTCGTTCCCTCCACTGACTTCGGAACAGAACCAATCCCTCGCATTGAGTTTTTAGGAATTTTAACCTCAAGTGTTCTAGTCCTGCCTTTACACTACTAGTCTCCAATGATAATTTCTTTATGCCACAGAAACAAGTAACACCGACTGGGATGGGCTACTCTTCCTCCCAGCTGTCCAATAGTTAGTTTCGAACGGAATCCATCCAATTAAGGACCAAAATCAAATCTCACATAGAAATGGGAAAGTTCAGGGCCCAGCACAATAGCCTAGTGGTTAAAGTCCTCGCCTTGCACCTCCAGGATCCCATATGGGCGCCGGTTCTAATCCCTGCAGTCCTACTTCTCATCCAGCTCCCTGCTTGTGGCCTGGGAAAGCAGTTGAGGACGGCCCAAAGCTTTGAGACCCTGCACCTCCGTAGGAGACCTAGAAGAAGCTCCTGGCTTCGGATCGGCATAGCTCCAGCCATCGTGGCCACTTGGGGGGGAGTGAATCAGTGGACAGAAGATCTTCCTCTCTGTATATCTGACTTTCCAATAAAAATTAAAAAAAATAATAAATCTTTTAAAAAAAGGAATGGGAAAGATCTGAATTATACTTTTACTAAAAAGCAAAAGTTAGAGGAAAAAGAATCAACTGGACATTAACATGCTAGGTTAAAATATGTTTGTTAAAGGGTGCTTCCCTGCTGTTCTCACCTCTTGAGTTGAACAGCAAAAATCAAACCGCTTTCCAGCCCCCTTGCCAAGAGACAGTACACTTCCGTGTACACACCGTTCTTATCTGGCCTTTATCCCTTCAGACATGTCCCGAAAATGAAAACCAAAACAGAAACACATGTCCCTTACTTGAGCTTTGCCCACAGTGGGTTTGGGAACCTGACAAAAAGGGAATTCGGTCTCTGACCAACTCTGTGCCCTGTCTATTCCTGTGCAGCAGCTGGAGCCCATGGCACTGGGACCAACTCTCCCGCTGGCTGCACACAGCTCGCTCTCACAGCATGCCGCAGTCAGCCTTCCCCCGCTCTCGGCCCTGGCACAGCTAGCTCCCACGGCCCACGGCATGCCGCAGTAAGCCTTCCCCTGCTCACAGCCCTGCACGCAGCTCGCTCCCATGGCATGCCGCAGTCAGCCTTCCCCCGCTCACAGCCCTGGCACAGCTAGCTCCCACGGCCCACGGCATGCCGCAGTCAGCCTTCCCCCGCTCACGGCCCTGGCACCGCTAGCTCCCACAGCCCACGGCATGCCGCAGTCAGCCTTCCCCCACTCACAGCCCTGGCGCAGGCCCAGAGTCATCATTCTGCTTCTACAGACGAAGAGGTGAGCTTCTGCCTGACAGTTTACGTATCATCGAGCACTGTGTGCCAGGTCCAGTACTGAGCTGCAACAGCAGTTGGCACCATGGCAAACACAGCAGATGACAGACACTGCAGTGTCTACGTAATGAGAAGAGCAGCCTAAGACCAAGGAACTTGCCTGAGCTCCCAACACTTCTGAGCAGCACAGGCATGACGGAGACCCGCTGACTCACGCGCTGGAATGTCTTCCAGGTGATCCCTGCTCACCTGGGGCCCCGAGGCACCTTGGAATATCCAAGAAGCAGAAAACATGCTTAGAGTTTCATTCCTGCTGCCTGGCCAGGAATGCCAATGCCTGCAAAGGTGGAGAAACATCTGTGTGACAAGAGCTATTCGGATATTCACGACTTCACTGACACCAAGCCATGGTCATCAACTGAAAAAAAAAAAGAGCCTGCTCCAATGTACTGAATTTTGAGACCTGCCTGCAGTGGCCCTGGCGGGGACCAGCTAAATGACTGTGGGGTTAACCCAGTTCTTCCCCACCCCCACTTACTGGCTTACAGCTCTGAACAGCATCATGGGTATGACTGCGTGTTTGTTCATGGTTACCTCCCCCTGACATAAAGAAAAACCAGAAAATCCTAAAGGTGCTTTGCATTAAGGACTTAATTTCCCCTGAATTAGGAAGATTTGTTAAATAACAGGCATTTCATTTTAAAACAAAGCCATGAAAAGATACTCCATTTTATTTTATTTATTATTATTATTGTTATTTTTTACAAATAATAGATTTGCTGCAACATGCTCTGGCTCGTATTATTGAATTAAAAAATTTAACACATTTCAAAAATATCAAAAATACACTATAATAATGAGTCTTAGGACTACAATACAACAATGATTGCACAAAACCATAAGATATGAGCGCACTGTCTGGATGACATCATTGGCAACAGTGAGAGAAAACCCTACAGCGTCTGGGAGGAGTGAGTGGGATTAAGGAGCTCATGGGTGGTCGATCAGCAGACGAGGGACATGACCGCAGCTGCTTTTCTCCACTGAGGAACTACTTACCCGAGTAGGGGCAGAGTCACCGACTGCAGAGAAAAGATGACCTTGTTGCCATGACTGGGGAGGCCAGGAGGCTCCACCCAGAGGGAAGTAAAAAGTGACAAGATAGTTCTACAGTGATGCTGCCAGACATCACCAAATGGCTTGGAGACTAATTCTTTTATCGATAACAGCCAAGTGCTCCCTTAAGGAGATCTCTTCATTGATAATTACTGAAGAGAAAAAGAAGGTAAGCCTGTGGCTACCCAGTACCTGCTTGCAGGGAAGGTCTAGGTGGGAAGAAGAGCAGTGTTTGATATTCGGTGAATCGACCAAACCTAACTGGCTCCATCTCCTGGAAAACAGCACGCAGTGCAGGCAGTTGTAATAGCACCCAGTGTTACCAGCTGCTCGTGTTGGCTCTTAAATACATTAGGAACATGAGTCTACCAACTTATTGCACACACACACACACACACACACACACTCTTGGCAGCGGTGTATTAAAACCCTCCCTTGTATCAGCAGCGGAATTCAATGACTTGACTTTGTAGTAACACTGTAGTTCTGCCATACCACATTCACATTTTCGAATAGATTCCCAATCCAAAGTAAGTCTCAAGGCTGCCAAGACGAGCAGTTTTCTTTCTCCCATGGTACTGCTCAACTGCTCCTCTGATCAGGACAGTTCTTTCAGGCATTTGCTAAAACTCCCTTGTGAAATGGGAGGTACACACAGAACCCTGAGCATCGCGCAGAGGCCCTCCTTGGCCCACATGGGGGACCCAGCCCCTGGGATGAAGCCCTAAGAAGTGGTTACATTCACCTGGGGACAGATGACTGCCTCCCACCAATGCAGCCTACTCAGAGAGCACCCCCTTGGTCCTAGGTCACACGCGTGTTTTACATCAGAGATTTTGGTCACGGACTATGGCCTTTTTACCCTTTAACACAGAGCAACTGTAGGTTATGAATTAAAGGAGACTGCAAAACATAATCAATTTGCTTTGGCCTATCTTAAAGCATTTTAGCACAACCTACTGATTCCTAAAAATCACTCTACCACACCAAAAACACCGGGAATGTTAGAATTCTGCTATCTAAAAAGTTAATGCATTTCCTTTTGTCAAGGTCATTTAGGACCTGGCTTTTGAAGTGGTGCCAATGAGCAGGGTGGAAAACAGAAGACAACAAAAGGATTCACAGGTATTGGATAAATTTTTTTATAAGACTATATTATTAATGTGGTATGTTCCCAAAATAATTTCTACTTTTAGACAATCTCACTATTCTACAATCCACAGGTTGTGCTATCTGTGGAGGAAGATGTCTCACCCATCACCATCAGGGTTTTTCCTTCATTTTCTTTCTTCTTAAAAATTTATTTTTTCATTTCCCCCCTATTCTCCCATATAAAAATAAGGTGGCAACACACTACTATTCCCATTTCTAACAGCACCTAATCTATGTTTGAGCCACTCTGCTCCGTATTTCAAAGCAAAGACCTGAGTTCTAAATATTTTCAGTAGCTGACCAGTAGTTTTGACACAGGCAAGTCAAGTGTGCCTGACAATTTGGAAACTCCAGATGGGAGTCTTGAGAGGTCTAATATTAGACTGTGGCAGCGGTGCAGCTTCCCCCAGGCATCCCACTGCCACACGCTGCGAGGCACAGCGCTTCCGCACGAGAAGACACATGGTGTTTGTGGATGGGTCACTTGGTTCTTGACCACTGCCCTTGGCAGACCCTTCCCAAAAACAAAAGGCATATAATTCAACTCTATCGTTAACATTTTGTTTCTGATGAAACAGATAAAAAAAAAAAAGGGTTCCACTCTATTTTCTTAATTGTGAATATTCAAAAATTCAAAGCACATTTCCCAATGGGTAAAATCAAGCAATGTAAATAAATACTAATTAATTTTCCTAAGTAAATCTTCTAAGTGAAAAAGTGGCAAAAATAGAGAAGGAACTAGGCTTTGCTAGGGTTACATGGAATGTGCGATATCCTGGCATTGAGCCTGGTACCCTGGAACCACACAAGGTGAATAAGCAGTTTTTGGAAGAGTGCGCCGTATAACATTACACGTAAGCTCTTGGTTTATTTCCAACATTCTGGAAACTGCCCCCACCCCCATCTGCTTTACAGTGACAGTGGGAACAAGTCTAACTTGGGAGATGCATCCACTCATCTGTGCTCATTTGGCGTCCGTCTGTGTCAGTCATTTGCTGTAATTCAAGGTGACCTTGACGTCAGCAGTGTCAGCCTCCGCCCTGTCGGCAAGGGGGCCTTCTGCCAACTCTTGCGCGTGTCAGGGGAGGAAGTCAACCCCCAAGTGCCTCCCTGAGAGCTGGGAAGCTCCTGGCAGGTGTCACATTTGTCTTTTCCTGATTTGGGGGAAAGCATTCTTTGTGCTCACTCCTTCCCTATCTTCATCCCCCAAAGTTGCTACGACCTCAGGTTCCTCATGTGTGTTCACAGTCTAACATCCAGGAGTGAAGTCAGTTCCCTCAGCCCCTTCCTCGTACCCTCAAAAAAGGCTCCAACACCCGGGATCTCTCTGCTTTTGCACAGAGGTGCCGGGCTGCCTCAAAGATTGGCTCGAATGCAGATTCAAAAATAAAAGTTCACAATGAAAAGTGCTCTCATTACATTACATACATAAATTATCTGTTTGATTGGTTCTACATTTCCAATAAGCATCATTTTGATAGGTTGTATTCTCGTAGAGAAGAATGAAAAGCATGTGACGAGTCACATCACACCCCTGCTAGTCTGTGAGACAAGGTGATTTTCTCTGGGCAGAGACCCATCAGCAGCAATCGGTAAAGGGAATCAATCTTCAGTCACTTCCTCCACAGAAATACCCCCTCCCTGCCCAGACAGGCAAGTCCTCAGAAATCCTTCTTAGGCGAGAAAGGGTTAATGGCAGGTGGCAGGACTGACACGGGGCAACATCGCCCTCTGCCTGGCAACCCTGGGAATTCCATCGCAGGCAGAAGCAGAAACTCAACACTGAAGGCGACAACTGGCTTATCTGGGGCCAGACCCTGACAGTACTCACCTTTGGCTCTGAGTTCTACCTCACGTGTCTATGGTTTAGCAACGCAGAGGCCAAATGCCTCTGGAAGGGTCCCCACCCCAACCCCACAAGCCTCCTCTCACACCTGCCCACTCCAGGGGCAGCATCGTATCACAGCGCAGTGTCAAACTCCTCCGGGGGCTCAGTCCGATCCTCCTCGCTGGGCTCGGGCTCGGGTCTGCCCTCCTGATGCTGTTTCATCTGCTCCTTCACTTCTTCCTCCAGGTCACGAGGTACAACAAGTTGATCTTCTGGCTCCAGCTGAGTCGGAGCAGCAAAATAGCCAGTTTTCCTCTTGGGTACTTCTGTGGCAACCTCAATGAGGTTCAGGCTGTCTTCTAGGGGCACAATGGAACCATTGGAGAGTTTCTTTCCATAGAGACAGGAAGTGGAGGGGGACTTTTGTAACTCCATCTTGTCCTTGCTCACTGGGAGGAGGATTCCACTGTTCACACTGTTCTGTCTGCGGATCCCAAAACACAAGCTTCTAGCAGGTTCCTCGGGACAGGGAGTGGGAGAGTTGTCTCGGAGCGTAGGAGCGTTCTCAAGGTCCCTCCCTCTGCAGCAGTGGATATCCACTTCCACTTCCAGCTTGCTGCCATTTGTTATGACCCCTTCGACCGGCTGGTCATCATCACTGTCTAGGCCATTGTCAGAATGATTACTGGAGAAGGTGGCACAGGAAGGCTGCCGCTGGAACACCCCAGAGGGGGCTGCCGGATGGAGGCTGCAGCGCCTCTCTGGCCTGGGAAGCAAGCCAGCGTCCAGGCCCACGGTGTTATGCTCATCAGAAGCAGTGGAGCCTACCTCACTGCTCACCTCTGAGGTGGACGTCTCACTGCTGAACTCTGAGGCGATGCCACTACTGGACGAAGGGGTGGTTGGCTTGGGGCCGTCCTTAGCTGTGCTGCTGGAAGCAAACCCCACAGGACCTGGGAGCGTGAGTCCATTCATCTCACAAGTGCAGCCTTCCTCACCAATGTTCAGATAAACTACGATTGCCCCCACATTGTCCTGGCACCCATAGCTCTGTGCTAACGTGCACAGCTTCTTGGCTGCTGCTAGTGGGTCTTGCACATGACGCACCGCGTTGACAGCTTCTGTGTATGACAGGTGTTCCCACAAGGCTTTGTTTCCCAGAATCAGCAACTCATCTTGAATGGTGAGAGGAGTAGAAGAAACGTGGGGCTTGGGGAGGATCCAAGGGTAGAGGTATGTGCAGCCCAGCATCCGGGTACAGCAAGTTACCCCATTCACTTTGTTGTCCTGGAGAAAGAACACGAGTTCTGAGAAACAGCAATAATGACATGCAGTTTTGTGTCTTTCTAAAATACAATGCTTAGGGATGTGACGTAAAATAGAGTTCACACATTATCAGAGTTTTGCTAGAATCAATATAGTTTCATTTGTGAGGGAGAGATGGGGACAGAGATGGGAGCCAGGGTAAGAAACAGATCTCCTACCCACTGGTTTACTCCCCAAAGCCTACAATAGCGAAGGCTGGTCCAGGCCAAAGCAAGGCACGCGGAACTCCATCCAGGTGTCCCAAGTGAGCGACCGAGGCCTAAGCACTTGAGTCAACCTCCACCCTGGTCAGGATGCATCGGCAGGAGGCTAGCGTAATACTGGAGGAGCTGGCACTTGAACTGACAACCTGGATACCAGACTGGGTGTTGCATATGGAGGCTTAACTTGCAATGACATAACACCAATTCCTTAACTGGACTTAAAAAATGAAAGAATTCTAAAAACACAACATACCATATGGTTACAGTACAGAGACCTGGTGACTAAACAGCATCACTACCTCAAAACATTCTTGTTCCAATGTGAAGGACAGACTTCAGCATGTCCTCAAATACAGAAAAGCAATAAGCGGAACCGTCACTGGTTTTCCATCATAAGTACTCCCAGAAAGGCCGAGACTTCTAAGGTTATTTAGCCTAGAAAAGGAGAGTGTGGAATCTGTGGCAGGGCAGGCACGTGGTGCGGCCGGTTAAGGCACAGCTGGGAGGTCCACGTGGTGCGGCCGGTTAAGGCACAGCTGGGAGGTCCACGTGGTGCGGCTGGTTAAGGCACAGCTGGGAGGTCCACGTCTGCTAACACAGTGTTGCTGCTTCAAGTCAGGTACTCCGCTTCGCATCCAGCCTCCTGCTGACGCATCTGGAAAGGCAACAGGTGACAGCCCAACCCCGTGGGCCCAGCCCTTCACACAGGAGACTCAAGTTGAACTCTAGCCTCAGAAAGAGTTCTGGGCTCCTGGTTTGGGTCTGGCTCAGATCAGTCTACTTGGGAAATGAACTGAAAGATCTCTATCACACAAATAATCTTTTTTTTTAAAAAAAAAAAAGAAAGAAAAAAGAAATCTGTAGTGTATTTAACCTACTTTGTAAGGGCTATGGTAATAATAAATAGATCACATCAGAATCCATGGAATTCTGGGCACTATAATTAAAGGGGAAATTAGAATCTTGGGTTGCAGATTGGGATTTTTTTTTAAAAGATCTATTTGTATATTTGTTCAAAGGGTTTTTAAAAAAAGATTTATTTTTTATTGCAAAGTCAGATATACAGAGAGGAGGAGAGACAGAGAGGAAGATTGTCCATCCGATGATTCACTCCCCAAGTGAGCGCAATAGCCAGTGCTGCTCTGATCCTAAGCCAGGAGCCAGCAACTTCCTCCAGGTCTCCCATGCAGGTGCAGGGTCCCAAGGCCTTGGGCCGTCCTCAACTGCCTTTCCAGGCCACAGGCAGGAAGCTGGATGGGAAGCGGGGCTGTCGGGATTATAACCAGCGCCCATATGGGATCTCAGCTCATTCAAGGCAAGGACCTTAGCCACTAAGCCACTGCGCTGGGCCCCTATTTGTATATTTGAAAGTCAAGAGTTATACAGGGAGGGAGAGAGAGAGAAAGAGAAAGAAAGAAAAGGAGAAGGAGGGAGGAAGCAAGAAAGAGAGATAGGGAGAAATCTGAAGGTATCCTATACAGGCTCTAGTTCAAGTTCCAGTTGTTCCACTTCTAATCCAGTTCCCTACTGATGTGCCTAGGAAAGCAGTGGAGGAAAGCGAAGTGTTTGGGTCCCTGCACTCACATGGAGATCTGGAATAAGCTAGAGGCTTTGTTTTTGGACTGGCCTAGCTCCAGTCGTTGCAACCATTTAGGGAGTAAACCGGTGATGGCAGAACTCTGTCTCTGTCCATCTCTCCCTGCCTCTCTGTAACTCTGTGTTTCAAAGAGAAATAAATAAATCTTAAAATCAAACAAAAAAGAATTCCTGGCACCAGAATTTTGGTACAGCAGGTTGAGTTGCCATCTGCAGTCCTGGCATCCCAGGCACTCCACTTCTGATTCAGCTCCTGCTAACAGCTTAGAGAAAGCAGTGGGAGACGGCCCCAGTGCGTGGGTCCCTTCCACTCACATGGGAGACTCAGAAGGAGTTTCTGGCTCCTGGTTTGTGTCTGACCCAGCTCTAGTCATTGCAGTCATGTGGGGAGTGAACAAATGGATAAAAGATTCTCTCACTCTCTTTCAAATAACTAAATCAATCTTAAAAGAATAAAAAACTAAAAAGTAAATAAATTTTATAAGACAGTTAAATGGAAGGCTTTTATCTTTCATTTGCTTTGACTGAAAGAGCTTCCCAAGACTACCACCTTATGTCTGTGTATGTCTGTGTATGTATGAGTATGTAGTCTCCACTTGCAGAGAATGTGACAAACTGTCAAAGAGTATTAAAACTAAAACCAAACAAATTTAAAATGTAATAAAAAGAGAAAGAACCAAAGTTGTCCAAGTCCCAAATCCTGCTAGGTGGAAAGACAGACATTAGCCTGTGTGAGGCGCCTGAAAGAGACAACAGCGAGTTCCCTTACACCACAACTCCTGCCTGCCCGCAACAACCTGTAGTAGGTAGGGTGCCCGTCCTCTTCTCCCCACCCCAATACAGGAGCCCTTCTAGCTTGGCACCAGGCCGTTTTCTACTCCAAGATGGCTGGGCTGGCAAAGTACCTATAGAACTTTCACCAGTTCTATGCCTGCTCCCAGCAGTATCCCAGAAGCAGGAGCGGCAGAGCAGAAGCGGCAGGAGAAGCTGTGTTCATGCCCGTATAAGCTCTAGTCCGAATGCTGCGCGGGCACTCAGGTCTTCACCGAGCTGCCTGCCTGGCTTGTCAGGTGCCTTGTCTTCAGTGCACACGGCGAGCTTGCTGACTGCCGCTCTGTCTCACAAGACACGCTTTTCTTGCAGGATGACATACACCTCTATCACCTACTGGAGATTAACACACTGTTAACTGTGTTTGACTTTTTTTGTTTGGTTGGTTGGTTTTCGTGCTTCCTTGGGTGAAATCTGAGAGAGAATCTGAGAGAATACCAACAAAATAAAGAGCGCAGAAACAGGCTCTCACAATTCTCATGAGCTTTTAGAAGACCCCTTGAATTGTACCAAAATAGCTTTAAATGCATTTCTACACTAGTGTTTTGAGGTCTTCTCCTAATGGTCAGCTGATCATTAACAAAGGAGCAAAGGCAACGCAATGGAAATGAAGCAGTGCTACAACTGCACAAACAGTGACTGCAGAGACACCACAGGCTTCGCCAAACGGATCAGACACGCGAAACAGACCGCAAGACCCAGAAGGTAACACGGAAGAAAACAGGCGATCTTAGGCTTGGCAATAAGCCCCAGCTACAACATCGAAAATTCTACACATAAAATTCATGAGTGGGATTCCCTTGAAACTAAAACCTTTCTGTCTACAAAACACACTGTTGAGAGAATGGAAAGACAAACCCCAAACAGAGAGAAAATATTTGCCAAGTGAGCGGCTGATAAAGGACTTGTTTCCAAAATAACAAAGAATTCTTAAAGCCTTAAAAATAAACAATTCCATTTAAACAGTGTGAGATTTGAAAACACTAAGCAGTGTTTGCAGTAAAAAAATGCTAAAGTCTCTTTGAAAGCGAAGATGTTATCTGCCAGCACATTATAAAGGAGACTGTCGGTGCATATGGAACCATACGCAGAATAAAAAAGGAAAAATATGTTTTACACTTTGCATTTCAGCATGGGGATATCAAGCTACAGAACTATTTCTCCTCCTGTTTGGAGTAACAAACTAGAGCTGTTGGGAACTACCTGAGAGGTCACAATATTTATTTTACATGCCAGCTACTCATTTAAAAAAAATCTCAAGTTAGGATTTCTCATTTCTAACTAATTTTGCTTTTTATTTCTGCTAGTCACTAACTATTCTGTAAAACAGCCTTAACTGGAGCCGTCTGAAATGCACCTTTGTGTGGACTGGTTGTTATTGACGGGGCATGGCAGGAAGAAATGAACCTTCATCACCTCCGTAACAAACACCTTCACAAGATCCAAGGGGTGTGGGTGACTGGCGAGCGCAAGACGCACCTCTGTTATGATGGCTTTTTGGTCCTTCACTCTTTGTGCCTCCTCTGGATCCTGTTCCAGGCTGAAGACTTTGGACAGGGGCACCGGCTTCCCGCCCCGGCACAGGACTGCTCGGCAGGTGCCAACGTTGGCCACAGTCAAGGTAAAGCTGTTTGCGGGATCGACAGTGTCAGGACGGATGCAGCACAGGAGAGCAGAGGAGCCCAGCTTCTGCCCAGCCATTCCTAGTTTCCTGTTCACAGGAAAAGAAAATGCAGACACAGGAGCTACTTTTAGAAGGTGGTGGTCTTTCATGTGCTCTTCTGCTGATTCTTCTGCCATGCGACTGCGAGCCAGTCCACCTGAAGGCAGACTTTTGCCATGGGTCACACCGGTACAGAGTTCGGCCTTCCCCTCCTAGCGGAGAGGAGCTTGTCCAGCAGCGCAGCTAGGTGGGGAGAAATGCAAGTGTGCCCTCCGCTACCGCCTCCATGTCTCATCAAAGACCTCCTCACTCAGGGGGCTTTATCAGATCAGAACCACGTGGAGGGCAAGGTGACTGATAAACAGGGACTGCTGCGGCTTCTGATGTCGTAAGGACCGGCCACGCCATCTGCCAAGTCTCGGTGACGCTGAGGCTGCTGGGCTCAGGACAACGCTTTTAGAATGAAGGGCTCAAGGTGTTTATTCTTTGAAAGAGGGAACACAATCTTCCTTGTATCTCACCCCAAAATATAGTCTCCACCCATCCATCCATCCATCCACTCATCCATCCATCCACTCACACTTACTGCACAACACTGAAAGAGAGCAGATACCATCAGAAAGACCTGGCTTCAAATTCCACCTCCACCACTTCCTAACTGTAGATCTTCAGCAAGTTATTTCTCTAAAAAGCTTTTTTGACTTTTTTTCCTTAAGATTTATTTATTTTTATTGGAAAGGCGGATATACAGAGAGGAGGAGAGACAGAGAGAAAGATCTAGCATGGCCACAATGGCTGGAGCTGAGCCAATCTGAAGCCAGGAACCAGGAGCCAGGAACCTCTTCCAGGTCTCCCACATGGGTACAAGGTCCCAAGGCCTTGGTCTGTCCTCAACTGCTTTCCCAGGTCACAAGCAGGGAGCTGGATAGGAAGCAGGGCTGCTGAGACACAAACTAGAGCCCATATGTGATCTCATTCACGTAAGGTGAGGACTTTAGCCAGCAGGCTGCCGCACTGGGCCCTACAGTGTCTGGCTCTAAGAAGCAGCTTCATAATACGTTGTTCTCTTTCCCAAACTCATTATTGTGCCAAGCCTCTAGCTCAATTATTAAAACACAGATTCCATTAGAGGTTCCTGGCTTCTGGTTGTGGATTAGCTTGGCTCCAGCTGTTGCAGCCATTTGGGAAGTGAATCAGTGGATTGGAGATATTCCTCTCTGCATATCTGCCTTTCCAATAAAAATAAGTGAATCTCTCTGTTTCCCCCCCTCTCTATGTAATGCTTTCAAGCAAAAAATAAATAAATCTGTTTTTTAAAAAAGTCTCTTTCAACACCTTACTTTGTGTTTTACTGACTGATAAAATCCAGCTGGAACTCCATGCTATCCCACCCTGATTATTCAGTGTACTTCTCAGTTGCTCATATCATTTTGGTGGTGCACCACGAATTCTCCAATAACTAGATTGAGCTATTGAGCAGTTTGGTTATCTAAAGTTTACGCAATCAACAAACAGACTGTGAGGAGATTAGTATATACTCCCCAGTACAAGTACTCAAAACATGCGGCTCTGATGAGAGATTATTCAGTCACCAACTCTCTCTAGACGCTCTTACAAAAGCTTACCACGGTCCTTCCCAAATAAACACATCCACACACTAACAATGCAGACCACTCTGTGGCTCCTTCAAGAGCCAAGTCCCCACTCCCATGCTGAGAACAGAAGGATCACAGAATGAGCCAGATCTCCTGGATCCCAATCGCGATCTTCAGTTTAAAGAGATGTAGTTTCCAAAAGTAGAACTGAGTTAGGGATTATTGAACCCACCTGCTTACCTGTGAGATACCAAGAAGGTGTTCACCATGAAAACTGTGTCATTGGCTGACTGCTGTACTTCCTCCAAAAGCACATCTGCCATCGTGCACTGCAGCAGGCGGGGGAGCTCCTCGTTCCTGTCCCCGTCAAACATGCCATACACAGCGCCCACGCCCTCTGCGAAGCTCTCCACAGCCAGGGCAGACACACACAGCCTGCAGCAGAAACACCAGAAAGATACTCACCAAACAAAGCTGTGGCAAAATATTATTCCTCAGGGGGCATTCTTTTAAACTGCAAGTATTAACTGAAGGTGAAGCAGCACAAGTGGTGAAAAACTCCCTAGTGAAGAAAATGCAGCAGAACCCTGAAGGATCCTGCCACAGCGTGGAAGGGCAGGTCTTTTCTCTTGGTAGTTATTAAGGACTAGATTTTGTCAAAGCCCTCAAGGCAAGAACATCAGAGCCCATCTGTCGCTGAACAAGCTGCAGTCCTTGCGGCAAGGGAGAATGCTACACCATGGAACCCGGCCGTGTGCTGGCGGGGGATGTTGGACAGAACCTAGTATAAGATTTGGGCTTTGGCTGGGTCGCTGGACAGCACTGTAGGAAGTAAAGGATCATACTAGGTTGGCTGGTAAGAGAAGGCACGGCCATTCCCTGGTTGGCTATTTCAGTCCTGTTGACAGGGAGGAAAATTTAGCACAAGGATAAAGCTATAATTGGTGAAAGAAGCAGCAACCACCCTCTTTAACCATGAGAGGGGGTGTTAGTTCCATGTACTGCACATTTATCTTGTATTGCCTCATTTTATCGCTACTCAGAAGGATCTTTTTTTTTTCCTCCCAAAGATGCACTATATTTTTATTTGAAGGGCAGAGTTACAGAAAGCAAGCAGAGACACAGATCTTCCACCTACTGATGCACCCAAATGGTAGCGATGGCTGGAGCTGAGCCAATCTGAAGCAGGAGTCAGGAGCCTCCTCCAGGCCTCCCACATGTGTAGATGGGTCTAAGAACGTGTACCATCCTTTGGTGCTTTCCCAGGACATAGGCAGGGAGCTGGATTGGAAGTGGAGCCACCTACACTTGAAATGGCACCCATAAGGAATGCTGGCACCGCAGGCAGAAGCTTGGCCTACAATGCCATGGCGCCCGCCCCTCTTAAAAGACTCATCTATCTGTGAGCTGACAGGCTGGGATGTGTTAATGTGTAACAGAATAACAAGGCCTCACTAGGAACACCAGCACGGATTTCACATGCCAGGGCTGCTTTCCTCCTTCTGTTCTTTGCCTCCAGTCAGCATACTCACTTGTTCCTCTGTCCTGCCATCTCAGCCAGTCCGTGGCTCCAGAAGGTTGATGTAACTGTAGAATCTGTGGCTGGTAAAGGTTTCTGATCAATTTTCAGTGTTGTGATATGACTGTAGAGGTGAAGGAAGGAAATATTAAGCCATATATCCTTTTGTCTTTAATGAAAACCATCCCGAAGATGCTTTTTAAATTAATTTTAAGTATTTACTTCACAAGCAGAGTAACACAGACAGTGAGAGAAAGAGACAGAGATATTTTTCATCTTCTGGTTTACTCCTACAATGGCTACAATGGTCTGCCTGAAGCCAGGAGCCCAGAACTCCATTCAGATCTCCCACATAAGTGGCAGGACCCAAGTATTAGGGCCATTCTCTGTTGCTTTCCAGGTAAATAGAGCTGGATCTGAAGCAGAGCAGCTGGGACACAAACTGGCCACCAATATGAGGTGTCAGCATAGACCGCAGCAGCTTAAGCTGTGGTGCCATGTCAACCTCAAATTTATTTGAAAGGCAGACTAACTCAGAGAGAGGGAGACAGAGAATCTTCCATCCCGTGATTTACCCCCCAAATGTCCCAACAGCAGCCAGGTCTGGGCAAGTTCCAACAGCACGAGAACTCCCACAGATTTCCCACAGGGGTGACAGAGGTCCAAGTTCTTAAAAAAAAATCATCTGCTGCCTTCTCAGGTGCATTGTCAGGAGGCTGGACTGGAAGCAGAGAGGCCGGGTCCCTCTCGCTGGCGCACCCACACCCTGCCTGCTGTGGGATGTGCACCTGGCAAGCAGACGCTTTATTCGTGTCACAACACTGGCCCCCAATAACATGTTTCCATAAAAGCACCTGTTGACAGGTTAAAATTCAAGCCGAGAGGGAATGAATGCAAGTAGTATGCTGAAAAGGAAGAGGAATACAGGGAAAGGTGTAGGAGGAGGAAATAGGGGCCAAATATTGTCACAATGAATGTCATTCCTTTCTGTGAAGAACTCAGCAAAACAAAGATTCCTATGTTGCAGCCAGATGTCTCCTTGTTTTAAACATTTTCATACAATGATGTCTTGATTCAAAGGATAAACCTGTGTGATCTATTAGTACTTGTGATTAGTGCCAACTAAAATATTTATGCCTGCCACATAAAAATACCAGGCATGTCACTGAGTGGTAGCCAAGGAGCAGTCTTAACACAGACTGCTGCAGACGACAACCATCCATACACAAATCAAGGCAGAGAACCTGAGGCTTCCTGGGCTTGTTCTATCCTTTTAATTAATCAAGATCTCCACAGTCCTGAAGAAGAGCAGGCCAGGTATGGATGAAATTTCCAATGTTTTCCTACCTAAATATGTCTAGTGTCTTGTGTTCCAGAACCAGATTCGTGTTTCCAGTGAGGTCAAGGTCCTGTAACGTAGCGGGCAGAGCCTCTGGAATCAGGATTTCTGTCAAGTCATTGCAACTTAGATCTACAAACTGAAAAGAAATGGAGAGACAGACACACCTTAGAGAGCTCAGTCTTCACTCCCAAATGCTCCATCTCTTATTACACCCTCAGTCATGTATACTCCGGTCCCAACGTGAGTATATGAAACAGTACTTCTTCCTTATGAGCAGAGAATAACCTCATTCACACTAATCTCACTTCCCCATACGGGATCCATTACCTCCAGCATGTGAAAGTACCTGGATCTGAGGCAACTGCAGAATCTCTGGGAAAATGCTGATGTTGTTGGAGTGTGCAACCAGAGTGTGCAGCCTTTTGCAGTTTGCTATAGTTGTGGGAATTGTCTTAAGCTTGTTGCCACTCAGGTTCAGTTCCTCCAACTGCTCCAATTTATTTAGTTTGCTGAAAAAGAAACACCAAAATACCATAATGCATCAAGAATAAGCAGCTGCCAAACAAGTGCTATTTCACGGCAACCAGAGTTCAAAGGGCTGCCCGATCCACTGCCAGCTGACCTGTCCAAGTGAAGCAGACACGGGCAACGCCCCGCCTTGCAGCAAGCACCTCTCAGCTTCAGGGAACAAAGCTTCCATGAGTCTCACAGCTGCCCAGTCTGGTGGCCAAGACTTGGAAGAGCAGGCTGAAAAAGCACTGGCCTAGCATGGAAGACTACTGCTGGTCCCTGCTCCACCACTAAGTAGCAGCAAAACTTCAGATAACTTGGTATCAGTGCACCAAAAATGGCTCAGTCATGAAATAGACAAGTTGTACTAGATCGCCATTGAGACTCCTATCAGTTTAAAATTTCCAGGTATTTGTTTATAACTTAATTCATCCCCGTTAAAAATTGATCAAGTTCTGGTTATGCACACAGTACTGTGCCTAGACTTTGAGGTGACTGATTCACAAGACGCCCTTCCCTGAGTTGAGTAAAGTATGCCAATATCTTCAATCACTCTAACACCTTTATGGAGATTATTTCAAATTGTTTTGATTTCCTGATTTGAGAATCATAAAAAACACAACCTGCTATAATATAAAAACTTCAAAAAATAATGAGAATAACCACCCATAACGCCAGCAGTATGAAAGAATGGACAGCATTCCAAATTTTCTCCCAAATTTTTCAAGTCAGTTTTACATCCTGTCTTTTCCATATAACTAGGCATAAATAATTCCTACTACTCGAAGATTCATATTCTAATAATAAAGACTAAATTAATTTTCCTTATTTTAATAACACATACTCTGGAAAATACAGATAAACAACTTTAAAAAAAAACCTTTAATCTCAATATCAGAGATAACACCGAATGACATTTTGGTATGCAGTATTCTCATTATTTTTCAAGCATAAATATAGGTGTTCAAGAAATGAACTGATAAGATTAGTCAATATGGAATATTTTACCATTCTAATGGCAAATTCCATTTGATTTTGTCTGTAGTTTGACTGAGTTCTTAGTGATCTATATTGTTAATCCCTGTCTTAATTTCATACCTCATATCAATTAGCCAACAGCTTTGGAAATCATAAGTCAACGGTCTTTCATTTTCACCTTACATAAATGTATTTCTTCAAATGTACAAGAAAGTTATCTTCATAATTTCTTTACTTAAAAGTGTATAGTTTTCTACGTTAAACATTACTGCACCATGATTAGGTAATTAGGACTAAAAATTCAACACCTTTTAGCCATACTTTCTCTGGTTTCTGATGCTTCACAACTAGGTATGAACTATTAAGAAATTTTTTTCACTGGGAAATCAGTCAACATAAAAGCAAGAGTCAGCGTCAGCTATATAATTCAGTCTAACAAAAGGGAAATGTTCTGTATTTGCGGTGATCGAAGTTGGCATTCACTTACCTCGCAGGAAAGGTCTGCAGCTGGTTGTTGGCCAGGTGCAGGACTCGCAGGTGCGGGAACCCCACCAGCACAGGTATGCACTGGTCAGTCAGGCGATTGTTGGTCAGGTAAAGCAGCTGCAGCACACTCAAACTCTCCCCAGCAGCACACGCAGACGGCAAACACTCCAGACTATTTGCGGACCCATTCAAGTATCTGAGGCTGACAGAACACACACAAAAGGCCACTTCATTTATAATCATATGTTTCTTTGTTATGCAGAAATATCAGTATGAAATGCTGCCATTCTAAGCTCTAAACTTAAAAAAAAGAAAAGCTAATTTCTTTCAGGTAGTTTTTCCTAACTGACTCCATTCACAGTTTATTTTACTCAACTCACACAAGTCGGGGATGACGATATAGCATAACAGGTCAAGCTGCCACCAGCACTGCCAGTAACCCATGAGTGCTAGTTTGAGTCCAGCTGCATTACTTCCAATCCAGCTCCCTAGTAATGTCTCTAAGAAGACTGCAGAAGACAATTCAAGTCCTTGGGACCCTGGGTGATGTTCCTGGCGCCGGCTGCAGCCTGGCCCGGCCCCAGTTGCTGCAGCCATTTGGGGAATGAACCAGCAGATGGAAGATCTCATTATATCTCCCTCTCTAACTGTGCATTTCAACTAATCAATCAATCTTAAAAACAACAACAACTCACACAAGCCAAGCAGAAAGAATACAGGCTTGGTTACATTCCCAGGCTTCTGTCAGGCTGATTCAAACCTACCTTCATATTTCACTATGTATGCATCTACTGAAAGGATGTAGGTGGGAGTCATGTGGACATGTATTTGAACTATGAAAAATTCCTCAGCAGAAAAATACATGTGTTTAATCTGCACCTTTTTCTTAATAGTATTTAGCTGATAATCACCCAATAAAGATCATACAGACTGTTTCCGATTCCATCTGTATGCGGTGAGCACTAGAATGAGCACCTCCTTGTGTGCTTTAGAGACACTCAAGGAGTGAAAGTACGGCCACCAAAGTCATCAACACTAAGCAGCAGTCACCGCCAGCTGAAATCCAGGCTGGTAAATGGGCAATGTTTTGTATCTGAAATGACCAAAGTTTGCATTTACTTATCTTGTACGATTTTTTTTTAAGATTTATTTATTTTCTAAGGAAAGGCAGATATACAGAGAGGAGAGACAGAAAGAAAGATTTAGTCTCTGGTTCACACTGCAAGTGGCTGCAACAGCCGGATCTGAGCCAATCCAAAACCAGAAGCCAGGAACCTCCTCCAGATCTCCCATGTAGGTGCAGGGCTTCAAGGCTAAGGGCCGTCCTCGACTGTTTTCCCAGACCACAAGCAGGGAGCTGGATGGGAAGTGGAACAGGTGGGACACAAACTGATGCCTACATGAGATCCCAGCAGTTCCAAGGTGAGGATTTGCACCGAGCCCTGTGTGAACATTCTTTAAGGAATCTTTTCAGAAACAGAATTGGGGTTTGTGGGGGGTTGTGTAATGACTTTTTATATATTAACATTTAATATGTTTTAAGATCTTCTAATACACGACACATCAGAGGTGTCTGGAAGAGCCACTGAAGCAACCACATCATGCACCTGAGTGTCCAGGCTGCAGTCTCAGCTCTTTAGCTTCCTGCTTATGCAGGCCATGGGAGCCAGTGGTGGTGCTCAGCTCTAGCCACTGCAGGCATTTGGAGATGTGAGCACTGGCACATGTGTCTGCTCTTGAGTGTGTGCCTGTTCCCTCTCTCTTTCTCACTCTCAGAAAAATAAAAGGGGAGGGGTGGGATAAGATGCTAGACAGTGCCCGGCACAGTAGCCTAGTGGCTAAAGTCCTTGCCTTGCATGCACTGTGATCCCACAGGGGCACAGGTTCATATTCTGGCTGCTCTACTTCCCATCCAGCTCCCTGCAATGGCCTGGGAAATGCACTGGAGGATGGCCCAAAACCTTGGGACCCTGTACCCATATGGGAGACCCAGAAATTGTTCTTGGCTCCTGGCCCCAGATTGGCTTAGCTATGGCCGTTGTGGCCACTTGGCGGGTGAATCAGTAGATGAAACAAATATATTTCTCTCTGTCTCCCCTTCTCTCTGTAAATCTGCCTTTACAATAAAAAAAAAAAAAATCAATATAACAACAAAGATGCTGGACAAAGAAGACACTTGCAGCCTAAACCATTTTTGTACATCTCCATGTTATAGTACTATTGCTCATCTCGATCTTCTGCATTTTCTTAGCAGGTGACTCTGCTCTTGAGAAACAACGCCCTGCAGCACTTACTTTAAAGCCCTGGAGAAGAGTGTATCTGGCAGCCTGCTGAGTCCATTATGCTGCACATCCAGTACCTCAAGAGGGATGTGCTCCACCAGCGCTGGAAGGGTCTGAACATGATTGTGTCCCATCATCAACTTCCTCAGACTCAAGCTACTCAGAATTCTGTGGGGAGAAAATACAAATAAATATCTGTTTAAAGATAATATAAAAGATTTCTGCTTCTGTCCTAGGATATTTGACTGAAATCAGTAAACTAACAGAAACATGCTCTTCTAGACTATACAACCACCTAAAGGTGCCAGGGCCAAGAAGGCAATCACACCATCTGTTATCTACCACCCAGCAAGAAGTCATGAATGTCACCATGACAAAGGTCAATCAGTAACAGCAAACAGCACAAAGGCGATCTGAACTAAAAAAGCAACTTAGATGTTAGGTCCACAGAGAACCAAAAATTCATTGTATTAGCATAATTTATTAATACAACATATTAATAATAACAAATTATATTACAAGACAAACTACTACTTAATGAATGGTTAAAACGTGGGAGGCTGCAGGCATTGTAATGCAACGAGGTAATCTACTGTTGGGACATGTGCATCCCACGAGAGAGTGCCTGTATGGGTCCTGGCTTCTCTGCTTCTGATCTGGCTTCCTGCTATTGCTCTGGGGAAGGCAGACCACAGCCTGAATGCCTGGATTCCTGCCAGTCACAGGGGACTCAGGTGGAGGTCCGAGCCCCTTGTTGCAGCCAGGCCCAGTCCCAGCTATTGTGGGCATTTGGGGAAGGAACCAGATGAAAGATCTTTCTTACTCTCTGGTCACTGACCATTTCAACTAAATAAATACTTTTTCTTTTTATTGGGCTGGACCATTTAAAAATGAAGTCCAGAAAGATGTTTGATTTGTTGAAGATCTTGCACTTAAAAGTAAATGGAACAGTTGGGGTTTGAGCAAAGGTCTGACTTCAAAGGTTACCTTCCTACTTCCTATGCTATGAAGCTTCTAGTTTAGTTGCAAAGACTCCAGCAGATTAACATGTTACAACTCATATACTTTGAATATATCATCTCTTCCCCAGCTTTAGCTACTACTCTCCTAACTTCTTCACTTAGAGAAATCTCACCTTCTGGTGAAGGTCAACTCAAGCCGCATCTTCTCCATGAAGCACTCTCTACTTATTCTTGTGCATTTCTAAGATTACTTCTACAACATAGTGACTGGGAAGTCTTGGGAATAAGGGACTACTTTCGAATATCAGCTCCTATCATTCCACAGTTAGTGTGGCCTCAGTAAGGTTTCTTAGCTGCTTTAGCCCTATTTTGCTCAAGTACAGTTCTAACGATGTGGGAACACGATAAAAGGGAAGTTCTCAGGACACTGTCATCTCGTAACTGATCATTCAAAGCTACCTCTGCTGTACTTTGTTAGTTATTCTAACATCATACTATCCTCTGACTTAAATCTCTTAAGCCAAGACCATGCATCAACTATTACTACATTCCTGAAGGCACAGCACACTGCCTTGCACTCAACAGGTACTCGATATGCACTAAACAAAAGGAAGAGAACTCTAATCAAGGAAATACAGACATAAACACATGTGAACACACGTGTAATGTATGCTTTCACACCCACATACCTCACGGGAACCTCTGTGAGAAGGTTGTAACTCACATCTATTATTTCTATCTTCTTTGCGTCGCAGGCCCAGTCAGGGACACACTCTAGCAAGTTTCTGCAAAAGAAAATTAAAAGGCATCATTTAAGATGATATGTGGATCTCACTTCACTAGACTGAAAGTTATCTCTTAACTAGTCTGGGAGCTCCCAGAGGACAGGGACAGTCGGTGATCTGCTACCTAGATCACGCAGAAGGTGCCGAGGGAAGGCTGTTGAATCCTAAAGGTGGGAGATACTAGCGCACTAATGTGTATCAATGTGGTAGGTGCCAATGAAGCAGAGATGAGGAAAGAATGAATAGAAGTGGAATTTTAAAACCACTTCGGAAAGTAAGGAGGGGCCAGTGTTATACAGTGGGTTAAGCCAGTGCTTATGTAGAAATGAAAACAAAATGCAGTAAACGTGGCTCATTGCTACTAAAACACTGTGAGTTTGCAGGCCAAGGGCCTATGTGACCTTTAGCACCGATAGGCTCCAAATCTCATGAATCAAGGCCCAAGTCCAGTTATCTCACAGGTGGTTCCAAGTAATTAAGTGAGTGGTTACCTTAATTGCTGGACCAGAGAAGAGCCAGGCATGATTTGTCCAGCTGAGCTAGGCAGGGAATGTGTAGTATTTCCCCCCTCACCTTGCAGGCTATTGCGGACTGCCCCTTTTCAAAGTTATTGTAGACTACCCCTATAAAAATCCTGTGAATGTGCTGTTCAGCACCACTCTACGGTAAGGGGGTCCCATCCAGTGCATTAGTCATTTGGTTGCCTTGCCTCACATTTATAACAAACCTTTGTTGTGACTGTCACTGGTGAATGTAACATTCTGTTTTAGTGATCGAGTGAATGTAACAGTTACAACACTGGGATCCCATATCAGAGTGCTGGTTCAAGCCCTGGCTGCTCCGCCTCTGATGGAGCTCTCTGCTAATGCTCCTGGGAAAGTAGCCTAGGAAGGCCTATGTTCTTGCTTCAGCATATTTCTGCATTGCCTCCCTGTCTGCTCCCCTCTTCCAACCTGAACATTTCTTTATCATTTCTTGTCTGAAATTCTGTAACAGTGTCCTGATTGTTCTTCTCTTAACAACAGAACCAGATCCTCAGTGAGACCATTATGTGTCGACAGAATCATCTGTTTAAAGTGACTATGAAGGCCATGTGACAGACACAGATGAAGTTCATGACTTCTGGCTTTGGACTGACCCAGGCACTACTCTGACTATTTGGGGAATGAACCAGAAAAGGGAAGATCTCCTTAGTTTCTTTCATCTCTATCTCTATCAATCTTGACTTTCAAAATACATAAATCCTTTTTTTCCTAAGATTTATTTTTATTAGAGAGATTTATGGAAAAAAGAAGAGGCAGAGAGAAAGATCTTTCATTCACTGGTTCACTCCTCAAGTAGCCACAATGCCCAGAGCCGAACTGATATGAAGTCAGGAGTCCCCTCCAGGTTTCGCATGTGGATGCAAGGTCCGAAAGCTTTAAGCCATCCTCCATTAGGCCTGGGAAGGCCACAAGAAGGGAGTGAAAGATAAGAGGAGCAGCTGGGACACAAACCAGCAACCATATGTGATGCCAATTCTTGCAGGTGGAGGATTGGGCAGTTGAGCCATCATGCCAGTCCCTTAAATATGCAAATTTTTAAAAAGGGGGCAGGAGAAAAAGAGTAAGAGTGCCACAGGTAAAGGCTGGGCAGAGAAGCACACACGGCAAAGGAATCAGACTCTCCAGGTCCAAGTTTCTCTGGAATGCCCAAAGGATGGCAGGAATCTAACTGTATTTGAGAAATGCAGATCCTGCTAAAGCAGCTTAGTGACAGGATCACTGCCTGAAAAGGATCAAGACAAGCTCCTTGAGAAGAATGGCATCTGGGAAAGAATTTGAAGAATGCTGCACCCTGACCTTACAGGAGGACTTTCCAGGCAAGGAGTGAGAAAAAAACTGAGAGGCTGGTGTACGTGGGGAATGCCAAGCAGCTTGGTGATGATACAGCAGTGACAGGGAAAAGAGCACTACGACTTGACCTTCACCAAGTTCACAGTAAAGAGAAACTACCAGGGCTGCACGTTAACACATAACGGTCTCAATGAGAACCTGATCTTACTGTAAAAAATAAAGAACAATTAGGAAGCTGTTACAGAATTTCAGGCAAGAGATGACAAAGAAACTTACAGGTGGAGGAGAGGTGGTCCAGAAATATCCAGAAATATTTAGAAGCAAAAACAGTAATAACTTGGAGATACTTTAGATGTGGGGTACAGAGGGAAGAGCTGAGCCTAGCCGACCAGGGAGATGATATGCCAGGACTGGAAAAAGACACAAGTGTACAAAGCATGCAGCAATGGATACTGAACTTCATTTTTGCTTGTATGTGAGTACTCACTGATATGTAGGTTTAAGTGTCCAGTACAGAATTGGACTGGATCTGAGGCTGATACAGAGTCCCTGGACTGGATATCTGGGGGATACTGACACTTCAGTGCAGCTGAAATCATTAGAGAAAGTGAGACCACACGCTGTGTGATACAGTGGACCAAGGACTGAGGACAATCAACCTCCAAAAGGCTAGCTAAGTAAAACGAGTATGCAAAAGTCACAGGAGAGTGGCCAAAGGGGCATGGAAAAGGTCAGAGAAAGGCCAGCTAAGGTTAACTGGAGTTAACCTTGAACATAGAAAAGTTCCAAAAGAGAAGGTCTACACAGAACTGTTGCTGCAATAAGCAAATGGGAACTGATTCAACAAATGTAAATAATTCTTGAGAAACCAAGACCAAAGAGGATGGGTGGGATTACAAGGATGGAGGGCTGTGAGGTAAAGGTAACCTTTTCTGTCTGTTAAGACAGAAGAACAATGTGTACACACAAACCAAGCACACAGCGCAGAAGGTGGGAGCCGTGCTGGAACAGAGGAAGGAGGCCGAGGAGGGCTGAGTGTCCTGGCTACGCAAATCCAGTCCAATGGCTAAGAAGCTCGGGGAAATCGGCCACAGGGACCTGTAGCCCCTAGCAAGCCAGGCTTTGTGTTTAAGAATGTGGACGAGAGGTGGGTAGAGGGATATGGAACAGATGCCAAGCACACCGAAAGGAGACAGTAAAAGGAAGGACCAACAGGCTGAGAAAGGATTGGAAAGTACAAATTCGTAGTGGTGTCCGCCTGGATGTAACTTTCTTAAGAAATGGTCACGGTTAGTGGGAAAGGTGAAGGCTTAGCATTGATCTATGCTGGAGATGCACCACAAAATGCACAGGAACCTACATAGCTTAATAATAATAAAGTAACAACAACAACAAAAACCCTAGTTTGAACAGCTGTTCTTTCTTCAGAGACTACTATAAGCCAGGTACTACAGCACTCATTTTGCCTTCCGCTGTCTTCATAATAATCATGACCACGTTGGAGCCTGTCACTGCTCTGAGCTGCGCCGTGTACCTTACACTCACAGTGATGAGCATGCTCTCCTGCAAAGCCTGTTTGATTGTCAATCAGTTCATTAGAACATAAGACTCAGTTATTGAACCACAAACGCCTAACATGGTATTAAAAATGAATAAATAAACTCCTGAATGTAATTAATATATTTCCAAAACTTGAACCACACGACAGTATCAAGAAACTAAAGGTTTCCTAAAAGCTGCATCTAAAAGTCAAGAATTAACTGATTTCAACTGACAAAAAAAGAAACTGCCTTCCAAATTAATAAATAAATCTTTTCCAAAAAATCTAGTCTTTGGGTCCAGCGCAATGGCACAATGGTTAAGGTCCTCGCCTTGCAAGCCTGGATCCCATATGGGCGCCGGTTCTAATCCCAGCAGCTCCTCTTCCCATCTAGCTCCCTGCCTGTGGCCCGGGAAAGCAGTCGAGGATGGCCCTAGGCCATGGGACCCTGCACCTGCGTGGGAGACCCGGAAGAAGTTCCTGGATCCTGGCTTCGGACCAGCATAGCATCGGCCCGTTGCGCTCACTTGGGGAGTGAATCATCATACGGAAGGTCTTCCTCTCTGTCTCTCCTCTCTGTATATCCGCCTTTCCAATAAAAATAAAATAAATCTTAAAAAAAAAAAAAAGCTAGTCTTTGAGAATGAGTAATCCAGATGCATCTGTCTCTGTTTCAAGAGGATCCTTCCTATAACTACTACAGCTATTAAACTGTAACAGTCCTTCACCCAGGCTTCAGATTACTCAAACACTTCAGTAGGTTTCTTCCACTTGACAACTGCCATGTATACATGGATTTCTCTGAATATTAAGCATAAAACAAGAACCACCCTCAGGAGACACTCACCGGGACAGCTCCAGGGTAGTGAGCAGGCTAGGAACTGGATAGACGCTCACTGCTGTCAGCTCTAGGAGAAAGAAAAAAAAAAAAACAAAACGAGAAGAGGAAGGAGGTTTAATTGAGAGAATAAACACCAGGGAGAAATGGATGTCCTCTATTAACATGAGCTAAGATAAGTTAGCGGGAATCAACTTTGACTAACTGCCAGATCTCAATCTGTCTTGAAAATCAAACGCAACAGTAAATGACAAACCCTGTGTTCTGTACTGGATTTACACTGTCTGGCTGTTGTGAAATGTTAATAGAAACCACTCAGCTTTTTACCCTGAACAAAAAAAAAAGGTAGATTTTTACTGGCAATATTTTAATTTTGAATTAAATTTTAACACAAATAAAAAAAATACAACAATGCTTAGTGCAGGGATGAATGGATTTTTACAAAGTGAATGTGCAGTGGCACCAGCTCCAAGGTGCAGAAGCAGAAGCCTTCCCTCACTGCCTCACAATGGCAACACTACGCTGGCCTCCAGCACCACAAGTTTCTCCCACAAGTTTCTCTAACGACACACAGACTCGTGAAGTTCACGCAAAACTTCTGTCTGGCTTCATTCACTCCACGTTTATGCTTGTGAGAGTTGTTCATATTGTTACATCCAGTTACAATTCATTCATTCTTGTGTCTTTTATATGAAGTTATTTTATGGGAATAAACCACAATGTGTCTGGTACGCAGCTAGCTCTTAGGCGTTTGGGTCCTTTTTAGTTTGGGATGACTTCACACAGTGCCTCTGTGACGCTGTTGGCAGTATCTCCCGGGGACTAACACAGGCACTTACGGTGCACACAGGCCCACATGTGGACTTGCTGGGTACAAGGCATGGCCATGTTCTTCACACTGGGGAGACACTATTCATATTTTCCCATGCAGCACCAAGTTACCTTCTCAACAGCTACCACCAGGGCTTGAATTGTAGTCATTCCGGCAGCGGGGTCCGACAGGAGTTTAATTTTCTCATTCCTGATGGCTAGTGAAGTAGAGAACCTCTTCCTATATTAACTGGTCACCTGGATAACTTCTTTTGTGAAGCTCACTTCTCTACATTTAGACACTGAAATTCCAACTATTTATATGAATTTTTCCAGACTGCAAAGAACTGCTAACCTCAAACAAGCCCTGTGCGATACACTGCTGTGACACTGTGTTCATTAAAGACTATACATGTGTCAATGAAGACTTTCCCAAGAGGGAAGACACAGGAACTATAAACACATCAGGCAATAAGGCCCAATGCTAAGTTCCTCCGTGGCAAAGGCCTACTACCAGCGACTCTGCACAGGAAGACAACATACATCAGTTTTGTCTCTTCTAACTCAAGCAAGTAATCACAGCTACAATTTGAAGGTATGAGAGAAGGCAATGAAAACAGGAGTCCTTAATCTTCTTTTCCCCAATGATATATTTTAGAGAAGAGACTACAACCATGAAGATTCTTGCACATTTATCTAGCTTTTAAAAATGCACATTCTCCATAACAAGCTTCAAATTTTTAAATAAAACTTTAAAAGTACACATATGACATCCTGCATACGGTTTATCATTTCTATGGATACTTTTGTGTTGTTACACTACACTTGTAGCTCAGAATATTTCCATGTTTTAAATTTTGGTACAGCCATTTTAATATATGATTTCATATGTTTATAGGGTATATATACATATCTATATATACACATATACTATAGATATGTAACTATTGCCATTGTCCATTTTCTTCATCCCCAAAAATATTTCTAAGATTAACATATAAATGTTAATAAACAATAAAATGTTAGTATATTAATTTTCATTGCTTTGCAAATCTATTGTGCAACTATAAATCTATTGCACATAACTAGTGATTTTTAAATTTTCCTCATATTTATTTATCTAAAAGGCAGAGTGACAGAGGAGAGGGGAACCAGACACATATAGACATATCTTCCATTCGCTACTTCACTACCTAAATGACCCCAATGACCTGGGTTGGGCCAGGCCCAAGAGAGCCAAGAATGTCTTCTGGATTTCCTGGAGCTGTGGCCGAAGTCCAAGCCATTGGACCTTATGTACTGCCTTCCTAGGCATATCAGTTAGAAACCAGAAAAAGCAGAGTAGCTGAAAGTGAAGTCAGCATTCAGACACACGACGCCGGCATCATAGGCCATGGTTTACTTAATTTTAGTCTTATTTTTCCTATTTTTTCATGAAAACAATGTGATAGACATTATTGTACACACAGCCTTGTGTGCACATGAATGTTTTTAGGATATATTCCAAGTAGGGACTGTTACAATATGTTCTACGTCTATTTCTGATTTCTCTAACACTGTCACAGGTGTTTTTTCCAGTGAATCCTCTTCACGGTCATATGTAAGAACTCCAGAACATGATTATCAAATTCATCTTTGGCAATACTCACAATCACCTTTCTAAAATTATTTACTTAATGAGCATAAAACTACTTAATATCAGATTTATATGACATTTGGTGAAATCAAACATCATTTTTCTTCTTTATGTTCAGAAAAATCAGCTATAATTTCTATGGTAAGGAGATTGTAGCAGGGGCTGGTATTGACGGGTCGCAAGTCAAGTCACAGCAGTGATGCCGGTCTCCCCAGGACTTGACTTTGGGTTACTCTACTCCAGATCAAGCTGCCTGCTTTGAGGCCTGGGAAAGCGGAAGGAGATAGTCTCAGTGCCCGGACCCCGACCGCCTGTGTGGGAGTTGTGAATGGAGCTCAGGCTCCTGGCTTCAGCCTAGCTCATCTAATTCTACCTTTAAAATAAATGAATCTCACTCTCTTTTTAAAGATTTATCTATTTTTATTGGAAAGGCAGATTTTTTTTTTTTTTAAGAGAGAAAGATTGTCAATCCCCTGGCTTCACACCCCAGACAGCCCCAACACCTGGAGCTGAACCAATCCCAAGATGAGAGCTTTCCTCCATCTCGCAGAGTCTCGAGGCTTTGGGACGAAAAATCTCTCTGTCCATCTCTGAAAAAAGCTGCTGTTGTGTGCTTTTTTTTTTTTTTTAAGGAAGAGCTCTCCATAAAAAGGATGAATGATACCAATATAATGCTCTTGACACTGAAAAATATTTCTAGGTGCTTGACATTCTAAAACTGAGGCAGCACCAGTTTTGAACCTGCATTCAAATACTTTTCTGTGAAAGGTTTTAAATAGTAAATATTTTAGGCTTTGTGGGCCACCACACATTATTTCTTTATTACCACTCAATTACACTATCGTAACATGAGAGCAATAACTGGTAAACACTCTGTAAACAGATCACTCTGTGTTTATGAATACAGAACCTAGAATTCTATATAGTTTTCATATGTTTAAAAAAATCATTCAACTTTTTTAACCCTACCATGTAAAAAACTAACCTTATGGCTGGCACTGCCAATATAGCTACCACTTGCAACACTGGCACCCCACATGGGCATCAGTTCTTGTCTTGGCGGCTTCACTTCCTGCCCTGTTCCCTGTTAACGACTCGGGTAAAGCAGAAGAGGATGGCCCGAGTGTTTTGGCCCCTGCCACCTAAGATGAAGTTTCTGGCAACAGTTTGCCGAAGCCCTGGCCACTGTGTACATGTGGGAAATGATCCAGCAATGGAGAAGCTCCTCTCTCTCTCTCTCTGCCTTGGTTCCTCCTTCTCTATAACACCGACTTTCAAATAAATAAATCTTTTAAACATAAAAACAATCTTGGATGCCACACACAAAATGAGGCATTAGGCCAGATTCCAGATTTAAGATTAGTGGCACAATTGCCAGCCTTTACTTTAGACTATTGCTGATGATTTATTGTGAAGATGCTTACCCACTACTCCATTATTTTGCAAAAAATGCCTCTCACTACGCATATTTGGCAAACCTTAAAGTATCTTGTTATGTCTTCCTACGCATAATGGTTGACAGCAAAGTTAAAGGACAAAGACAAGCCTCTGCAAACTACCGACTCCATTTTGCGAGTGGCTAAGAAGGTACTGTTCTTAGAAAACTTGCATTGGAGCAGAAACAGAAAAGCAGGAGATATTACAGAGAACTCACTGTTGGAATTGGCATAGAGAGCTCGAAGGGAGAATCCACTCAGTGTCAGCTCCCTCAGCTGGTTCCGCTCACAATGCAGCTGCTCCAAGCTACACAAGGAGCTAAGATCCAAATCTGTCAGCTGATTGTCCCGCAAATCCATGGAAGTGATATGTTTATTTCCCTCCAGATTTTCAACAACCACTGTTTTCAAATGATTCATCCTTAATATCCAAAATAAAGAAAACAATCAGAATTAAATTCTATCAAGTGAACTTATCAAAAGATAAACAGGAGAGGCATATTCCTTTTTTACTTGTTCATGACCAACTTACGAATTTTATTTATTTGTTGTATTTGACAAGACTATATAAATAATCACAGAGTTCATAAACAAAACACTCAAGGTACAGCTAACTTAGACATTCCAGCTTGGCCAAATACATAAACTAATAAGAAGGAAAATCATGTCCATACCCACAGTTATAGACTTACATTCAAATACCTAGTGAAATCAGGTGGGAACAAAGGTCAAGAAGGTGAACACAGCCTGTGGCCAGCATGTATGTGCAAAGGGGTCAGGAGAGCAGCCTCTCTAAAGTGGGAGAACTACATTTCTCCTGTTGCCATGCTAAGACCCATATAACATTAATTAATAGAAAAACATAATCTGTTTGCATGTGGAACAGTCCTGAGGAAAATGACAAAAAATGATTCCTTGGTTCTTTATATGAATTATGATTTATTACATGTAGGTCTGTTCTCATTTTCCTGTATTTCAATAAATGTATCTCTTATGATGTGTCATAAGGTCTATCACCAGGTTATTGCAAGTGATAGAACAGCCAGCAACTTCCTTTAGTAAAAGATTGTAATTAGAAACAAAACTCCTTCTTAAGGGGTCGGTGCCGTGTGATAGGTAAAGTCTCTACCTGTGGTGCTGGCACCCAACATAGGTGCCAGTTCATGTCCCAGCTGTAATGCTTCTGATCCAGCTCCCTGATAATGATTTGGGAAAAGCAGCTGAGGATAGCCCAAGTATTTGGAGCTCTGGGACGCACACAGACACGCAGAAGAAGCTGCTGGCCTGGACTGCCCAGTGCTGACGATCACAGCAGTCTGTGCAGTATGTCAGCACACGCAAGACCTCTCCAGCTCCCTCCCTCTCTCTAAATACATAAATTCATCTTAAGAAACAATTTCTAAGGCCAGCATTATGGCATAGCAAGTAAAACAACCACCTGCGACACTGGTGGATCTTAACAAATATAAAATCCTAGTAGGGAGTCTTTAATTTTATAACAATACATATTATGAAAAAACCAAATAACTCAAAAGGGAAACTATCCAGTTCATGGAAAACCACAAACTGCTAACATACATGTCAAAAGATGCTTAATCTCATTCTTAAGTACAAATGTTGACTGAACCAATGGAATAGTATTTTCTACCCACTAGACTGATAATAAGGAAAGAGACTAGTAAAATACAATATAGATAAGGATGTGAGGAAATGAGAATTCTCATCAAGCATTGCTGGTTAGATGAGAGAATAATCTTCATCAGGTCTGCATTGTGTAGTGTGTAAAGCCACCACCTGCCAGCATCCCTTAGGGACACTGGTCCAAATCCTGGCTGCTCCACTTCCAATCCAGCTCCCTGCACCTGGGAAAGCAGCAGAAAATGGCCAAGCACTCGGGTCCCTGCACACATGTCAGAGACCTGGAGGAAGCTCCTGGCTCTGAATCCTCCCAGTTGTGACTGTTGTAGCCATTTGCAGAATCAACCAACAGATGGAAGGTATTTCTCTATGTTTCCCTTTCTTTGTAACTGTCTTTCAAATAAATAAATCTAAAAAAAAAAAAGGAATGAAAGAAGAAGACCAACCTTTGTCAAAGGCAATGGGAAAGTGTCTGCTATGTTGTATACATAATCTCTCTGCTTCTGAGCAATACACAAAGTTTTTACCATAGCCCTGAAATACAACATTCCCAACTTTCTTAAATTATTTCTTTCTGAAATCAGCAGCCTGGAACTTCAACTATGTCTCCCATGTGGGTGGGTAACAGAGGCCCAATTTCCGGGACCAGGTTCTGCTGCTTTTCCAGGCACATTAGCATGGAGCCAGACTGACTAGGGACTAGAATCCATACTCACATGAGATGCTGGCATCACAAGCACTGGCTTAACTCACTGCATAAAAATGCTGGCCCCCAAATCCTAACATTTTAAAGAAACCTTTATAAAGCAAAGATGTAAAGGCCCATCACAGTCAATCCACAGGAAGCCTCAGTAAAGAATGACCTCACCTTAAATCCACATGCTTGACACGGCTCATCCTGTTCAGTACTCCTAGGCTTAGGACTTGCAGGCAATTTCCTGCCATAACAATTTTATCTACCACAGTGAGTTTCTCATAAACCTCAGGTATCTGACTGAAGTTGTTGAAGGAGAGGCCCAGGGAGGAGAGTTGTTGCAGATTTCCTAATTCTTCAGGTAAAGTTGTCAGAAAGTTACCATCAAGACAGAGGGTTTGAAGGCTGTAGGGAGAAAACAAAGCTAATTATATCAATGAAAAGTTTCATTGGAATAAACAAAATACAGTTATGGATTCTTTAATTTTAAAAAAAATTTTAACATTGTTACACAGTTGAGAGGGATGTACACCCATGTGGGCTTCTGATTAGGGTGGGAAGGGTCAGGGATGAAGGAAGGTGGGTCAGACGTGTTTCAGGTTTTTTTTTCCTGTGTCCACCAGGGAGGAAGTGGGAGCATGCCTTGCTGTCAAACTACATCAGCAACTTGGGATGGAGGACAGTCCTTTGATGATGCCTTAGAGATCCCAACATGGAAAACACTGTTCCAAAGGTCAAAGGTGCTACTTGAGTGGTTTTGATCGTTTAGAGAAGTTGCTGGTTTCATTGCTCAAGGGTTGATAAAATGTTTCCAAGGTCTACTGTTGACAAAGTCCACCTCACTGCATCCACAAACCCAGGAACACACTGCAAAGCTTGGCCAGAATTGTTCAACCTGCTCTGCTTTCTATCTTCTGACAAGGCAGTCAATGTCCTCTGCTGGTCTTCTAGAAGAGTTAACTATCAGGTCCCCCGTGTGCATCTGCACATGCTGTCTACCACACAGGCATCAGCAACTCACAGTTACAGATTGTAACTTATGTGATGAATTATCAATACAAAATGTTACAGCACCTAACTCTTGGCTGAAAAACCTAATATCTGACTTATATGGCTTGTCCCTCCAAAATCAGAAGCAAGACCTCTGTTGTTGAATTAGAGGAACTGGGTATTGCTACAGACATGTGGGTCTCTGATATCAAAAACCCCTCCTGCCTGGAATCCTAATAACTGATCTACCACTGCAGGAGCTCATGCTGCTCCCTTCATGCGTCACTACTCAGCAAAAGAAAAGAAAAATCTAGGAAAAGCCAGATACTTACTTTAGCAGATTACCAATCTGACTTGGCAGGTCATAAAATCCATTACAGGAAAGGTTGAGCTCAGTCAGAGTAGAGATCTCACACAACGATACAGGAAATAGTCCAAGTTTATTATGAGACAAGTTCAGGCCCTTCAGTTGAGAGAATCTGAAGAGCAGAGTTAGAAATTCACATTGCATTTCAATAAATCTATTATCATATCTTTACAAGAGACATCAACGGCCTGAGATGATCTGTTTTAAATGTCCATTACAGAATGTTTTCCCAAAATATTTACTGGGTACTCAGTGCATGCCAACAGTGTGTGAACATAGGGTGCTAGGTTGACTAACACACAAACCACACAACCAAGGAAACCAGTTTTAATGTGATGGAAGTTCTCTCTTCTCCTTCAAAAGGCACAAAATCCTAAAGACCAGAGCAGGCTGGACCCATTCTCTTATATTAAACTATTCTTGAAATGCTTGAAATCTTTTCTATTATTAAATTTCTACATATAATACCCAAAGCCTTACAAGAATTAACTCAGGAATAGCCAGCACACATGTGTATCAATTCCTGGTCTATTAGTAACTTCTTTTTCATACTGACATTATGCTGGCTCCAATGTCATTTGAAATGAAGAGCAGACGGAACTGGATAATGTCATGTGTCACAGTGTTTTAATGTGATATGAACTGAGATGCACTAAGGCACAGTCATTCTGGTGCTTCTACTTTGTCGACAGATAGAGAGAGAGAGAGAGAGAGAGAGAGAGAGAGAGAGAGAGAAAAGTCGCCCCAGCCACCTCAGCTTTGGGGTATGATACAGTTATGCCAACACAGGCAGCTCGGGCTGAGGTGTTGCCCACCATGATGGTGAACTCTATCACCTTCCAGACGGGAGTCCACACCATTTCATTCCAATGCTCTTCCTTCAAATTAATTTTCAACTTTTGATTTCCAGATTCCCCTGACCTTTTACTAATTTTTTTTTTGGCTTGCTGTCTTGACTTCCAAATTTTTAATTTAGCCCTCAAAATGGAATAATTCTATTTTCAAAGCAACTGAAAAGGAAATGCTAAAAATAAAAATCCTTAAAAACCACAGCTCATTTTCATTTTTACATACCCATACCATTAAAATATCTAAATAGAGGGTTACATATACTTGGAAAACTTTCAAAAATGTAGTATCAGATGAGCCAGAAATCACAATGTTTCCAGAAACTACTCTAGAATTATTAGCTATTAAGAAAGTATGTAAAATATGTCATCTTAATGGGCACTATCTTTTTAATTATCACATAATTGAAACTACTATGAATGGTGTAATCTCCTCCTAGGGCCAGACAGTTGATTATACAACATAATTTATTCACTCTTACCCATTTACAAGTGGAAGGGAAGAGGAAGAATGGGGAATATAATCCAATAAAAGAGACATAAAAAACATGTAGGTCATACCTGTAGGAATGAAATGGTTCCTTTATTAGCAGAGAGAGAAGTTTCATAGCTGAAAAGGCTTAAGAGTTGGCAGCAACAGGTAAAAAAGAAAAATAAAGCTCTGACTGCAAGAGTGAAATTCCTGCAATCAGGCTTACTGAGGTCATTTAAATGTGGTATTTCTAATTCAAGCACGTTCTACATGCTGAGTCCCTGGCAGGTTCTGCAACACCGTCAATGATTGACATTAAAGAAATAAACCTGATCAGGGTAGTTCTTGTGGTTTCCGTAACAACACTTCATAAATCTATTGTTTTATAAGGGGAGAGGAGAGTGACAGAATTGTGTCAGCAAAAATACTTTACTTCCTCTTCACAAACGAAGGCTCACTCACAGTTGGACACTCCTATGATACCGATTTCAATCTCACTTGAGTAAGTCGGCCTGGAAAGCTGTTCTCCGCATACCTGTAGAGTGTGTCGAGGCCCCCTGGCCTTTCAGAGTGCATGAAGTTGTGTCGCAAGTTGAGGTAGGTGATATCTTGACTGTAGAAGAGATGCTCTGGAACTTCCTCTAGGCTGTAGCAGGAAAGATCCACAGTGCTGATGCGCTGGGACACCACCTGAACAGGGCGAGCAAGAAGAACGCTCAACCTAGCGCCCAACTTCTGCACCCCACACAACATGGAAGAGCATTTACTCCACAAGCACCAATTCTAAAGATCTGGATAAAAATGCGGTAAGATCCAATTATTCATTAGTAACAACTAGCTATGTTTTGCCTTTGTACAAAATCATGGCTACTTGAAAAACAAGTATGTAAACTGTAAGTCTAACTACAAAATTTTTTTTTTTTAAAAAAAGCAAATTAAAAAGATACAGGTAATATCATATGCAAGTAGCAATGTTGAGACAATTCAAAATAAGTTACAAAATCTGGGAGGCAGTGTGATGACAATAAGCAGTCTTGTGCAGCCACACTAACTCTTCCACTTTCTAGTGCTATGTCTACATTTGTCAGAAAGATAAAATTAACTCATCAAATACACAGTATACAGCTGACTCTATAAAAGATGCCCAAGAAATATTAACTTTAAAAGGGCAGGAGAACAATGGAAGTTTCTTAATAGTAAGGTTAGCTTAATTCAGAGTAGATTTTTTTCAAATTCATTTATTTTTATTGGAAAGTCAGATATACAGAGAAGGAGAGACAGAGAGGAAGATCTTGCAACCAATGATTCACTCCCCAAGTGGCCACAACGGCCAGAGCTGAGCTGATCCAAAGCCAGGAGCCAGAAGCTTCTCCGGGTCTTCCATACAGGGGCCGGGTCACAAGGCTTTGAGTCATCCTCTAATGCCTTCCCATGCCATAAGCATGGAGCTGGATGTGATGTGGAACAACTGGACCCAAAAGAGTTGCAATATGGGATTCCAGTGCTTGCAAGATGAGTATGTACCACTGGCCATTACACTGGGCCCTCTCAAATAATTTTTTTTTAAGTATTACTAGAAAATCATTAATTTTTTAAAAAGATTTATTTATTTTTATTGGAAAGTCAGATATACAGAGAGAAGGAGAGACAGAGAGAAAGATCTTCCCACCATTGACCCCCTCCCCAAGTGACTGCAACAGCCGGTGCTGTGTCAATCCGAAGCCAAGAGCCAGGAACTTCCTCCAGGTCTCCCCCGTGAGTGCAGGGTCCCAAGGCTTTGGGCCGTCCTCGACTGCTTTCCCAAGCCACAAGCAGGGAGCTGGATGGGAACTGCAGCCGCCGAGATTAGAACCGGCACCCATATGGGATCCTGGTGCATTCAAAGAGAGGACTTAGCCACTAGGCCACTGTGCCAAGACAAAAGGAGAGGCAGCACTGAGTCTACTGGTTCACTCCCAAAATGCCCTGAACAGCTTTGGGCTGGTAACTGAAGGCAGAAGCCCAAACTCAATCCATGTCTCCTATGCAGATGTCAGACACCCAGTTTCTTGATGGCCGCCAAGACAGAGGCTGGCATTGTGACACAATAGGTCAAGCCACTATTTTTCTCTAAGATTCATTTATTTAATTTTTTTTAATTGGAAAGTCAATTATACAGATACAAAGACCTTCCGTATGATGATTCACTCCCCAAGCAGCTGAAACAACTGGAGCTGAGTTGATCCAAAGCCAGGAGCCAGGAGTTTTTTCCAGGTCTCCCACACGGGTGCAGGGTCCCAAGGCTTTGGGTTGTCCTCTACTGCTTTCCCAGGCCACAATCAAGGAGCTGGATGGAAAGTAGAGCTGCTGGAATTAGAACAATTGCCCATATGAGATCCCAGCATGTTCAAGGCGAGGACTTTAGCCACTTAGTCTACCATGCCGGGGCCAAGACACTACTTCTAACATGCTTATGCCTCATATTAAAGCACCAGTTATAGGCTGGCTACTGCACTTAAGATCCAGCTACCTGCTGTCAAGTCTGGGAAAGCAGCAAAAATGGCCCATGGTGCTTGGGCCAACCATGTGGGAGATCCAGATGGAGTTCTGTGCTTTTGTCTTCAGCCTGGTCCATCCCTGACCTCTGTGCTATTTGAGAGAGTGAATTAGCAGACTGGTACCAATTTGTGTCCTGGCTCTGCACTTCTTATCTAGCTCCCTGCTTATATCCTAGGAAAACAGCAAAAATGGCTCAAGTCTTTCAGCCCCTGCATCCATGTGGAAGACCAGAAGAGACTCCTGAGTTCAGATAAGCTCTCAGTTCAGGCTGCCATGGCTATTTGGAGAGTGAACCAGTAGATGAAAATTTTAAAATAAATTGATAAAGAATAAGAAGATGGTCAGGAGAAGAAGAAAACCTGAAAATCACAATCTAACTTTCTAGTAGTGTGTGTTTTTAAAAATTATTTGGAAAGATCACCCATCTCTGGCTCACTCCCCACATGGCCAGGGCAAAGGCTGAAGGCAGGAGAGTGTAACTTAGGAACCCAAGTGCTTGGGCCATCAGCCGTTGTCTCTTAGGGAACACATTAGCAGGAAGCTGGATCAGAAGCAGAGGGACATTACTCATTATACTAGGCATATTGAAGTGGCTATCCCAAATGCCACTCTGACTGATGCCTCAAATACCTGCTCCCATAGTTCACTGTTAAAGGCTAAAAAGCATAAGTTACACTGAAAAAACAATTTTTCCCAGCATGTAAGAATAGTGGGTTAGGACAAAATCACGGGTTAATGCCCCACCAATCAATTCAGATGTGAAGTAGTCTTCAAAGCTGTTCTCATCTGCACAAACCAAGACACACTAGGATGCCAGGCAATGAACAGCTCGATCCATCAAACGCTGCTGACTACTGTGTTCAAGGAAAGTCTTATAAATCTCATGGGTCTCAATTTCTTCAAGGGCCAAACCTGATTACATCATCATTCTTTCCAAGGTCCTATCTCACAGAGAAGGTGGAAATAAATCCACCCAAAAAACCTTTTCAACAGCATTTTGTCATGCAAATATGAGTACTGAAATTAGTTAAGGACCTGGTGGAATTCCATGACTCTATTCATCATATATTCAAAAAGGCCTAGATAGGAATTACGAAGTATGATTCACTTTCTCAGCAGTAGGTTCAGTTTCAAAATACGTAATATTTGGCTTCCGCATTCTTATCCCATCGGGACATTTTGACGCTTCTCACCTTGGATGCTTGCCGCTGCCACCTCTGGTACTCAGCCAGAGTCTCGAAGCTGACGTGATAGGTCTGGGCTTGGGCTCCAGCTGAGCTGAAGGCAAGGGAGTGCTGCCGGCGCTTCACTTCTTCTATCTGAAACAAAGCAGAGGGGAAAAGCAGAACCTCTCAGAACCTGGCCTCATCAAAAAGCAAAAACCTAACTAAGAAAAAGATAGGTTCCACCTGCCAAAGAATCACCAACATACCCAAAGAGTACACTTTACCAAGCTTTCTTAAATCGCATTGAAACCTTTTTTTTTTTCCCTACTAGGCCTATGGAAAGAGGCAAAAACCTCTCCTGTTCCCTTTTGGAATGGTTATGGGCACTTACAGCACAAAAACACCCATCTTAAGAAACTCTTGTTCGAATTCCAACAACCAATCCATACAGTGCTGGTGAGAACACAGGCTTCTTAAACCTTGTGCTACATCTTTGCCATCTCGCTTTTGCATCACATACACCAAATCTTGGCAATTCAACTGGAAACTTACAAGTCATGCTTTGTAAATGTTTAGGTTTCTGGTGCCAGCTAAAAAAGAATCACATTAAAAAGATTCACTAAAAATTACTTCATAACTTTGATGGTCATAGAACATAACCATTTTTTCAACTGATTAAATTTGTGTCAAAATAAAGGACCTTTTCTTTTATTCTTTCTTTTATTTATTTATTTATTTATTTATTGGAAAGGCAGATTTACAAAGAGCAGGAAAGACAAAGATGTTTCATCTGCTGGTTTGCTCCATAAATGAAAAATAGATATTGTTTTAGAATGATGTTCCTTAAATGTTTTATTATGAAATGTTTGACACAGTAAAGCATTGCATATAATGCTACATACAGAGAAAAGGTTAATAAATCTTCCACTAGATTTAAAAATTTTTAGGAGTAGGGCCTGGCGTGGTGGTGCAGTGGTTAAGGTCCTCGCCTTGCACACCCGGGATCCCATATGGGCACTGGTTCTAATCCCTGCAACCCCACTTCCCTTCCAGCTCCCTGCTTGTGGCAGGACGGCCCAAAGCTTTGGGACCCTCGTGGGAGACCCGGAAGAGGCTCCTGGCTTCAGATCGGCATAGCATCGGCCGTTGTGCTCACTTGGGGAGTGAATCATTGGACGGAAGATCTTTCTCTCTGTCTCTCCTCTCTGTATATCCGCCTTTCCAATAAAAATAAAATAAATCTTTAAAAAAAAAGAGAGAGAAATTTTAGGAGTAATAAAGTTAATTTTGCATTATATATGTTTGGGCTATACCATTAGGTAACTACAACAATGTAACTAGTAAATATTTATAGTAAAATTCTGTGGTGAGCCACTCCAGCTGTACTAATGCTTTGTGTGTTAAGCTTCTGAGGAAGATCAGTTCTTTTGAGATATAACTTATCTAAAATAAAATTAATGGGTTTTAGGGCCAGCACAGTGGCACAGTAGCCTAAGCTACCACCTATGGAGCCAGCATCCCATACGGGCTCTAGTTAAACCCTGGATATTCCATTTCCCATCCAGCTCCCTGCTTGTGGCCCAGGAAAGCAGGAGGAGAATGGTACAAAGCCTTGGCCCCTGAACTCTTGTATGACACCTGGAAAAGGTTCCTGGTTTTAGATTGGCTCAGTTCTAGCCTTTGTGGCCATTTGGGGAGTGAATCAAAAGATGAAAGATCAATCAATTTCAATTTCACTCTCTTCTTTTCTATGTAACTTTGCCTTTCAAATAAGTAAATGTAAATTTTTAAAATAAAATAAAATTCACATATTTAAAACCATCACTGATTCTAAAATCATAGTTTGATTTTTTTTGTAATCAAGTAGAATATGTAAACCCATGAACCTCAAAATTTGCTGAATAGCCCTCTGCAATCTCTTCCCTTCCTACTCCAGCCACCACTGATCTGTTTTCAAGTACTACAGTTTTAGTTCTTTCAGAATTTCATAAAAATGAAGTCAAAATAATAAATGAACTTTTGCACCACGCTTCTTTCCCTTGGAATAATGCTTCTGAGAGGCAGTGTTATAACCTAATGAGTAAAAAGCTGCTGCCTGCAATGCCAGCAGTATGAGTCCCAGTTGCTCCACTTCCAATCCAGCTATTTGCTAATAGCCTGGGAGAGCAGCAAAATACGGACCAAGTCCTTGGGCCCCTGCACCCACACGGGAAATCTGGATCAGGCCCCTGGCTCTAGGCTAGCCCAGCTCTGGCCACTGCAGCCATCTAGGCAGTCAACCAATGGAAATTACACAACCTTCGTGTAAGTCAAAGAAAGAAAGAGAGAAAGAGAACAAAAGAGAGAGAAAAAGAAGAAGGAAGGAAGGAAGGAGAGAGAAAGAGAAAGAGAAAGAGAAAGAGAAAGAAAGAAAGAAAGAAAGAAAGAAAGAAAGAAAGAAAGAAAGAAAGAAAGAAAGAAAGAAAGAAAGAAAGAAAGAAGCGAAGGGATGGAAGGAAGGAAAGAGAAAGAAAGAGAGGAAAGAAGGAAGGAAGGAAGGGAGGAAGGAAGGAAGGAAGGAAGGAAGGAAGGAAGGCAGGCAGGCAGGCTCCTGAGATTCACCTTAGCTTCTGTGTATTGATACACTATTCCTTGTCATTGTTCGGCATGATTCCACCATATGGATATACCACATCTGCCAGTAATTCACCAATTACTGAGCTTGTAGATTTAAAAAAAAAAATTGAGGAATCAGTGGAAGACTGGTTTGGGCTATTCTGAATCAAGCTGCTATGGACATTCACATAAAAAAATGCTCAGGGTCAGCATTGTAGTACAGTAGACTAACTCACCACCTACAATGCCAGCATCTCATGTGAGCCCTGGTTCAAGTCCCAGCTGTTCCACTTCTAATCAGCTCCCTGCTAGTCACCTTTGGGTCCCTATCACCCATATTAAAATCCAGGTGGAATTCCAGGCTCTTAACTTCTCAGACCACTTCAATCACTGACGTAGTGAACCAGTAGATAAAAGAAGTATGTGTGTAACTTTCAAATAAAACAATAAATCTTTAAAAAAAAATATGCTCAGGACCAGAGCCCTGGCACGGTAGCTTAAGTCTTTGCCTGCAGTGCCACCACCACATATAGGTATCAGTTCAAGTCCTGATTGTTCCACTTCCAATCCAGACCCCTGCTAATGCACCCTCCCTGTAAATATGCATACTTTTACATTCATCTGTCCCATTTGATTAGTACAGCAATTGTTTCCCTGGGATGGGGAATCCTCTAGGAAAGATGTAGGAATCATGCCCAGGTGCTGGATCAGGAGTGGGATCATCTCAAACTCTGAATTTTACTCGAATAGGGACAAAGGAGACATCAGGGAGCAGCTGTCTGGGCAGTGCTTACTGGCAGCTGCTCCCCATTCCTCAAGGCAGCTGGTGGGGGAACCACCCTCTCCATCCCCTCAGTGCTCTCAGCGGCAGCAGCGCACACCTGTCACCAAGGCTCTGCCACAGGACACAGAGCAAGGACAGCCTTTCAATTTCCCAATCCCATTAAAGATGAGGGGATCTTTAATGATGCACACAGGGGCGTCTCTGGAAAGCTAAAAAAAAGGCTACGATAAGCAAAAGCAGTTTTTTCTTCAGCTCGCATGGAAAATAGTAATTTATGTTTTGTGAGTCCTACCTTTCCCCCAACCAGAGGCAAAATGTGCATCTTCCCAGTCTGACAGTCCTTCACTGAGGAAACAATAAGGCAGGTGCCACAGAGGACAACGAGGCGCTCAGCCCACTTATGCAGCTGGGTCTTTCCCTTGCGCACGTTATAGATACCAGACAGCAGGATACGATCCAGATGATCCATCTGGCATGGTTTCTCTGAAAAAGGAAACAGTGCCTCAGAACCAGAGAAGCAGCCGAAGAACACTGAACGTATGCAGCATCAACATTCAACAATCTTAGTTATAAGTAACCAAGCAATACAAGTATTACAAAACGAGATCTTAGAGCATCCTTCACTTCATTCACACAGTGGAAGCATCTGCAAATTTTGGTCTCCAAAGCAGTACCTCATCTTGGACACCACTGTAAATCCTTCTTCCAAGAGCCTTACCTCATGTATTACAAGCAGAGAAAGGGAGTTAGTGGCTGAGACCACGAATTTGGGAGCCCAACTAACTTGACTCTGACAATTGTCTTGCCACTTTGTTTCCTTGAACTTTAAGCCTCAATGAGATTTTTGTTTGTTTGTTTTTAAAGATTTATTTTTATTGGAAAGCAAGATATACAGAGAAGAGGAGAAAAAGAGAGGAATATGTTCTGTCCATTGATTCACTCCCCAAGTGGCTACAATGGCTGGAGCTGAGCCAACTTGGAGTAGGGAGCCTCTTCTGGGTCTCCCACATGGGTGCAGGGTCCCAAGGCTTTGGGTTGTCCTCTACTGCTTTCCCAGGCCACAAGCAGGGAGCTGGATGGGAAGCGGGCCTGCTGGGATTAGAACTGGCACCCATATGGGATCCCAGAGTGTGTAAGGCAAGGACTTTAGCCACTAGGCTACCACATTGGGCTTAAGCCTCACTTAGTTTTTCCACTCATTTAGTCTGGATCTTATTACTGTGTATTTTTAGGAGGTACTCACAAAAATTAAGATAATGAATATAAAATACTAAGCATACTTTAAGGTACAAAAGAAGCATAGAGCAAATAACAGCAATTATTACTAATGCATTTCAGAGGGAAGAACTAATGACAAGAGGCATTCTGTAGCGTTACACACAATCCTCCATCCCTCTGCCACTCACGCGGGAGACTGACGGATGACATCCCAGCCACCTGCTTCAATCATGGTAGCAGAAGTGTCACGAGTATATCACAGTTTCTCCTTCCTGGAGCTGGTGCTGTGGCATGGCAGCTTAAGCCTTCACCTACAGAGCTGGTGTACCATATGGGCACTAGTTCCAGTTCAGGCTGCTTCACTTTGTATTCAGCTCTCTCTGTTAATGTGCCTGGTAAAGCAGGAGAAGATGGCCCAAGTCCTTGGGTACCTGCACCCAAATGGAATATACTCAGAAGTTCCTGGATCCTGACTTTTGACCAACCTAACTCTAGCGACTGCAGCCATCAGGGCAGTGAGCCAGTTTCACATTCTAAATTCTCCTCATGGATTGAGTTCTTTAGACCCGGAAGAAGCCCCTGGCTTCAGCCCAGCCCTCCCCCAGCTGCTGGGGGCCACTTGGGAAGTGAACTGCTAGATGAAAGATCTGCCATTCTCTCTCTCATTTTGCTTTCCAAACATAAGTATTTTAAAAATCATTTTCTCTTTATATTTCTGCCATATATGTATATATTCTGTATTAATAATCACAGTAGTTTAAGCCACTACAACAAATGTAAGATGAGCAATCAAGGACAACAAAAACTTGATTCTGTTAAGGGGGCATTCCAGATGTCCAGCGTTATTCAGAAACTTGGGTTTGATGCCATTTTTAACACTTCACTATAAATACTGTCACTTGTTGCCATCCCAACCCAGGACAGAGGAAAATATACTGAGAAGCACACTTGGGAGGCTTTAGGAATCAGGAATGAAAGTGGCGTGCGTCAGCTCCACCCACGCCATCTAAGAGCGCAGCACAGGGGCACACCTCACTGCGACCAGGGTGGAGACACACGCTGTGCCTGGGCACTCACACCCAATTCCACTCTGGCACGGAAGAATCGCTAGGCTCCGCTAAGTCACACGGCTGACTGTCACCTGTTGCTGAACTTTAAATGAATAAGCATACCAGGTGATCCTTTCATGCCTAGCTCCTTCTGATGTGTTTATGCTCCTCAGACAAACGGTCTTAAGCAATGTATGCAAAGAATGTGGTCCAGGATTAGATGTTCAGATGGGGAGCCATGCTGCCCGAGCTGGACACAGAGCCAGAACTACATTTTCTCTAGCAAATCACACACATCTTTTCCCCGTAACAACCTTTCCTCACACACAAGAAGAGGTAGATTAATACGCTCCCTCATCCCTGTATGGTTACTCATGCTTCCCACTCAGGCGCAGCCATGGCTTTCACATCATTCATCTGCACTGAGACTCTGTTCCTCTCACCCCATTCTCCCACTGCCACACACATACCCCGCCCCCAACACACACAGACACCCAGCCCTGCACACCCTCTCCATCAAAACTGATACCCCAGCACTTCCCACTGACTGCCTGGGAGAGCAGACACCTTTTCTACCCAGAGAACACAATAATACATGGAATGAACTTAGGAACCCATGACTGTGGCCTCATTAATTATATATTCTAAATGAGCTCACTCACCGAGGATTCTGCACATGATATAGTTAAGCCTGATTGCTAAGCTATTTGCTTTAGAGAAACTACCTCCAAAGTACCTTTCTTCCTGTTCATTTTGGTGCCTTTGGATTCAGGATATGACAACAGTGAAAAGCAAGATTATTTTTTTCTGATGATTCCATGGTATATCCACAAAATCTTTTGAAAGAAGTTTGAGCCTTGAGTGGGCATTTGGCTCAACAGTTAAAAAGTTGCTTGGTTGGGTTAAGCCTCCACCTGCGGGATGGGTATCTCACTTGCAGGGCAGGTTCAAGTACTTACTACTCCACTTCCAATCCAGCTCCCTGCTAACACAACTAGCAAAGCAGTGGGAGATGATCCAAGTTCTTATATCCCCGCACCCACATGGGAGACCCAGAGGAAGGTCCCGGCTCCTGGCTTCAGATGGACCCAGCGCCAGCCATTGTGGCCATGCAGGGACTGAATCAGCCAGTGGAACATCTCTTGTTCTTTCTGTCTCTCCTTCTCTCTACATAAATTTGCCTTTCAAATAAAATTTAAAAATATCTTTAAGGGGGGAGGGGCTGCGTGGACGCCCACATTCCATTGGCACCACTTTCACTTCCAGCTTCCTGTTAAAACACATCTTGACAGGCAGCAGATGATGGATCCCTGTCACATACGCGGGAGACCCAGACTGAGTTCTCACCTCCAGCTCTGGGCTGGCACAATCTCAACTCTTGATGGTATTTTGGAGAGTGAGCCAATGGACAGAAGATCTCTGTATTTCTCTGTGCGTGTGTGTGTGTTTTAAATTAAACAAATAAATGTTTTTTTTAAAAAAAAAAAAAAACCTAGAGCTTAATGCCCCTTGTATAGTACAAGCTGTTCAGTGACTTGCTTCTTTGTTTGGAGGCCTCTGCGTGCGTGCAAGCACGTGTCAGCGTGTGCCTGTCCGCACTGAGGAGGTGACATGCCATGTTGTGAAGAGCAACTGAAATGCCGTGCTAACAGCCACATGCATGAATCATGCCAATCTTCCACCCCACTCAAGTCTTCGGATGACTCCAATGTCCTGAGACTCAGGCCAGAACCCTGCAGATACCCAACCCACAGAAACTGCGAAACAAATATCTACTATCCTTTTTTTTTTTTTTTAAAGATTTATTTTATTTTTATTGGAAAGGCGGATATACAGAGAAGAGAGACAGAGAGGAAGATCTTCCGTCCGATGATTCACTCCCCAAGTGAGCGCAACAGCCGATGCTATACTGGTCCGAAGCCAGGAGCCTCTTCCGGGTCTCCCACGTGGGTGCAGGGTCCCAAAGCTTTGGGCTGTCCTCGACTGCTTTCCCAGGCCACAAGCAGGGAGCTGGATGGGAAGAGGGGCCAGAACTGGCGCCCATATGGGATCCCGGGCGTGCAAGGCAAGGACCTTAACCACTGCGCCACCGCGCCGGGCCCTCTACTATCCTTTTATTTCACAAGGTTCTCAGGGGTGGTGCAGCACAATAATATAGTAACTGCAAACCCCTTTCTTGAACATAATATTCTCACTTAGATGATACTAGCTTCTCTAAGGTAGCAGAGCTCATACTTGCAGAGGTTTGCTACTTAAAACTTCTCAAAATGTAAATACTACAAATGGGTATTCTGCCTTTTATGGTTATATTAAGATCCTCCTCATAGTCTATCTTATAAAATGCTGGTAGAAAAATCAGTGGCATTAAGCTGATCACTGGGGCCCGGCAGCGTGGCCTAGTGGCTAAAGTCCTTGCCTTGAAAGTGCCAGGATCCCATATGGGCGCCAGTTCTAATCCTGGCAGCTCCACTTCCCATCCAGCTCCCTGTTTGTGGCCTGGGAAAGCAGTCGAGGACGTCCCAAAGCCTTGGGACCCTGCACCCACGTGGGAGACCTGGAGGAGGCTCCTGGCTCCTGGTTTCAGATCGGCATAGCATTGGCCATTGTGGTCATGTGAGGAGTGAATTAATGGACGGAAGATCTTCCTCTCTGTCTCTCCTCCTCTATGTATATCTGACTTTCCAATAAAAATAAATTTCAAAAACTTTAAAAAACAAACCAAAACCAAAAAAAGCTGATCACTAAGCAATGCAAGTGAATGTAAAAATCATGAGTAAAAAGTAGCCTACTGGCACCTCACAACTCAACTTTTCCTCTATAAAGTGAAACATATACAGAAGAATGCAAACTCAATTACAATCAAGTACAAGGTACGTTACTGCTCCAAGGCCTTTTTTTTTAAACCACATTTTATGATAGCAAGCTTGTGTTCTTCAAATTATAAGATTCTTGTGATTCACCTTAAATCTCGCAGGTATTCTCTCAACATGAACCAGTAAAGGCTCTTATTTATACTTCCTACTTACAATATTTTACCACTCAAGAATTCCCACTGTTTAAAATGAACATCAAATCAGCAAAACACAAGAACAGAGAGCAGGGCGGGCACTGGTAGCATGGGAGTTACATCATTGCTTGGGACATGTGCATCTTACATTGAAGCCTGGTTCAAGTATCTGTTCCTTCATTTCCAATCCAGTTTCCTGATAACACATGTGAGAGGCAACTGATGATGGCTCAAACTCTTGGGTTTCTTGGTACATGAGGGACCAGGATAGAGTTGCTGGCTCCTGACCCAGCTCTAGGGGCTGCAGGCATTTGGGGAGTGACTGGAAGATAGAAGCTCTTTCTCCCTTGTCAAACTGCCTTCCAAATAAATACACAAACAACCTTTAACAAAAAAAAAAAAATGATACTTTTGGCTAACATATTTAAGTTTTCCTTTCAGCTTCACCACTGACCTCTTGTTAACACTGTAGTTTGCTTGTTTTCAACTATAACAGTTAACTGTCCTCAAAATAGCTTCTGATAACATATTCTTTAAAATCTGAAGACAGAGGAACCAATGACCCACTTAAAGGTAGTGAACATATCCACAAAGCCACTGATAAATTCTTACCACCATAGAATCGGATCATACAGCCGAGGTCAGGATTTCTGGCCTCCTCCTGTATGCGCACGGGGTCCTCGAATCCCAGCCTGGACAAGTAATCATGGACAATCTGAAGAGGTCGTTCAGCAGGCTCCAGTCTCCTGTTTGCACAATTCAGAAGAAAAATATTCGATAAGTAATAAAAATACTTCGTTTAACTATTTAACCTTTCCATATAATTCTGATTTTTATTTTTTCATCAAGATTTTTCTTCATATCACATGTGACTTTCAAGGTTTTTGGTCACCCAAAAATCTTTTTGAGAACCCCAAATGGCTTGTGTTTACACAGGTTACATCTATTGATACTTACCAAAGTAGAAATTAAGAACTTTCTAGGGCTGGCACTGTGGCCCAGCAGATAAACCTACCACCTATAGCCCTTGCATCCCATATGGGCATCAATTTGAATCCCAGCTACTCCACTGCCAACCCAATTCGCTGCTAATATGCATGAGAAAGCAACTGAGAATTGCCCAGGTTTGAGCCCCTGCACTCACGTGGAAGACCCAGAAGAAACTTCTGGTTCTTGGCCTCGGACCAAGCCGGGTCCAACTTTTGCAGCCATCTGGGCAGTGACCCAGTGGATGATAATCTCTCACTGTTGCTCTCTCTCTCTCTTTTAAATAAATAAATAAACTTTAAAAAATATATATATCTTATACTCCTACAAGGTCTTTTGAGAACCTAACATCCAAACTTAAAAACAAAACTGAGATAGAAAACATTACACTGGCCACAAATAAGTTCATATTAGTTACACAGCTTATAAATACAGGATTTGGGACTGCCTATTACAGCCCAGAAAATAGATATTTCCACAAATTTCATAGATGATTCTAAAAGAGATATTTCCACAAGTTTCATAGATGATTCTTCTGTAATAACTAGAAATGAATAGCTTAATCATTCCCCTATAAAGCAATTCTATTACATGATCTTGATTGAAAGCCAAAGTAAAAACCAAATGCTTAGTAAGCATTCATGGTCTCTGGTGACAATACACTCTGAATCACACACACCTTAAATATGAATAAAAACCCCGAATAAAAACCAAAAATGATCATCATTATTCTGATAGAGTGGAATACATCATAAAATGAAAAGGCAGATTTTTTACAATGTTTTTATCATTATAAAAAGCAAAATTATAAATACCATGAAATACTACGAATACAGACTGTAAAAGTCAGAATGACTAAATGTTACCAGTTCTGCCACTTACCAACAAATCCCTGTATCAGTTAGTTAACTTTATATTAAATTTCTCACTGGTACAATGGGAATAACAATAGCACCTAATTCATAGGATTGTACTGACTTACCAAAACATGGCATAGTATGTTAAGGGCTTAGCAAAATATCACACCATTAAGTGTTCAACAATTCAAAAATGTTAGTTTTAGAATATTTTAATTTGAATAAAATCAGAGTATTTCCCCCACCTGACACAATAACTAAAAACCAAATACTGAAAGCCTATGTGCACATCCTCAAGAATTTGGGAAGGATTCTTGGGATGGGCGTTTGGCCTTGCAGGTCAGACACCCTCATCCCATATCAGAGCAACCAGGTTCGACACCTGGGATTGACACCGGCTCCATTTCTGACTCCAAGTTCTTGCAATTGAACATCCCAGGGCTCACTGATGACGGGTGAACTGCTTGGGTCCCTGCCAGCCACATGAAGAGACGGACTGAGTTCTCAGCCCCTCCCTCAGGCTGCAGTTGGGGGCCAATATAGACAATTGAGGGCTGAACCAGAAAACAGGAGTTCTTTATCTCCTTGCCTATTAAATACATAAATAAATTTTTCAGAGAATAAGAACTATCTGTCATAAGTAATTGTTTTTCTTTTCAAAGATAGAGACAGATAAACAGAACAAGTTCCCATCTGCTGGTTCACTGCCCAAATACCCAGAGGGGTTAGGGGCTGGGTCCAGGCCAAAGTGAGGAGCTAGGAACCCAAATCCGCTCTCCCACACAGATAGGGGGAACCCAAACATATAAGGCAATACCTGGCTGGTTCGCAGTGTCTGTATCAGGTATCAAACTCAGGCACCCCTGGAGCCAACATGTTGATTCAACTGGTTAGTCCTCCACCTCCAAATGCCAGAATCCCATACAGGATTCTGTCTGATTCATGTCACGGCTGCTCCACTTCCACTCAACTCCCTGCATATTGCTCAGAAAGCAGAGTAAGATGTCCCACAAAGCCATGGAGGGCGGCCCAAAGCCTTGGGAATCTGTACCCATTTGGGAGACTCAAAAGAAGCTTCTGGCGCCTGGCTTTAAATCGGCTCAGCTCGAGCCACTGTGGCTACTTGGGCAGTGAATCAGTGGATAAGAGATCTTTCTTTGTCTCTCCTTCTCTCTGTAAATCTACATTTCCAAATAAAAATAAATAAATCTTTAAAAACAAAGAAAAACAAAACAAATAACCCAGGAACCCCAACATGGGCTAACGGACACCTTCACCACTAGGTCAAATGCCCATCCTTGCTATAATATAGATAATTTAGAAGAAAATGCTGTAAAACTACACCAGATGATTTTCCTTTCAAAACTCAATAGTAAACCAGCAGATAGAAGATTTTGCGCTCTGTCTCTCCCTCTCTCCATAAGTCTAATCTGTTTTTCCAACAAATAAATCTTTAAAAAAAAAAAAAAGGCTGTAGATTTTGTAAATCCTCTTTATGAAGCATCATCTATAGAAAGTGTTTTCCATGGTGGGAGAGAAAAAAATGAAGAGAAGCCTGACATCTGTTTTCATTAATTTAGCATAAATAAGTAAACAAGTAATATTTCAAGTACAAAAACAAGTAAAATTTGGGACTAATTGTACTTTCTCATTAAACTCATCTGCTTAAGAGTAGAGAATATGGGGGAGGGAAATGCTGGAATATGTTTACAGCTCAATTTTGTGTTTCAAAGCTCCAAAATTTTAACAGCCTCGTAATTAGTGATTTGTTAAATCTCTCACAAATCAAAGAGAAATTATGTGTACTGCAAAACAGGCACAGGAGGGAGTAAGGCAGGCAACGAGGAGCCCTGCTCAGCACCTGAACTGCTGCTGCTGCTGCTGCTGCTTGAGGGAGATGAGGGGATAACATGAGAGTTCTGTCTGGCTGCTACAGTTCATGCAAACCTAAACTCAAATACACCGATCGGCAATTTCTCTCCAAACCAGCCAGTCACTGCAACAAAACTATCAACACATTACATCTCTTAGACAGAACTGTCCTTTGTCAACATATATGAGAGAGAAGAATAAATTTCATTCCAAGTACTGGGTACTTGAAACATTAGTAAAGAAATGAATTAGAAGACAAATTCATTTTGGTACAGAGAACTTGAACTCCAGGCATAGTTATGCTTCTTTTTGCTCTTTTTTTTTTTCATCAAATGCGTTTCCGTGAACATACATTTTTACATGAATACATCTATTTATTTAGGTAGCAGGAATGAGTTCTCTTTTTTTTTTTTTCAAGAGACCAATATCTGGGAAACAGAGATTTCTTGATTCACAAAATGCTCTAAGAAATTTTCTTTTAAAAAAAATATTTTTGAGAGATAAAAAGCTACTATCAGTTGGCTCAATACTCAAGTGTCCATATGACCAGGCAGAGGCCAGCTGATACCACAGTACAGGTCTCCCTGGGGGGGAACTGTCACTACTGTTCCCCAAGGATTCAAATTTTAAAGATTTATTTATTTTTTTTATTGCAAAGTCAGATATACAGAGAGGAGGAGAGACAGAGAGGAAGATCTTCCATCTGATGATTCACTCCCCAAGTGAGCACAACAGCCGGTGCTGTGCCGATCCAAAGCCGGGAACCAGGAAGTCTTCCGGGTCTCCCATGGGGGTGGCAGAGTCCCAAAGCTCTGGGCCATCCTCGACTGCTTTCCCAGGCCACAAGCAGGGAGCTGGATGGGAAGCTGGGCCACAGGGACACAAACCAGCACCCATATGGGACCCTGGCATGCGCAAGGCAAGGACCCCAGCCACTAGGCTACTGCGCAAGACCCAAAAACTGTAACTTTCATAAATGAGATTCAGAGAGTTACACATTTACTGTATGACATCAGAATTTCAAGCTGTATATCTTCATTACAAAGCCTAGTTTCTTTTCAGCAAACCACATTACTTTATATAAACCATTTGTGAACTCAAAGCATTTCAAAAACAGCTTGCACCAAGGAACATAAGAATGCATGCTTTTAAATTACAATATTTTGTTAAACATCATTCTGAAAGATCATCATTTGAAAGATACACTAGTTTTTATTCATCATTGCTGTACAACAAAGCATAGGACTGGCCTTTTTCCCAGGAAGGAGATTTTTAATTCTTACAAATTCTTGAGAAATGAAATCTTTATTACATAGGAGGCCCCTGGATAACCTCTGCATTTATGCCAAGATGAAATGGCTCAGACAGGAGCTGGTCACCAAGAAAGATCAATCATGTAAAATTTGAGGGCTGGGGGCTTTCAGTCAGCCCAACCTGGAGGGGGAACAAGGAGTGCTGCAGGCTGAGTTCAGTCACATCAGAGATTCAACCAACCATGTCTTCACAATGAAACCCAATGAAACACTGTACTTCCCCAGCCGGCGAGTACTTCATGTGCCAGGCAGGTGACAGCTCCTGATTCTACAAACAGCACCAAAGTTCTGTTGAGACCCTTCTAAACCTCTTCCCAGTGTATCTCTTCAGTTGCCTGATGTTGATTTGTATCCTCTGTACTAAACTTCAATCATAAGCACGTTTCCCTGTAAGTCATTCTAGCGGATTACTGAACCTCAGTGGGTCATGGGAACTCCCAGATTTGTAGCCAGTTAATCAGAAGTGCAGGTGGCTTGAGGAGCCTCAAGGCACAGCCAACATCTGAAGGGCAGATGTTGGGAGGTACTACTTACACAACAGAAAAAAGATGGCAAATATTATAAATAGTAGCCTGCGAGGCAAGACACTTGCGAACCAGCTGAAACTCTACCACCACCAGTCAACCTCAGCAATGCACTTTCAAACTGAAAACCTATGAAACAAAAGGAAACAGTTTCACTGAGGCCCAGTGGTTTTCAGAGGACAGTTCTTGGGCCTGTGGTACAGGACTGGATTCCACACAGAAGATATTAAGCTTCTCTTGGCCTTTGCCCCATAACTGCTGGTAACTCTTGCGAGGAGTGTGACAGCCAAAGACCCAGGCTCTGTACTTATTTCCAGATAGAAGGTGAGGGCGAGGCGGGCAGACCAGGCGGGGAGGGGCAAGAGCACTGAGCTGGGTGGGGCACGTGGGGTGGGGTGGACTCCGTTTCATTAGTTCCTCCACAGGCTAAATTTCTACATATTAGTAACCCTTGAATTATACCCAAGGGACAAGTCCATTTTTGGACAAAAGTAAAGTAATGTATGATTCAGAGAAAACGGGTTAATTCTAGTCTTGATAATTCCATTTCCAGGACCTAGCCTAAGGAGATTGGCAATGTGAAGATTCATGGCAATGGATGAGTCAACACAACATTACTTCTGGAAGCTGAATGATGGGGAAAAAGCCCAATGGGAATATTTATTGAGCACTTACTAGGAGTCAGGCATCATTCTAAATATTTTACTTCCTGGCTACTCAAAACATAGCACATCAATTCAGAACTTAATAGAGAAACATTGTCTCAGGTCTTGAAGTGGAAGAGCTGGAACTCAAAGCTGCGTCAGTGACACATGCTGAGGATTAGCCTGCAATGCCACTGCATGGCCCTTTATTACTCAATCTTTAAACAACACAGAGTATACACACTCATAAAATAAAATATTCTTTAGCTATGAAAACAAGTCTAAAGTTTTAATCAATGAAACACTGAAAATAATGTTAAGTAGGCAGAATATAAAATTGAATATATGATTATTATGATCTCAAGTATGTAATTATTAAGAAGTGTGTGCCTGCGTGTCTGAAAAAAGATCTCAGGGGGAGGGAATACCAACAGCACAGGTGAGGAGAGTGGAATTTGGTGTCAGAATGCCCACACTGACACTCCAGTCCCACTACTAACTGGCAGACTACTCGTAGGTGAGATGCTTGATTTTGTTTTCTTCAGCTATAAAAGAGGATAAAATTCAACTAAAAAAAAACTGTGAGGATTAAATAAAGCAACCTACATACAGCATAAGTAGCTGAATGCTATTATTTTGCTTCACACTTTATTTCCCATAATTTCTTCAATGAACACAGTCCACAGTCTATCAGCTATCATGTGAAGGGCTAGGAGAGACAGTACCCTCCCCCTGATTAGATAATGTCAACTACAGCTGAGAAGGAGACCTAAACAAGATCTGGACATAAGCTAGATTAAACAGTGCAACTGAGTGAGGGTTACTGCTGTGCCCGCTCCCCTTCCAGAGCTGCTGCTCACAAGGAAGTCTTTCCTGGATCTGGAGCGATGGAGGCATTCCAACTGCTGCCAGCACCTGCCTGACCTTGAGCGGGTTATGAGAGCTCTCCTGAAGTCTGCTTTCAGCAAAGGAAAAGGAATTACACTGCTTCCCCAGGCGCTATGGCGAGGACTGTAAGGAAATGTGCACAAAGCCCGAAGCACACTGGCCAGCACAGAAGCCCCGTGTGCGCAGGGTGCCTGAGCTTCCCCTTGGCGATAAGGCAGGCACCTCCAGCCCAAAGTTCGACAGTGTCTTCATCATATTGTCAAAGAACTATTTCATTATAAATTATCAAAGTTGTGGGATTAAACTGTACCTTAAAGTACAGTTTAGATTCCTATAAGTAGATAAACTGTATCACATTTGCATTCTTGTGGGAGCAAACTAATTCCAGCAGAGATATCCCATATTTATAATGTCTGTGTAAACGGAAACATTGGTTTATAGATGAATCAGTGACATGCTTAAATAAGCGGACTCAATCAATCACCACCAGCTACAATCTAGGTCAAGGCTTCCCACCTAATAAACGTAGATCCGAATCCCTGCTCAGCTTTAGAAAAGCCTATTGATGACCCAGTCTGATCCTTCGTTTTACAAGTGGATTTAGGAAAGGCAGTTAACTGGTGAACAAGGAAAACATTCAAATACTAATCTACTTTTTCAGAAATTAGTCCAAATTACAAAAGGCACATATAGTAATCCTCAATTTATACTTTTAAAGAAGGACATCAACTTTTTTTTTTTTTAACACAGCTGAAAGTGTTACTATACTTATCACTTTCAAGGTATAACTGGGGAGCTTCCTTCCTCACTATAAAACCATACTGAAGTCACAGCTTTGGATTCTCTTTCACGTTATTTCTTTTTTGCCAAGAAGAAGAAAGAAAGGGGAGGAAGAAAGAGGGCTAGGATTTAAAGAGTTATTGTCACGCCTAATTCAAAGAACTAACAGTAATCTGTCTTAAAAAAAAAAAAAACTGAATCAAAGAGTTCATATGCACAACATAAGAATACGATAATAGTCTTCACACCTCCATCAAAAATTAAAACACATTAACAGCTTTTAAATTAATGAAAACATAATTAGCTTCATGCATTAAAAGAAATTAAAATTTAAACAACAAAATTCCTATCAGATCTGCACAAATCAAAGTCATCCAGCTTGGAAAAATATATGTTCTCTTATTTTAAAAGTGTCAACAATTATCTCTATTAACAAGCAAATATATGTTCATGTGTCTATATTTCTATATAAAATGTTAATACTGGGGTCAGTGCCATGGCATAGTAGGCTAAGCTTACACCTATTGTGCCAGCATTCCATATGGGCACTGGTTTGAGTCCCAGCTGCTCCACTTCCAATCTAGCTCTCTACTTATTGCGTATGAAAGCAGCCGTGGATGGGCCCCTGCACCATGTGGGAGAGCTGGGAGAAACTCCTGGCTTCAGATCAGCTCAGCTCTCACCATCATGGACATTTGGGGAATGAAGCAGCAGAGGGAAGATATATCTCTCTCATAAATCTTTTATAAAAATATATAACACACTTTGGAAAAAGTAAAGGGGAACAGATACACCTTCAACGTTTTTGATGGAAATGTAACTTCTATGAAAAGGAATTTGGCAATATCACTCAAAATTATAAATGCTCACAAACTCCACTACTGGGAATTAATCCCAAAATGTCAGTCTCCCCTGTATTAGGGATATCACAGATACAGAGGACTCACTATATTACTGTTTAAGTGATTTAAAAAAAATTGGTAACAACCTGAATGCCCATTGATAGGAGACTCATGACTGACTCATAAAATGGAATACTACTAGTCATTGAATAAATGATAGCTACACATCTCTTACTACATAATAATCTCCAAGGAATATATTAAATCAATGATGTGTTGCATATAGCTCCACTAATTTTCATCTGTATACTCGTGCATCAGCAAATATACATGCCTATAATTACATAAACTGTCCTTAAGAAGCTGAGAAACTGGTCATCGCGACCTTCTTTGTAGGAATATCAGAACAGTCAGGAGACAGCAGAGGCCTAACTTGTTACTATCTACTCTTTCATAAATTTCAATTTAACTCTCTGTGAACTTCTCAGAAATACTTATGATCCACGCCAAATATTTTTTTAAACTCCAATTTTTCTTTATTGATTTTTTTTTAAATTCAAGAATCATAAACTCAGCATTTAGAGGACAAAACTCTTTTTCAAGACTCGTGACTCGGTTCCAACAGGATTATAATGCCAGCACCAACTTCTAAGAAAAACGCATATTGCTTCATGCTGCAGCAGAATTAGAGTGTTAAAACTCAGATCTCACCTGACCAAGTCTCCGTGAAGTTGTATATAAAGACTTTCTCTGCCTTCTCCAGCACATATTTCTGACGCTGGTGTGTCCACTGTGCAAAGGACGAGATGGTAGTCAGCGCAGGAGGAGGAAGGGACGGAGGAAGTGGCTGGTGCGGTGGCAGTGCTGGACTCAGCGCCATACAGGTAAACGCAGCCTCTCTTCACATCTTCTCTCAGCCAGTCTCTTTCTCGAGAACCAAACCTATTTCTCCTAGTTAAGCAATTTCTGCTTCCATTACGTTTCATATTTCTCTAAAAAAAAATATCAGGGGAAGAAATTAGCCAGCATGTCTGACTGAACTCTGTCATCACCCCACCTCTCTATTCCATACTCACCACTACTTCACTCACCCCTCCTCTGTGAGCCCTCAGCACCTGCTCATTCTTCCTTCTCCAGTAAAGACTTACTGACACAGTCATTCATATGAAAGTCAGAGAGGAACTGGCCCAATACATCAGTTGGCTAATCCTCTCCCTTCAAATGCAGGTTCTTATCCCATATGAGTGCCAGTTCAAGTCCCGGCTGCTCCACTTCCCACCCAGCTCTCTGCTTATGGCCTAGAAAAGCAGAAGAGGATGGCCCAAAGCCTTGGGACTCTGCACCCATGTGCGAGACCCAAAGGAAGCTCCTGATTCCTGGCTTCAAAACAGCTCAGCTCCAGCCATTGTGGCCACTTGGGAGTGAATCTGCAGATGAAGATCTCTGTCTTTTCTTCTCTTTGCAAATCTAACTTCCTAATAAGAATAAATAAATCTTTAAAAAAATAAAAACTAAAAAAAGCTTTAATTTAAGAGGAAGGGATGGAGGGAGAAAGAGGGAATGGGATAGGGAAAGAGCTCTTCCACCTGCTGGTTCACTTCCCAAATGGCTGCAAAAGCTAGGTCTGTCTGGGCCAGGCCAAAAACAAAAGCCAAAAACTCCATCCAGGTCTCCCCCACACAAGTGGCAGAGGCCTGAGTACTTGGGCCATCTTCTCCTGCCTTTCCAGACACATTAACAGATAACTGGACCTGAAGCAGAACAGCCAGGACTTGAATCGGTGCTCAGACGAGGGAAGCCATTGATGCAGCCTGCAGCTAAACCCACTGCAGCACCACACCAGCTCCCACCTGCCGTTCCCGACACAGGGAACTCACCGCTAGCTCCTCTGCCGTGACGCCATCATCTGCTCTGACCTCGCTTTTTCTTACGTTTTCGGAAAAGCATCCAGAATAATAAAACATCTTAGTACTTACTCTTCAGCTTGCACAAATTTTAGTACTTTGCTACAGTTATTCTAAGGAACATATGTGTACACAGAATATTCCAAGACACAGAGCTGTGGCTACCAGGACCCCAGTGGTACTTAACAGACCATGCATTGTGTATGTTTAGCAAATACGCATACTATAAACTAGCAGTACAAATGTTAGTAACAGTTTACATTTTAATTTTACCTGATGTATAACTTCAACATATTTATATTTCACCTGGCAATTTTACATATTTAGAAATGTATATGTTAATACAAAAACCTCATTCATTTGAATAATATCCATTTTATGAATTCTTTGTAATTTATTCACTCTCCTGTTGATGGTATTTAGTTTCCAATTTTTATGCTGGAAATGAGGCCACAACTGATGAAAATTTCTGAGCATCTCTATGCAGACGTTTAAGTTTCTCAAGGGCTCTAACCCTCTGCCTCATATCCCAAATAAGTAAGGAGAATATCAACCCAATAATACAAAAATATTTTTCCTACTCCTTTCATGTTTCAAAAAAATTACTGTAGGGGGCTGGCGCTGTAGCTTAGTGAGCTAAGTCTCCACATGCAATGCTGGCATCCCATGGGGCACCAGTTCCACTTCCAATGCAGCTCCCTGCTCACAGCCTGGGAAAGCAGCAGGGGGTGGCTTGTGTCCTAGGGGCCCCATATCCACATAGGAGACCCAGAGAAAGCTCCTGGCTTCAGCTCAGGTGAACTCAAGCTGTTGCATCTATTTGTAAGCGAACCAGAGGATTGTAGATCTCTCCCTCTGTCTAGGTAAAACTGCCCTTAAGTAAAAGTTAAATAAATCTCTTTAAAAAGTTACTGTGGCATATGGTAACTTAGGCATGTAAAATTCATATATACCTTGTGACTTTAAGTTATCTCAAAGCAAAATAACTGCTTCAGCCAGTGTAACAAGTTGCTAAAACTAGATGTTTCCCTGGTCTATTTCAATGGCAGGCCATCTCTGTTGGAAGTCCCACTGACTGCCACAGTAACCAGCCACTCCAGCTTCATTCCCTGTGCCCTTCATTGTGTTCATATGAAAATCATTTCCAGCATGAAACATTGGAAACCAAATACCATCAACAGGGCAGGGAGTAAGATACAATGTATCCATAAAATAAATACTATTCAAATGAATGGTCTTTGTATATTTATATAGTCTGTATACCCAACTACTGAACAACTAACCAAAATGCACCAATGCTTACACATCTCTGTGACTTTATCTGGAATGTCCTTCACTCCAATGTCTATGGGATAATTATTCCTCAAAACTCTACTCAAACGTATCTCCCCGCTCTATTCTCCCTTTCTCGCTAGAAAGAATAATTCTATTCACGCCTCAGCAAAACTTCTTCATGTACAACATATATTTAATGTGCATTTGACAATGGGTTTTAATTATTTATTGGGCCCAGTGCAACGGCTCAGTTGGCTGCTCCTCCCCTTGCAAGCACCAGGATCCCACACAGGTGCCAGTTCGTATTCCAGCTGTTCCACTTCCTGTCAAACTCCCTGCTTATGGCCTGGAAAAGCAATAGAGGATGGCTCAAAGCCTTAGGCACCGGCACCTGCACCTGCACCTGCACCTGCATGGGAGACCCATTAAGAGGCTCCTGGTTTCAGACTCTCAGCTCTGGGCATTGCAGACACTTGTAGGGTGAACAGTGATGGGAGATCTTTCTCTGTGTCTTTCCTTCTCTCTGTAAATCTGCTTTGCCAGTAGAAGTAAATAAATCTTTATATATACAATTTGTTATTTCCATTTCTTCCTCTCTTCCACTGACAGTCTATTACAAAATCTTAACACAGAGTGGCATACAGATACATGCACAAATCAGCCAGTAAGTCAGAAATATATTCGCAATCTGTACTTCAACTCAATCCCTGTAAGAAAGGAAACCCGGGAAAAATCTTTTTTGTTTGTTTTTAGTAGCAAACCCAACAATTTCTTCTTGTATCAGATACAAACTTAAAGGGAATAAAAACAGTTCCACAAGTACTCCTCATTAGGAAACAGAAATACTTTTAAATAAATAAGTATTAGATGTCGGCCTCCCATGTAAGCACTGACAGAAACTCCTGCTTGTTCCCCTGGTGACCCAGCTCCTTGCTAAACTGGCTGAAAGCAGCAGAGGATGGCCCAATTACCTGGACCCCTGCACCCACCTGTGAGACCCAGGAGTTCCAGGCTCCTGGAGTTGGCCTGGCCTAGACACACCAGTTGCAGTCCTTTGGGGAATGGCCATAGGCACAAAAGATTTCTCTTTCCCAACCCCTCCCTCCCAAATACATAACAAATAAAAATATTTTTAAGATTTATTTTATTTTTACTTGAAGGGCAGATTTATAGAGAAAGAAGGAAAGTCAAAGAGAGCTCTCCCTTCCACCAGTTCACTCCACAAACAACCACAAAGGCTAAAGCTGCGCCATGAACCCAAGAGCTTCTGGAATTCAAATCGACACCCACGTGGGATGCTGGCACTGTAATAAGAGGTGTAAGGTACTATGCCATGGTGCCAGTACCAAATAAAATTTCATTATAATTACTGAGATAAAATGGTTGATGGTAATTGTGATATTTAAAATTGTATTTCCAGGTGTCTCTCTCTCCCTCCCCTTTCGAGAGGCACCCCACCTCCCGGCTTTCTCTCCAGAGGTGCTTTCCCCTTCCCTCCCTTCCCTGCTCACCTGGTCCCTTCGCAAATAAACTTTTCTGTTTGCAACAGAAAAAAAAAATTGTATTTCCAAAGACTATAAAAAAGGGGGCAAATAGAAGTCAGCAGGTATTTTCAAGAGGAAACAGGAGGAAAATGGATTCACAATTTAACTTAGGATGACACAGGTAAACTTAGCATTCTGTGGATCTTGGAGATCTGAGTATAGCTACTCAAACTCCTGAGTTCTTCATTCTAACTTCATAGATTAAAGCTCTGCTACAAGTAGAAACTAGGTCTCTCGTCAAATTGAGCGTTTTTCCTCAATGCTGAGCATTTCAGAATTAACAAAAGGCTTCCAAGTTTTGTATTTCATAAACACAAGAGCCATCACATTAGTGCCACTTAATAACAACAGCTAATTACTAGCTCATTTGTTTCACTATGAGAGACAGAGCTAGCACCCACTGGTTCTCTCTCCAGATGCCTGCTTACCACGGCCAGGGTCAAAGCTCACACTAGTCCCCATTGCCCGGCCAGTGTGGATGGCAGACAGTCATCTGAACCACTCCCACGGTCTCACAGGGTCTACACTGGCGGCAGGCTAGAGCAGGGAGCAAGGGCCAACTATCAAACCCAAGCACTCCAACCACTGCAATGCAGGGGTCTTTTTCTGTTAATGCTGAGTTACTGTTTTCATTTACTTAATAGACAGAGACTCCTCCATCTGCCAATTCATTCCCCAGCTGTCTGCAATAGCCAAGCAGGGTCACAATGAAGTCAGGCACCTGGAAATCCAACTGGGTCTCCCACACGGGTGGCAGTGGAGCCATCACCTGCTGCCTTCCAGGGTGTGTGTCACAAGGAAACCAGATTGCAGGTGAAGGCAGGTCTTGATGTTTGGCACTCCGACGAAGGAATGTGGGCGTCCCAAGCAGCAGCATAACTTGCTACACCACAACACCTGTCCCAAGTGTGGGAGTCTTCCCTAGGGTCTTCGCGAGGCTCAATGTCTACTCCAAGATTAATTCCAAGTACTTCTTTCTTAAAATCTTTGGGAAAGATGAACTGGTTGGTCCATCTGAAAACAAACTTCTACATGGTAATAACACACACACACACACACACACACACACAAAAATCTATGGGGGGTGAGTGATATGGTGTGCTGGTAAGTCACTGCTGGGACACTAGCCACACATTTGGGAATTACTGGGATCAGGTTTCACCTCCACCCACGTAATCCAGCTTCCTGCTAATGTGCCTGGTAAACAAGAGACAATGGTCCAAGGCCTGAGGCCCTGCCCCACAGAGAGACACAGGTGCATATTTTGGCTCTTGTGAGTATCTGAGGAAAAAATCAGCAGCTGCAAGATCTCAATCTCAGTATCTCAGTGTCTCTCTCGCCTCTGCTCTCTGTCTTTTCAATAAATAAAAAAAAAAAAAGAACATTTACCAAAATAACTATGAAAAAAAATAATAAAAACTAAACTCTAAATTCAACAGAGGGAAAAAAAAAGTGCACCGATTACACACAGCCACCTTTACTTAAAGGAATTTTCTAAGATAAAATATTGACCCGTTTGATAACCTCAATCTTAAAAAAGTCAAGAAATACAGTGGGACGTACATGGCTTTTTTCTTTAACAAGTTATTTTTTAACACACATTTACTGCCTTAAAACTAAATTAGTTGAGTCCACCGCTGTTGTACATCATGTTAAGATGCTGTTTTCTCAGCCTCTGCTTGCAATGCCAGCATCCCATATGGGCATCAGTTTGAGACCCAGAGTAGTGGAGGACAGCTGAAGTGCTTGGGGTCCCAACACCATGTGGAAGACCCAGAAGAAACTCCTGGCTTCACAAGGCACCAGCTGCAGCCATTGTGGCCACTGAGGAGAGAACTGGCAGATGAAGGACCTCTCTAACTTCTCCTTCACTTGCTGTAATTCTGCCTTCCAAATACATAAGTAAATAAAATCTTAAAAAAGAAGATGTGACACCAGCATTCCATACTGAAGCATCTCTTTGAGTCCCAATTGCTCCATTTCCAATTCAACTTCCCTGAGAAAACAGGGAAATTTTTGAGCTCTGTCAAACATAGGGGAGACCAAGGAGGCGTCAGAGCTGGCTTTGGCCTGCCCCACTCTCCTGCCGTTTGGGGAACAAACCAGCAGTTAAATGATCTCTCTCTGTTCTCTCCCTTACTCTCAGTTGCTCTTTCAAACACACGTACCTTTAAGAGATTGATTCGCAGGCTATATGATGTACTCCATCCCACCCCCTCCTCAGCAACAACTTGTGCTACAACCTCAGCAGTCATGAACCTCATCCAAAGCCCTGAATGAGAAGCAAAGCCGTGTCATAGCACCAGTCTAGATGGACCGCTTTGCTAGGATTAGTCAAGGCTTCTTGCTTAAGTGTCAGGTAAGTGCAAGGAAGGCCCTTGAAGCAACCAGGCCTGCTGAGGACATGTTCCTGTGAGGCTCCCAGCTGTAAGTATACCACTCCACTGCACCTGCTGGGTGGAAAACATTTGATTCTCTCCCCATCTCATATCTGCATGAAAACGGTTATCACAAACCCACCTCACAACTCTAACCATTTCTCAAATTTCTCACATCAATGCAGTACATAAAGAGTACATTTAAATATTTCAACTTTTCTTGAAAGCAAAACGTTTTAGAGTAAGCCATGAATTAAACATCTACTGCTTCCATAACTTCTAACCCTCTAAACCTGAATAATGAGGACTGTATGAGTTCAAAGGTGATAAACTATGAAACATTCATACACAGACAATTAAGACTAAGATATCCAGGGCCCAGAGCAGTAGCCTAACGGTTAAAGTCCTTGCTTTGCACGCAATAGGATCCCATATGGGCACCAATTCATGTCCCTGCGGCCCTGCTTCCCATCCAGCTCCCTGCTTGTGGACTGAGAGGGCAGTTGAGGATGGCCCAGTGCCTTGGGACCCTGCACTCATATGGGAGACCCAAGAGAGATTCCGGGCTCCTGGCTTCTGATGGGCTCAGCTCTAGCCCTTGTGGCCACTTGGGGAGTGAATCATTGGATGGAAAATGTTCCTCTCTCTCCTTCTCACTGCATATTTGACTTTCCAATAAAAAGAAATCATAAATCTTTTTTTTTAAAAGATTTATTTTATTTTTATTGGAAAGGCGGATATACAGAGAGGAGAGACAGAGAGGAAGGTCTTCCGTCCGATGATTCACTCCCCAAGTGAGCGCAACAGCCGATGCTATGCTGGTCCGAAGCTGGGAACCAGGAACTTCTTCTGGGTCTCCCACACGGGTACAGGGTCCCAAAGCTTTGGGCTGTCCTCGACTGCTTTCCCAGGCCACAGGCAGGGAGCTGGATGGGAAGCAGGGCCGCTGGGATTAGAACCAGCGCCCATATGGGATCCCGAGCATGCAAGGCAAGGACTTTAACCACTGCGCCATCACACCAGGCCCAAGAAATCATAACTCTTTAAAAAAAAAAAAAAAGAGTAAAATGCCCATTGTAAAAAAAAGGGGGGGCAGTTTCTGGCAAGTGATTCTCCATATTCAGTGAGTTTTCTTAGAAGCAAAAATAACATAGAAAATGTGACTGGGAAGATGTTTTTACATTCATTCAAATCTTTAAAACAACACTGGCTCATCTCTGAAAAGATGCTATAGAATATTTTGGAACTGAGTGGGAGCAGTGGGGTGAGATACAGGATGAATAATTTCAATGAATTAATTTTTTTTTCATAATGCACAATTTTGATTTCAAACTTTAAAAATTCTTCCAAAATGAACTTTACAACACCAACTAGGTGAGCTAGAACTTCCTATCTTCTACAGACTGAGCCAAAAATAAATATATAAAGCTTGAACTTGTGGGCAACATCTGAAAAATTTGTTAACTAAATCTGAGAACCTATTTTAACAAAATTTTATAAATTCCCATGCAGAAGGACCTTGATGTGATCCAGCTAGATTATACAGACTCCATTCCAACAGCCTTTCCATGAAGCTCTCCTCTAGCTGCGATCAAACAAGGGATGCCTCGACCTGGGCGACCCCAGCCTCGCACAACTGCAGCTCAGCCTGGTAAGCAAGACCACTGAGGTAGCATCTCTACTGGTCCATGGTCCCAGACCCCAGCACTTGGGAAACGGACAAGTCTGTCTTCACCAAAGGGCCTCACGCCTCAATTCAGTTCTCTCTCAGAACTCACTACATCCTGAGAAACACTTACCAAAAACCCCAAAGTTGTTGGCATGTTTTAAGTAGACCTGCCATTTGCTGATAAGCCTTGGCCTGAGAAAAGTGTGCTTCTATTCAGCTCATTTGCAATTTACAGTTTCATGATGCTATCACTTTAAATAAATACAAATAAACGGGCATAGGGTCCATAGAGAAGTCGGTCGTAAACTACGAAGAATTAAATCTAAGTCATTGCATTGAGACTGCAGGGAAGGGAAAGGGTGATAGCAGGAAAAACCGTTTTTGCACTCACAGACCTGTGGAGTGTGTGTGAGTGTGTTCCCACTGGGGAGCTGTCCTAATAATCATAACAACACTAATAATCTTAGCAAAATACTGCTCAACCACAATCCCAATTAAACAGGATTAAAGCATGTTTGGACCTCATGTGTTCCCACTGGTTCGCAAAGGATTTCTGAAACACCTAAAAATTTCTGTCTTCCTTTCCTGTGATAAGTTTTTTTAAATTCGGTGCAATTCCCTCTCTCCCTCCTTCCGTAACTCTAGAAGGAATTCCACTCCACCTCCAGGAATGACACCTAGCTTACACATCTGAGGGACAGAAAAAAAAAAAAAAAAAAAAAAGGTCTCAGCCAGTATCTCAAAGGCTGGTAGAAAACTCCACCCAGCGGGCTTCCCACAACCACTCCCTCCCTACGCGGTCCTCTCCCCAGCCTGGGCCATTCCCGGTACTTTAAACTTGTCACCTGCCCGCTAGCCAGCACACATCTGCACAGCTTCTCACTCCCCCGACCCCGATTCCTGCCCCAAAGCTCCGCTAGCCGGCTGTCTGTTGCATAACGGAACCCCCACATGCACCCCCCACCCCAAACACCCTCTCTCCAGGGCTCCCGCAGGCAGGAATGCCCCGCTCCGGCCCTGTCCCTCCTCCCGCGGCCGCCGCGCCCCGCGAGTCCCCGCGCAGCCGCCAGGTCGGGGATGGAGGGTAGTGGGGGGAGGGAGAGTCGGGGTTCTCCTTCCATCCGAGCGTGCAGCCGGCGCCAGGTCCTGAGTTGGGTAGTAAAACCCCGAGGATGGACAGAGTGCCCGCTCCCGCGGCGGCCGCGCAGCCCCGAGCACCCCTCAGCCGCGGCCAATCACCGGCGCCATCCTCCCGCTGGGGCGATGTCCTCAGGTGTCCGGGGGGGGGGGGAAAGCGAGCCCTGCGTACTTGCAGCCCTGCTCCCTCCCCGCCCCGCATCCCCGGTGCCCCGGCGGGCGGCTGAGGCAGGCCCGGGGGCGGCGGCGGCGGCAGCCCGCGGCACGGAGGCGTGGGCCTGCGGGGCGGGTGGCGCGGGGCCAGCAGGGATGGGCAGCGGCAGGGACGGAGGCGGCCGAGGCCTCGGCGGGGGCGCGACGCGGAGGCCTCGGCGGGGAGCCGCGGCGCCCCGGGCCCGGCTTTTCAGGCTGTGGAGCGGACGCAGCCAGCCAGCCGACCGACCGACCGACCGACTGACTGACGCGGGGCCGGGGTCGGGCGAGCGCGCGCGCGGCGGGGGCGGCCTCTGCCCTCCCGGATTCCCCTTCCTCAGCCCGCCTGCCTGCCCGTGCGTCCGTCCGCCTCACCTTCAGGACCCGGATCCCTCCTGGCTGGCGGCTCGTGGGCGCCTCGGGCGGCTCCGGGGGCTCCAGCGGGCCCGCGGGCCCCGGCTCCACCTCCCCCATCGGCGGCGGCCGAGAGGCTTCCCAGGGACGCCGGGCCGGCTGGGCGGCGCGCGGAGCTTCGGCGGCGCGCGCGAGCCAGCAGCCGGCGGCCCCGCCCCTAGCCCCGCCCTCGCCGGACCGGCTCCGCCCCGGCCCCGCCCCCAGCGGGCCGGCCCCGCCCCCAGCGGCCGGGCTGGTCTTGCACAGCGGCGGGCGCGGCGCCCCCAGCCAGGACCGCGGAGCATGGCACGGGTGCACGGCCGGGCCTGGGCAGCCCTTGTTCGGAGGATTGAGGCGCAGGGCGACTGCTCTTCCGGCTCTGGATGGACCTGGTGGCCAGCAGAAGGGTCTGGTGGACCGCACATGGCAGCTTGCACAGGCCGCTGCTTTCCGCACAGTCCCAGGTTTTCTCCGTCAAACCTGACCTCTCCCTCTTCTCAGGTTAGCCAGGCGCCTTTCTTTTTATGAGGCGTTCTTCAGCCAGCTCCACTCAGCCACATCTCAACTCCCTCTTCTACTCAAGGAGTAAAAGTGCCAGAATTCTATTCCTGGCCTCAAGCAGTTACAGGTTCTGTAAGCTATTTTGGTCATTTGCAAGGCTAATTCAGGAATCCTTGAAAAGTAAACTTTCTTTGGTTCCTGAAGTGAGGGTAGTTTTTGTGGCCTGCGGGCTGAACTTGGGGATCAATCCTTGTTAGATCTATACTGTTGTGCACGTCACTACATGGAACCCCCTGGTTCCACGGCTGGGAGGTAGAGAGGATCATTTTTCCTACTAGCTCTTAGGAAGGTGCAGTGAATAACATACAAAATGCCCAGCACTGGGCCTGGCTCAGTAGCCAAACGCTAAAGTCCTCACCTTGCATGCATATGGATCTGGGCACAGGTTCATATCCTGGCTGCTCCACTTCCCATCCAGCTCCCTGCTTGTGACCTGGAAAAGCAGTCAAGGATGGCCCAAAGCCTTGGGACCCTTCACCCACGTGGGAGACCTGGAAGAGGATCCAAGCTCCTGGCTTCTGATCAGGCCACTTGGGGGAGTGAATCATCAGACGCAAATGATCATCTGTCTCTCCTCCTCTCTATATACCTGACTTTCCAATAAAAATAAATCTTTTAAAAAATGCTCAGTACACAGCAGCAGCCATTCAGTGACCACTAAAATTCTTCTGTTACATAGTTAACATTCCCTGTGTTTTCCAAAACATACCTTCCTTAATTCTTCCTACATTCTTAAAAGGCTTCTGAATTTCTGCTCTTGGAGTAAGTGCTCAATTTTCAAACAACTTGTAAGGATTCAGCCAATTACTTGAGTAATTGTTGAAGATGGAATCACCTATTATTCATTGCTGCAGCTTGCCTAATTCTGACCAGACCAACTCTGCGTATGAGACTGTGATTACAGGTTTAGCATGCAAGGGAGTTAGGAACCTAACAAGGTAGTCTCTGAGATACGTATCCATCTGTAGATAAGGGAGAGGCAGGAAGAACCCCCATCTCCAGGACAGCTGGGCTGGGCTAAGGCAGAAGCCAACGTCCAGGGAGGATCTTTGGGTGCGAAGGGTGAAGCTATTGTTGAGATGCCCACATCCCATCGTGCATACTGGATTGCACTGTTCTGCTTCGAACACAGTTCTTGTTAATGCACCTTGGAACACAATGGATGACCTTGGAACACCTGTATGTGGCCTGGGCGGAGTTCCAGATGCCTGACCACATGAGGCTGCTGTGACTATTTAGGGATTGAACCAATGCATAAAAGATCTCTCTTCCTCTTCCTCTGTTACTCTTCCAATTTAAAAAAAAAAAAAAAGGACTCCTCAGTAGTCTGGTGCAAGGCGCTCTTAGTGTCTGCCTCCTGGGCTTTCTTCCTTCAACCCTAAAGTTACTTTCCAGAAAGCTATACAAGATAACTGGCTTTTCATTTTAGAGCTTACCGATTTCTTGTAGTAAAAACACTGGTACACAAGACATAACTACCAATATGGAGACAGAAACAGGCTTTGACGACCCCACCACACCAAAAAAAAAAAAAAGTGGTTGTGAATGTTTCTAAAAATTTGTTTCTTCTTGAAATACCTCCTGGTGGTAGCCATCACAGATCCCATGAGCAACTCACTAATAGAAAAGTTATCTCGTTTTGGCAGCACATATACTAAAATTGGAAGGATACAGAGATTAGATTAGATTAGCACGGTGCCTGCACAAAGCTAACACGCAAACTTGTGAAGCGTTCCACATTAGCAAAAGAAGAAAAAAAGCTCTAAAGCCAGGGCGACCATTTGATTTGACCATTTGTGCTGAAAAATGCAGTGATAGGTGGCTTCATTAACAGGATAGTAGACTAAAGAGACAATTCAGAAAAAAGTACATGCTCTAGAGCCCAGTGCATTAGCCTTGAGGCTAAAGCCCTCACCTTGGTCACCCCGGGATCCCATGTGGGCACTGGTTCTGATCTCAGTGGTCCTGCTTCCCATCCAGCTCCCTGCTTGTGCCCTGGGAAAGCAGTGGAAGACAGCTCAGACAAAGCCTTGGGGCCTTGCACCCACGTGGGAGACCCAGAAGAGGCTTCGGACTCCTGAGTCTGGATTGGCTCAGCTGCAGCTACTGTGGCCGCCTGGGGAGTGAAGATCTTCCTGTCTCTCTTCCTTTCTTAATATCTACCTTTCCAATAAAAACAAAGCTTTTTTTTTCTTAAAGCATATGCTTTAAGTTATGCATTTACTACCTTTTCATTACTTACAATGGAAGTATTCCTATACATCCCCATGATTCAAGACTCAGTTCAAAAATAACAACCAGTTGGATGTTTTCCAATCATGTTACAGCCATTAACATTATACTTTGTTTCAAAGGTCACACACTCACTCTCTCCCCCTGTTCAAGGCAGTGTGTAAATTTGTGTGCCATGGGTTATTTAACTGTAATTTCTGGAAATGGTAAACAGCTGAGGCTAAGCCTAAAAATAAATTCCTCTTGGATTTTTGTGTGTGTGCAAAAAACCATCTGCCCACACTGCAGGTTCATCATTACACAAATTGCTTTTTGGATCCAGCCAAGAGACAGAGAAGTCATTAGAATGCTTCTTCTTGTCACCTTCTCATAGCAGCTGTGCATAACCCTCCACGCCCCCGCACTCCAGCACCGCACACATGTGCACATTTTATACCATAAACTCGTCTCCATCTTCACTGCAAAATGAGAAGACAGTGTAGAGAAAGAAGGCCTAAGCCTATCAGGTTGAACTCCAGGAGTCTCCTGGCCACTTGTGTCTAGTTCCCACTCCCTCAATGACATTATCTTTAGGACTAATTCTGATACTCTAACCAGGCAGTCGTGTTTTTTGGTTTCCAATAAGCAAGCAGTATTACCTGACTTCAAGGTGTGAAGAACTTCTTTTTTCCTTGAACACGTCCATATTTTTTCAGTGGAGTCAAAATAACTAGAAGGAGGACACTCATCAAACTAAATTTGGTCCTTGTGGATTGAAATCCCAACCTGAGAACTACTCATCACTACCTTATGAAGCGATGTCTATGACTGGCTAAACTTTATTACAGCATTTACATTTTCATCTATTTACACATTGTAAACTAAATTTAGAAACCAAAATGAACTTTTACTAAGCCACATGACAGGGAGGATTATAGAAATGCTGCTTATCAGTGTGCCAAAGGGCACATGTGCACAACGAGATAATGGCCCCTGGTGGAAGGGGAGCGCTCTGTCCTCTCCCTTCCGAGGGACTGTCAGGGACCACCAGAGTTGACACAACACTGAACTCAGAGCATGAAACAGAACTCAGAACCGGAGTCCATTCTGTCCCCTGGCAGTCACAGGTACACCATCCAACTGTACAGAAGGCCTGGGAGATTTCTGATTCCTCACATTCGTCTCTTGGTTATACCTCTGTATAAAAGGAACAGTAGCAGGTCAGTAAGGACAGCTCAAAGCTCTAGAACTCATCCAAGGCTTCTAATTCACTTGTAAGAAGCAAGGAAACAAATTTTAAATCATTGAGTATTGACTTTTTATTATTAGTCACTGTTCATAATTTGTTTCAACCGAAAGACAATAGACACAGAATTCTAATGCATCCCATGTAAATGTTTACATCCATTTTATTCCTCACTCACCTCTAAGACTTATCATTTAATTTTAAATTTTTTTTACATTTCAAAAATATGTCTGCAATAATTAGAACTTCATTAGCTGTCCCACTTGGAAACAGCTTTTAATATTTTTACAGTAAAGATGTGATGGGGCTTAATGAAAATGTAACTTACAACATTATGAAAGAAAGGGGACTTTACAGAAACAAACAAGGAGCTTCCAAAGGAAAGAGTTCAGAAACCCTTTCCCATGAGGCACCCAGGGAGAAAACAAAAACAAAACACACAAAGCGCAAACGCAGGTTCAAACAAACAAAAACGCCAACGCTCCATCTTGAAGCCAGAATCACTCTCACGGATATTCAGGAAGCAACTGTGCAAGCTGCTTCTCCAACAAGTTTCTCCTGCCTTAGTGTTCCAGGACCTGGAACCTTACTGATGGGACCCCACTCTTCCAGTTCTAAAAGCAGCCCCACCCTCCCGAGCCTAAGCTGGTCAAGAGTGTTTCAAACTCAAGGACCTTGAGCAATTCATTTTCTCTTTGATGATCCTCCCCATTCCCAAATTTATTAAACCTAGACATGTATAACCACTGCCAACCGCAAAGCTCGTGAATATCTACTTTATGCTCTCTTCTTTCTCTGTTTAGGACACCATGGTTATAATACATTCACTAGCGGGAAAAAAAAAAATAATGAAACATTCAAACTCATTCCTTCCCCTAGTTCTCATGGCCCAAATATTTTCCAATGAAGAAGAAAATGAAGTTGAACCTCAAAAGCATTCCAACCTGTTCTAGAAGGACATTAAAAATGGAAACCATGTTATTTGGTGGACGAAAATATTCAAACCGTTAGTTCTGAACAGTTTTAAGTCTATTCTCCTATATGAATGGGACAAACAAGGGGGCATGAACCACACTTTTAACCTAGTAAGGGGAAAGAATCTCCTCCCAATGTTACACTGAGGAATGTTTCTTCGAATGAGAAAGACATGAACAGAGGACCACTATACACAGCACGAAACTTCCATGACTGTCCAAGCCACCTCAAGGTAACAGCACCAAAACACTGTGGGAGAAGCTTTTTGGGGAGAGCACCCGTCCTATAGTTAATTGGAGATTACTTAGATGAATTCTCCCTTGGGATTACTGGAGGAGAGGGACTTGGAAAGGTTAGGATACAGACTACCCAGGAAGAGGGTTAACAGTGAGGTACAAGTACGGATGAAAATCTTGAAGTACTATGTGAGCACTCACTGCTTATCACCCTGGGCTTATTAAACGGCCATGGAAATCGCTCCTTTCTTGAAATGGCTCTTAAGTTGTAAATTCGTCCGAGTATGTTCCCCCTTAAATGTGCTTGGGAAAGGGATTGCTGAAATGTGTGTTTACAGAAAAATGATGAGATTGTCTCCTTTCAGCCTCAAAGCCAAGTGAGAGGAGAACAAATTCTAACCCTAGAAACTAAGGCACGCTGAAGCTTTCCAAGATCCAATTGTTTGAAACAGTCTTCCCCACCATGAGTGTCCTAGGCAGTTGTTCGGCTGCCAGTGCTGCAGTGCGGTGCTAGGCTCAGGCTCTGAAATTAACTCATAGTCTACACAGCACCCTTTGTGTTAAGGCCAAGAGATTTTATTCCTTCTAGACAAAGTCATGGATGACCACAAACTCTACCTCAGGACAATGATCACCCAGTGAGAAGCTTTGCCCCTTCCACTCCATCAGCTAGCATGGTGGGATAGCATGGTGTTGAGCAGATTTCTTCTGAGATTCAACTAAAAAAAAAACAAAACAAAAAACCTGAGCTGGTTAGCTACAAATGTTACGAGAGAAAATAAAGCCTCTACACAAAGAGGAATGTTAAGACAAATTCTATTCAAGAAATCCACCAATATTATGTTAATCCTATCACATTTCACAGCATTAAATATCCATCCAATGAAATCAGTCGCCAAAGAAAAGTTTGAAAAGGCTATTTTGCATTGCACAGACGGAACAGCTGTCTGAAATATGCACTAGTCCACACTTTATTTTCTGAGAGCTGTGCGAGAGATAATGTTCTGCTTTTGACTCAGCCATCCTTGACTCAGCACAGTGAGTTTGAGCAGATCTTGCTCTTACATACTAATAAGACCAGAAGGTTTTTCCTTTGGAGCCTTTAGTTCAACTCCAGTTTTGTCAAATGTTAGGAATAGGCTAGCATCTGATACAGAGCTAGATTTGACAAAACACTGAAGATTTTAGTAAAGGCTTTGTGAAATGGAGGGGGGAAAAAAAGGATATTTGTGTCCAGGTTTTAAGACTGAAGCAAAAGTAGTCACTATACTGTACTCAATACAGTAAAGATTGCTAATATTTTAAGAGCAAGGTGGGCCTCACATTTTATTCTTTCATTAGACAAAATGCCTGTATACTTGAACATACACAGTATATTCAACATGCACCACAACTCAACTTGAAGCTCTGAAAACACAAAGATCCTTCCTAAAAAGCACTCGGCATTCTGACTAGTTTAAAAACCTCAAGTCTTTAATGCAGATAGTCACGAAGCTGATCTCTTCCCAGAGACCAGTTTCTCAAAATCACAAAATGATATTCCTGTCCTATGGCATCCACAGCCTTCCTCTAACACAGGGGCGAGGAAGCTACAAGGCTTTGTTCCAACACCATCAAGTACAATCTAGGAAAGAGTTCTTTCACTGCGTGGTCTTTATTTCAGTGCCAGTGTTACAGATACAACACAAATGTTCCAGTTAGAAGAAGGAATTCAAACGGAATGCCAAGGTCCAAGCCAGGCTCAGGAAATTTAAAAAAAAATGGGAGGTTTGGAGTAATGGAAAAGATGACTCCAATATGCTCCAGACCAAGTCTGATGCGCATTCTTCCTGTGGGGAAAGGGGCTTTTGTTAGGGAGTCTCATCTTCAGAACTGGGGAACTCCTCCTTCCACTGCTTTTCCACAGTTCAAACAGGTAAGTCATAGGCTTAGGAGAAACTTGAAAATCTGTAAAGGGAGTAGATTCACTGATAATAATTAAAAGGACTTTTCAGTCACACTTTGCACTTTACGGGAAATCAATTTTGAAAACCATGGAGAGCATTTATGACTATAGCTAAAAAGGATGGACAGAGAGGGGAGATGGAAGAGCCTTGGAAGTATCTATTACAAATAGAGCACCAGATCCTTCATGCCAAATCTCAACAGAAGTCCTTTTTACTGCATCTGTCCAGTGTTTACAAATCACTTCTCATGGTCTGACCAGTTCTCAATAACAAACGTACATACGTGTGTGTGTCTGTGTGTATACAGCAATGCACAGGAAGGCCACCAGGAGCCTAATGCCTAGTTCAAACGTCGGGGGAACCAGTAGAAAAAGGCAGGGCTCCCTAATGTCCACTGTTACATTTCCATTCTGAATGCCAGATGTAAAAAGCGCCTGAAGATGGGAACCCAGCTAGAGCAGAAACAGTACCCCACCTTGCCCAGTCCACCGGAAAACAACAGTAGAAAGAAGGGACAACTCTTGCTGCAGAGACAGAGTGAGTGTTTTCTCGCCATGAATTTCAGTCCTCTCCTCCGGAGCAGCTGCTTATTTCCTCAGGGGCCCAGGGAATGTTGATTCTGGCTGTAAATGTGAGAGGGTGGAGAAGTGTGGAAAGGGAAGAGAGGAGGAGAGTGCAGAGTAGCCTCCAGAAGCAGCCAGCTTCAACAGTGGAGGAGAGGACAGGAGTCTTTAACAATGCTTCAAGGTCAGCAGTAACTTCAGAAAATCCTCCTCAACAGTTCTCTTCAGCTCCTCGTGCCCACGGTACGGTTGGGGGGGACTTGCCAGCAATCACAACCTCCTTCCCAGAGTTCCATTGATTGAGTAGGATAAGAACAATAATGGTGTCAGACCCTCATTGCCAGGACTGAGGGGGAAAGTTGTTCACTTCTGCTAGATCTTGCATTGCTGAGCCCTTGTGATTATATGTGAGCTTGATTCGCATTCTCAACTGTTGCTGTAAGAGGAAGAGAATTTAAAGTTAAACAGAGAAGTAAAATATCAAGAATATGTTCAGTGCACAGATAAACTTTTATTCTTACGAGTTAAAAATGATACAAACGGGCCACTACTGTGACATAGTAAGCTAAGCCTCTGACTATGCTACCGGAATTCCATATGGACACCAATTTGAGTCCCAGCTTCTCAACTCCTTTAAAAAAACAAAATGACACAAACATGGGGCAAGCACAATGACTCAACAGACTAATCGTCTACCTGCAGTACTAATACACATATGGATAACAACAATTCATATCCCAGCTTCTCCACTTCCCATTCAACTCCCTATTCATGAGCCCGGAAAACCAGCAGAGGATGGACCAAGTCCTTTGTCCCATGCAACATGTGGTAGACCTGGAAGAAGCTCCTGGCATCAGGTCAGCTCGGTTCTGGCTGCTATGGCCATTTAGAGAGTGAACCAAAAAGTGATGCAAGATCTCCCTCTCCTCCTCCTCTCTGTAAAATCATTCACATAAAATAAAAAGCTTTAATTAAGTAACACATAAACAAACAATAGCAAGAAAAACTACCTAGCATTCCAGCCCTGAACTAATATCACACTGTAAAGTAGAGGAATATGAACACACAGGCACTGACAGACAGAAGCACTTGAGAGCATTTTCCTAGGAACATTAGCAGAATGCTTTTGCAAAAGATGCAGCCGTTGTACTCAAGTGTCTAGAAAAATTAGGTCAATATATGCTCAGCTATGCTCTACATTCAGATACATTATTACTTGGTCAGATAAACCTACAGTATATGTGAACAGTAAGTTATTTTGATCCCAAGGAATGAAAGAAAAGAAACAATTAATTCAAAAGAAAATAAGAGCAGTTTTAAGAAAAGTCAGCTGTTAGGTACTTGATATGGCAGATTGCACTAATTAATGCACTTAAGAAAATTTTTTACTCTATGCATCAGATGGCCCAAAGAATTTGTCCTTGGGCTACTGGCAGATGCTCCAAACACAAGCAGAAAAAACAGGGAGCATTCCAAAAGGAGAAAATCACAGTTATGTGTGAGTGCCCGGCACTCCTTCACGGTGAAGACACTGGGTCCATGGTCAGAAACCATCTTTTTAAAAAAAAAAAATTGTTCAGCTGATCATCATTTAGTATAGTCAATTTAATTCTTGAGTGGATATAATGAACTATTATTCGTTTCTAACCCTACTTTTCACTCTGCTTTATTTAAAATGCCTCCACATTTGATAACTTCATAATTACTTTAAGAAACATGCACACCGTATTACTAAACGCTATCACTTCAGATTTTAACTTTAACAAAACAATGTCTCCAATTTCCCCCCAATACTAGACCATTAGTCCTTCATACAGAAAATACTTCTTAAATTTATATGTTAGTAACATGCCATCTGACCATTTGATGTCTCTGGGTCCTTTCATTTTCAAGAAAAGTACATAGGTAGGACATGGCGTGGTGGCCTAGTACAGCTCCTACAAGCCTACTCCGTGCCTTGCACCTGCTGGAATCCCATATGGGTGCCGGTTCATATCCCAGCTCTACACTTCCCATGCAGCTCCCTGTGTGTGGCCTGGGAAATCAGCAGAGGGCAGCCCAAAGCCTTAGTACCTTGAACCCCCATGGAAGACCAAGAAGTTGACCCTGGCTCCTGGCTACAGACTGGCTCACCTTCGGCCACTGCAGCCACTTGGGGAGTGAACCACCAGACAGAAGATCTTTCTGTCTCTCATTCTCTCTGTAAATTTGCCTTTCCAAGACAAATAAATAAAATTTTAGAAAAAAAAAAAAACAAAACACAAAGAAAAAAACCATACACACACAACGAAAGCTGGCATGATGGTTCAACTGGCTAATCCTCCACCTGCCAGGGGTAGTATCCCATATGGGCACTGGTTCAAGTCCTGGCTACTCCACTTCCCATCCACTTCCTGTTTGTGGCCTAAAAAATCAGTGAAAGATGGCCAAAGCTTTTGGGCACCTGGCACCTGTACCCATACGGGAGACCCAGAAGCTGCTCTTGGGTCCTGACTTCAGAAAGGGTCAGCTCCGGCCATTGTGGCCATTTCGGGAGTGAACCAACAAAGGGAAGATTTTTCAGTCTCTCCTACTCTCTTTGCAAATCTGCCTCTGAGGAAAAACAAAAATAAATCTTAAAAAAAAAAAAAATCAATTTAGAATTTGGAATAGGAGATTCAATAGATCTCTTTTGTGTGAGTCAGAAAACCCCAGAGAAACAAAACAGAAATCTAAGAAATAACACATCTTGCTTAGGCTTCCAATGTGTCACTTACCTTCTGTGGGTTCAGAACTTTGATGACTTGTGTGATGGTCCCTGTGTTAAATGCTGGGACAATGCTGCTACTTGGAGACAGAAGCTGCAGCTGGAACGTCTACAGGACAGAGGACATGCTTCAGAAAAAACAACTTCACAGTCAGAAACATTAATCAATTAAAAAGCTGGGCTCCAGCTGGTGATTAAAAAACAGCTTTATATACCACTAAGCTTTGCTTTCCGCCATCAGCCATTCATTGTACATAAGCTGTCATAATATTTGTAAAACTCCATTGTTAGACCTTTGCTCATGAATACTATCAGTGGGTCACTCCCTATTTTGCAGAGACAAGTGCAACCTCTATTACTTTCCAAAATGTGATGAACTCTTGTTCTGGCCACTTCTCTTAACAGTAGAAGGAGGGAGGGAAGGAAGAGCAGAAACCAGGATGCCTAACAGCTTAAAAAAGCAAAACAAAAGAGAAAAGCTTTCCAGAAACAGCAAACCAACATTCCAGTCACCAACCACAGGCTTTCATGCTTGTCGTAATTGGATGGCTGGAACACAAAGGTCTGAATGCCTGTTTTCTGAAGCCTGCACAATCTGGAATGTGCTAAGGCCTCCTCCTACACGACAGAGATGAAGCAAAGGCTTAGCAGAGCCAGTTCATTAACATGTGCACGGACAACATCAGTGTGACTCAGTCAGGGTAACATTCACCAAAGAGAAAAGTCACACGAAACAAGCCTGTGCTGCCAAAGGTGTACACAAACCAAACGCCACACATGACTGACAAATGGTAGGTCTTATTCAAAGGAGCATTTCAAAGGTTTCAGGAAAAAACTGAACTGAAAGATACGATTATTATTTTGGTGAAAAAGAACTGAAATTCATGCAGTTGTTTAACAATTCACATTTAACATAAACTTTTTAAATAAAGTCTCACCAACAGGACTGAGTAAAAAGTGTTATGAGCAAGCTGGGAAGTCGCCAGGTTCTATGCAGCTTCTCAACATTCTAATTATACAAGCCAATATTATAAGCAGTATTGTTATTTCATTAAATTTAAGATACTACCCACTGTAATTCATACCATTATTCTATACACCACGAAGCAAAAAAGCAGGCTGTCCAACAAACTATGGCAATGTATCCACTTTAAAGATATTAAAAAATGAAAATAATACATTAGACCTACGAAACATGACACTCAAACACAGAGCCAAAAACAGGCCACAGTTTCATAGCAGAGGAGATAATACAGCTGAAACAGCAGGCTAAAATAAAGAAGCCTAACTGGCAGCGACCAATATTTACTGAGCATTGAACACATGAAAAGTCACTGTTTACCACCACAAAAAAAAAAAAAAAAAAAAACCTTCCTCAAAGTAACCCTATGGAGTAGCTATAATTATCACAATTTCCATTGCAAATTAAAAAACTGCAACATAAAAATAAGCTAACTTGGAGCTGGAATCATGGCAGAATAGACTAAGCCTGCATCCACAAAGCCAGACTTAGTCCCGGCTGCACCACTCCAATCCACCTCCCTGCTAATGAGCCTGGGAGAGCTGTGCACCCAGCTCAAGTCTTGGGACCCTGCACCCATGCAGGAGACCTGAACCTAAGTCCAGGTTTTTGGCTTCAGACCAGTCCACTTCTGGCTGTTGCAGCCATTTGGGGACTGAAGAGTGGATAAAAAATATCTCTCCCTCTCTGTAAATCTACCTCTCAAATAAAAGTAAATTAATCTTTTAAGATTGATTTTTCACTGGAAAGTCAAATTTACAGAAAGGAGAGTCAGATAAAAAATATCGTGCATCCACTGGTTCACTTTCCAAATGGCAGGGATGATGAGCGCTAAGCTGATCCAAAGTTCCTGCCTACTGAGCCTGCATCACGTAACAGCACCAGTTTAAATCCTGGCTGTGCACTTCCTATCAAGCTCCCTGCTAATGCCCTGGAAAACAGCAGAAGCCAGATGGGAGACCCAGAAGCACCTGATTATTTGCTTTCAACCTACATAACTCTGACCACTGCAGCTATTTGGGGAGCAGGCCAACAGATGGAAGATGTATCTATATCTCTGTGTCTCCCCTTCTCTTTAACTTAACCTTCAAGCAAACAAATAAATCTTAAAACACACACACACACACAAAGAAATTCAACTGGGCACAGCAGTACAGCTTAACAAACTAATCTTCTCCTTGCAGTGCTGGCATCCCACATAGGTGCCAGTTCAAGTCCTGGCTACTCCATTTCCAATCCAGCTTCCTGCTGATGACTTGGAAAAGCAACACAGAATAACTCAAATGCCTAGATTCTGCATGCATGTGGGAGACCTGGAACAAGCTCCTGGCTTCAGGCCCACGCAGCTCTGGTCGTTGGTTCAGTGGTCGGGTTTCTATCACCCAGACTGAATTCTGGACTGCTGGATGCAGCCCAGCCCGCCCTGGCAGCTATGGGCATCTGATGTGGTGAACCAGTGTCTTCCTCTCCGCTTCTCAAATAAAATGAAGGGCCTGGCATGGTAGCCTAGTGACTAAAGCCCTTGTCTTACACGCACCAGGATCCAATATGAGCACCAATTCTAATCCTGCAGGCCCGGTTTCCCATCCAGCCCCCTGCTTGGGAGCTGCTAAAGAAGTCAAGAATGGCCCAAAGCCTTGGACCCTGCACCCGTGTGGGAGACCCAGAAGAGGTTCCAAGCTCCTGGCTTCCAATTTGCTGAGCTCCAGACGTTGTGGCTGCTTGGTGAGTGAATCACTGGACAGAAGATCTTCATCTCTGTCTCTCCTCCTCTCTGAATATCTGACTTTCTAATAAAAAAATAAAATAAATCTTAAAATAAATAAATAAAATGAAAGTTAAAAATATTTTTTAAAAAAATATCTGACTGGGCCAGTCCCGATAGCTTAGCGGCTAAAATCCTCACATTACACACACAGGATCCCATATGGGCACCGATTCTAATCCTGGCAACTCTACTTCCCATCCAGTTCCCTACTTGTAGTCTGGGAAAGCAACTGAGTACAGCCCAAAGCCATTAGACCTTGCACCCAAGTAGGAGACCTGGAAGAAGTTCCTGGCTCCTGGCTTTGAATTAGCTCAGCTCCAGCCATTGCAGCCACTAGGGAGTGAAATCAGAGAATGAAGATCTTTGTTTCTGTCACTCCTCTCTGTAAATCCACCTTTCAATAAAAAATAAATAAATCTTTAAAAAAACTGAGAGGTGTCAAAGGCCAAGATAGTTATATTGGTTTGAGCAAAACCTGCAATTTTAGTTTCATCTAAACATTAAAATATACCCTTTACCATATTCAAGGGGAAAACTCAGCTAATCTTTAATCAAAGACAAAAGGCAAAGAATAATTAGGAAGTACCTTTGGTACTGCAGCCTGGAAAACAAAGTCCGTCATGTCCAGTTCCGTGCTGTTGGAGGCCTGTATCGTTATCACTGTGACACTGGGGTTGGTGTTTGACCGTTCAAAGGTGAATTCTATCTTCAAGCCATTCTTACTGTATGCCGTGATGGACGGGATGCCTGGGAAAGTACACATCAGCCTTACTTAGCCTGAATTCAATAGCAGTATTACTTTCTTTTCCCAATAGCTACTTCTCAATGTCCAGGGTTCCACACAGATGGTAACAGTGACTGTACCTGCAGCGATATCATTGAAGAGAGGCTGTGATGAAAGTCCATCCAACAAGAAGGGGGGCTGCGATATCTGTGGGACTGAGGCGGGGGCTGGAGCAGCAGCTGGAGCACCTGAAGGAAGCATGCCCACCGTAAGTCAACCTTAGGCCATTATGACAATGATCACCAAGAAACAAGAAAAAATTATATAATCTCATCAGAAGAAGAAGGTGTAGAGTACACAAAAGGCACAGGTCATAAAGGGGAATGAACAATAAATTCTCTTCATTAAAAAAGTGGTAGAGTTGGCACTAAAGCATAGTGGGTAAAGCCATTGCCTAAAATGCAGGAATCCCAATATGGGTGTAAATTAGAGTCCTGGCTGCTTTCCTTCTGATCCTGCCACCTCTAATGCACCTGGGAAAGCAACACAACAGGATTCCAGGATTTGAGTCCTTGCACCTATGGGGAAGATCTGGGAAAAGTTCCAGGCTCCAGGATTTGTTGCCACTTGGGCAGTGAGCCAGCAGAAGGAAGAGATCTCTTTATCTCCATAGTAATGTACCTTCCAAATAAAATCATTCAGTAAGTGTCAAAATACATAAACAAGTGATTTACAGAAGGAAACTGAAAAGGAAATCTGATGAAAATGTTTATCTTTACCAATAAAGATTAAAATGGAATCCAAAATTAAAAAGAAAAATTGTGCATTCATCAGAATGGTGAAACTTTCAACGTTTGATACAAGATATAGAGCAGCCGAGACTTCCACAATCTGCTATAGTAAAAGCAACTGATAAAACAAATCAGTGGACAATCTAATAGCAGCAGCGTTTGTCAACATACCCTTAACCTAAGGTTCCTCAACCTTCACACTAAAGACCCTGGCTTGGACACATCACCCGGTAACAGCATCCTTCCAGCTGTGATGACCAAACATATACTCAGACACTGTCAATCCCTGGAAGGGAAAATTTCCCCCAATTTAGAACCAACTCCAGTGTAAGTATGCTGGGAAATACATATGAAAACTGTTCATGGTGAGAAAACAATCCACTGTATAAGAAAAGCACAGCAGTGAGCACCTACGTCAACTGCCTAGAGACAGATCGCACAGGGAAGGGAAACAAAAGGGAAGAAATACTCAAGGAACAGTATTATGTTTTACAAGCTAAATAGATCAAGACATTTTAAGAATTTTGTAGATATTAATTCTAGGCCCATGAATTTTTTTTATATAATAACTAAATAATTCCTGAGATGGCCAGGAGAATGACCATCCAGCAGTCCCCACTCCAAATGCCCAGTGTCTGAGGCTGGGCCACACTGCAGTCAGAAGCCAAAAAATTCAATTCAAGTCACACCCATGACCGTGGGTCATCGTCACCTCCCAGGGTGAGCAACCACAGGAAGCAGCTATCGGCAGCAAAGTTGAAACTCGAGCACAGGCATTCCACACACAGGGTGTAGAATTCCCAGTCAGAGGCTCAACTACAATGCTCACCCTGACACAAACACCATACCACGGGCAGGACAGAGACAGGGATAGGTACAGATAGCGTCATCCCCATTTTTATCTGAACCTTCCAAATAAGAACATATTTAGCATCATCCAATAAAAGGCATTAACCTCTAAACCAAGAGAATTTGAGACTAAAACAAAATTTAAGAAAATTCAGCAAAATCATGAGAATGTTTAATCGTGTTATTTTCAAAGTACACAAACAGACTTTTTAACTCCTGAGACATTCCCCCAATGCCTGTAACACCAACTAAGACTGGCGTCAGGCCAAAGCCAGGAGGTGGGACCCAACTAGGTCTCCCACATCTGCGGCAGGGACCCAAGTACTGCTATCAACTGCCTGTTTCCTACAATGGGACATGTTAGCAGGAGGCTGGAATCAGAAGTGGAGCAAGAACTCAAATCCAGACTTCCCCACCCAGTTTTAATCACTACGCCAAACACCCACTCAAGATTTCAAACTACTTATGAAATTAACTAAAAAGATGTCATTTAAAATAAAACATAATGAAAGACTGGAATACTAAAATAAACAAACAAAAACAAATAAACATTAGAAAAAGCCCAACATACTAAACACTAGCAAAGAAAGTAGAAATACAGATGGCAAGGTAAAGCACTACAGAAACTAAAACCAATGAAAAGCAATGCAAACACAATAGTGTGTGCGTGAACATAGCTCACCAACGACACACACAAACAACATTCACAGTTATTGTAAATATTTAATCTGGTTGTCTTCACACAAACATCTACCTTAAAAGCATTTTAGAAATGTGTTCTCACACCCAATGCAACGGCTTAGTTGGCTTATCTATCACCTGCAAGTACCAGTATCCTATACTGGCACCAGTTTGTGTCTCAGCTGCTCCATTTCCCAAACAGCTCCCTGCTTAAATGGTGAGAAAGCAGCAGAAAAAAGCTCAGATCCTTGGACCACTGCACACATGTAGGGGATCCAGTTCCCTGAGACAGACTGAGTGGTTGAGTTCCTTCCACTTACATGGCATTTGCAGCAGAAGCACGAGCATCCCATATGGGCACCAGTTCTAATCCCGGCAGCCCCACTTCCCATCCAGCTCCCTGCTTGTGGCCTGGGAAAGCAGTAAAGGACGGCCCAAAGCTTTAGGACCCTGCACCCATGTGGGAGACCCAGAAGCAGCTCCTAGTGGTGGCCACTAGGGCAGTAAATCAATGGATCTCTGGTCTCTCCTCCTCTCTATATAACTCACTTTCAAAAAAAACAAAACAAAACAAAACAAAACTTTATTCTCCTGAAATTACTTTTTCAGGAATTCCTACGTATCTTTAGTTCATCAAAATGACCATGTATGGACAGGCTATTTTTGTTCTTCATTTAGCTTCTTTCCCCTTCAAGTGATTTGTGCACTAGAAAGTCTATTACTCTGGCTCCCTCCCAAGTTCTCCACCCCATCCATGCAGTAAACAGCTCCCGCCTGGTCTCACCTGTAAGATTGATGTCTCCTAGCAAGTCAAGAAGTTCTCCACCAGCAGAAGCAGGTTTGCTTGTAGGTGCAGTTGGAATAACAGGTGTTATGTCATTTCCTCCCAGTAAGTCCAATAAATCATTAGCCTAAACAAGAAAATAACACCTCAACTCATGAGTTATTTGTCTAATCTACAGCTGAGGCTAAGCTCTGTCAATACCAATAATAATGAAAGAATGCTATGAAGAATTTTGTAGGAAAACAAATAAAAGAGAAGTTATAAGTAACTGTAAGAGATGTGGAGTCCAAAATCAGCAAGTGTAAGGCTACCTGGCTGGTGGGCTGAGGCCCAGAGGGTGGTGGTTTGGTCTCTAGTGGAGCAGGTTCTGTCTCTCCATTTGTCTGCACAATTTCAGCAGGGCCATTTGTGGTCACCTTTTCCATGACAGGCATTCTTTCAAGCAGGGCAGACCTAGAAGAATCTGAAGTGGTCAAATTCTAGGCATTTAACCTAGATTCCCTACCCTAAATAAATCAATATTAACTATATTGACACTCAACAATGCCCCTCTTCACCCAAAATATACACTAAGAAATGAATAGAATTAAAAAAAAAAACCCACATAATCTGAATTCCTATCTGGATTAAGAATAGGCAAGAAATTTTGAATAAAGAAACCACCCACTTAAACGCCAAACATGTATTTCAGTGGGAGGGACGCTAGCATAAAAGAAAGGTAAGTCAATAGTTATCAACAGTTTCCAAACAAGGAAGATGTTGCATGGGGCCAGGACTGTGACACAGCATGTTAATCTGCAGGTTGCAGCACCACAATCCGATCCGAGTGCTGGTTCCAGTCCTGGTGGCAGTGCTTCTGATCCAGCTGCCTAAGTGCTTGGATCCCTGTCATCGCAGGGGGAGATTCCAACAGAGTTCTTGGTCCCTGACTTCAGCCTGCCTCAGCTCTGATTATTATGGGCATTTGGAAATGGAAAATCTCTCAAATACTATCCATCTCCTTCTCTCTGTTTGTTTCTCACTCTGTCCCTGCCACAATGCCTTTCAATATGTATTGTATTGTAATAAATCTCTGTTTAAGAAAAAAAATAGTGAGGCTGGCCACTGTGGCATAGCAAGTAAAGTCGCTGCCTGAGATGCTGGCATCCCATACGGGCACCGGTTCGAGTCTCAGCTGTTCCACTTCTCATTCAGTTGCTAAGGTTCATAAGAGCAGCAAAAGATGGTCCAAGTGCTTTGACCCCTGAACCCACATGGGAGACCAGGAAGCTTAGACCTGGCCCAACTCTAGCCATTACAACCACCTGGGGAATGAACCGGCAAATGGTAAATCTCTCTTTGTCTCTTCGTTCTCACTCACTAACTCTGCCTTTCAAATACCTGATATAAATATTAAAAAAAAAATTGCTGGGCCCGGCACGGTGGTGCAGTGGTTAAGGTCCTCGCCTTGCACGCTCGGGATCCCATATGGGTGCCGGTTCTAACCCCGGCAGCCCCGCTTCCCTTCCAGCTCCCTGCCTGTGGCCTGGGAAAGCAGTCGAGGACGGCCCAAAACTTTAGGACCCTGCACCCACGTGGGAGACCCGGAAGAGGCTCCTGGCTTCAGATCGGCATAGTATTGGCCGTTGCGCTCACTTGGGGAGTGAATCATTGGACGGAAGATCTTCCTCTCTGTCTCTCCTCTCTGTATATCCGCCTTTCCAATAAAAAAGTAATAAAAATAAATCTTTAAAAAAATTGCATAACAAAAGAAAAACACACCAAAACATGAATTGCAATAGGATTTGAATGAGGTTTCTCCTAAAAGAAAACATGCAACTCCCACTTCTTAACCAAATAAAATAGAAAATGAAGCAAGTTCTCCATGCCCACAAAGGTAAAACTGGGAGATGTGGAATCAAAGCATACCGTTAATTTATTCCTTAAGGCTAGGAAGAAGTGAAGATGGACAAAAAGGAAGCAGCCAAGCAACCAGAACTGGATGGGGGTATGAGGTTCAGTTAATCAGAGAGCTTCCTCAGCAGGTTATCACCACAATTCAGTCAGTATGCACAAACTGGGATCTTTTGCTCACCTCATGTGGTCGTATTTCTTAAAAAGTGCATTATATTCTACTGCCCTCTGCTGGAGCTCCACATCAATGCTGCTTCCATAGATAGAAACAACTTTCTTAATTCGGCTATAGGACAAAATGATAACAAAAACAAAGAAAATTCATAAGCAAGCAGAGACAATATCTAAGCATAGTTTTCTAGCTAATATCTTAAAATACTCTTTTCTTAATACATAATTTTTCAAAAACAAATCTTGTTCACTCAGCCAACATACAGTTTTTTTTACTAACTTTAACACATAATTTCTATCAAATAGTGCATATCCTAAAATTGGCTGGACAAAGGTAACAAATGCCAGTCTGCCAAAGAGTAAATTTGTGCCATTCATTTTCCTGGCTAAATTAAGTAAGATTTTGTCAATTAAAGGTCTTAATATCAGAATGCAGAACCAAAATCATTTTATTCAGATTTGAAGTAAAAAATACCATCTCCTACAAGATGTCACATTAAAAAACTGAAGTAGGAACTCTTAAGAGAATGCCCTCTCCTTTACACGACTGAAACACTGCCACAGAGGTGACAGCCACTCAAACCTACACAACGCAGCCACCAAAACCTGAGCTTCTAGTCCTATTCCGACATTCCAAATTACTGTGGTGGCGGCAGGGGCATGCTAGTCAGAAAACCCGAGAGATTCTATGCCTGAAATTTAGCCTATTCCAGAAATTTGCCATATTACAATTTTTTAATTAGAAAATTTGGGACCGGTGTCATGGCCAGTGTATTAAGGCACACTCTGCAATACTGGTATTCCATATCAAGGTCACGTCAAATCCCAGCTGCTCTACTTTGCTAATGTGCATGGGTCATCAGTGGAAACACTGTTCAAGTACTGGGCTCTCCCACCCTTGTGGATAGTTCCTGGCTTTGGCCTAGACCAGCTCCAGCTGTTTCAACCATTTGGGGAGTGAACAAGCATTTATATATCTTTCTCTTTTTTCTGTGTAAAAAAGAAACATTAATATTGCTTGCAAATAAAGAAAACTGATATTTTTAAAACTACAAAACAAACTGATCATCCTATTTCTCAACACTCACTTTACAGTGGAGGTGAATCGAGTGGAAAGCTTCATAATGGCAGTGAGGGCATAGCCACGTGTCACTGAGCTGGACATGTTAGAAATTAGGACACTTTCTAGAATATCCAACACTTCATCCTCTGTTACCTAGGGAGAACAAAATAAGAATGGAGAACAAATGGCAGTAATGAACAACTAAACCTGGCATCAATTCAGGGATGCTGCCTGAAAGATCATCCCACCTTTACAAAACTGCCTAGCATAACCTAGCATTACCTTTGCCAGAGTAACAAAGACACTGTATCAGCAACAAACAGGCAGTAAAAGGGTAGGAAATTACCCCTGGGATCTGAGGGACATACTACATCTTCAAGTAACAAGAGGAGAGGAAGTATACAATACAGACTTCCAGCACTGCTGCTTTCCCTAAAGTCAACCCTTTAATGAGCAACTATAAATACACACATATCCTGGGCCCAGCACCGTGGCCAAGTGGCTAAAGTCCTCGCCTTGAACGCGCCGGGATCCCATATGGGATCCCACTTCCCATTCAGCTCCCTGCCTGTGGCCTGGGAAAGCAGTAAAGGACGGCCCAAAGCCTTGCGACCCTGCACCCGTGTGGGAGACCCGGAAGAAGTTCCTGGATCCTGGCTTCAGATCGGCACAGCACAGGCCATTGCGCTCACTTGGGGAGTGAATCATCGGATGGAAGATCTTCCTCTCTGTCTCTCCTCCTCTCTGCATATCTGACTTTCCAATAAAATAAATAAATCTTTAAAAAAAATAAACACACATCTCATTTCTTGCTCTTCAGCTAAAAGGTAAAAAAAATTAATAATAATAACCCAAGCTACTAGAATAGAAAGAGGGACCTGAAGCAGTTTTTTAAAAACTCAAGATACTCCCCCAAAAAAGAGGGCAGTGTTTCCAACATAATTCTATTATTTATTTTAATAGTTTTCAATGAATCAACTTCTTGTTAAACGTTTACATCCTATAACAAAAACACTCTTTCCCTTTACTTAACCAAGAGTAACAAAGCAGTACCTGAATGGGCTCCTCTTCTTCACACTGGCCAGACACAAGAAGATCCCCATATTCACCTATACACCACGCAGCCACTTGTACTAAAGGTTGCTGTTAAAACAAGTCAGCATTTGTCAGACTTCAATCTTTATGTAAATAATTGGTTGTCTAATCAAAAAGATCAAAACAGCAAATTCACACTCTTAATAATAAGAAACTTTCCAGGACAATAAAAAAACAAAAAAAAGCAAATGCAATCCAAAGACTTACTTGAGAGTAATCTCCAAGAATCGCTTTATATAAACGCTGGACAGTATACGCATGCATCTCTACACTATTCGTTATTAACTGGATCAAATTGGGGACTGCATCATCTCGAACATAACTTCCTGCCTAAAATAAACGGAAACACATGCAGTTATCACCAGGACACACAGAACTGACAGCAATGACAGACAACCGTTGCTACAACATTAGTACAAATCGGGGCAGGAGTATTGACTCAACAGGCTAATGCTTCATCTCAATGCACTGGCATCACACATGAATACTGGTCCATGTCCCAGCTGCTCCACTTCCCATCCAGCTCTCTGCTTGTGGCCTGGGAAAGCCGCACAAGATGGCACAATGCCTAGGGACCCAGAACCTACATGGGAGACCCAGAAGAAGCTCCTGGTCCCTGACTTCAAATCGGCTCAGCTCCACACGTTGTGGCCACTTGGGGAGTGAACCAGCAGGTGAAAGATGTTCCTCTCCTTCTCTCTGTTAATCTGCCTTTCCAATAAAAATAAGTGAATCTTAAACAGAAGTGATTGGAAAACTCATACCTGTTAAGAAATCAAGTCTGGAAAAAGTATCAAAAGGAAAAGCAAGAAGCTAAAAACAGCAATTATAACAGATAAATTCTTTCCTGACCAAAGAAAGCAGAATGCTTTATATAAGAAAAGCAATACAAGGACCTAATTGACACTTACAGACTACGTATCCAACAAAGTAGGTAACATATTCATAAACTCACACTGAGCTACCGAAGACCATATTCTAGGCCATAAAATATACCTGAACAACTGGAATTAAATTAGAAATCAGTAATGCAAAGACAGCTGCAAATTGTAAATACATGTAGACTAAAAATACATTTCTTTGTTTTTTGGGTTTTAAAGATTTATTTATTTATTTTTATTGGAAAGGCAGATATACAGAGAGGAGGAGAGACAGAGAGGAAGATCTTCCGTCCGATGATTCACTCCCCGAGTGGCCGCAACAGCTAGAGCTGAGTCAGGAGTCAGGAGCTCTTCTAGGTCTCCCACGCAGGTAGGAGAGGAATAATTAATAATCCTCACTTGGGGACTGCCAGTTTTTTCTTACTACAATACAAGGACTGGGACGCTTTTTTCAATACACACTTTTGTAACCTTTTGTTTTTCCAAGCTGAGCTTCTGAAAATTGCATAATGAATAAAAAGGTATCAGCAGTACTATCAACATGCCTTCTTGAATTTTTTTTTTAAATAATTGTGATGCTCTTCCCCAAATGCCTTCAACAGCTAGAGCTGGGCCAAGCTGAGGCCAGAAGTCAGACCTTAACCCAGGTCTCCCACACAGCTCTCACTTGCTGCCTCCCAGTGTGTACATCAGCAGGAAGCTGGATGAACTGTGCAATGGAGACCAGCACACCAGTAAGTAAAGGTAGGCTGCAGTCAGTATCTCTACTCACAAATGAAAGGACTCCCAGTGAAACAGCTGAATAGATCTTATCAATACGACTAAGTTATCTTTGTTTATATCTATAATGCCATGATGAACTTATATAGAATAATGCTAATCTTATAATTATTATTAAAGGGCTAAATAACTGTGATAATATGGGGGAATACAGAGAGAGGGGAACATGGGAAGGTAGGAAGGGGAAGGAAAGGAGGGAACCCCTATACTACCAAAATGCATCAGGAAAACAAAAACAAAAACAAAGCCACACATTTTGGATCACGATATCGTTCTTGCCCCCAAGAAGCCACCTTCTTGACATACTTTCTCCTCCTGCTCACCTCCCAGAACCACACACCCCCAAGAAGTAGGTCCATTTTGGAGAGAAATGAGTATTATTAAAAAAATAATAATAATATGCATGGATTTCACCACTTTTTGCACATAAATAAAATTAACTTTAAAACAGATTTTATTTTTATTGCAAAGGCAGATTTACAGAGAGAAGATAAAGATTTGCCATCCGAAGTGGCCACGATGGCCGAAGTTGAGCCAATCCAAAGGTAGGAGCCAGGACCTTCTTCCAGGTCTCCCACATGGGTGCAGGGTGCCAAAGCTTTGGGCCGTCCTCCGCTGCTTTCCCAGGCCACAGGCAGGGAGCTGAATGAGAAGTGGAGGATCTAGGAGATGAACTGGCACTCATATGGGATCTGGGCACATGCAAGGCAAAGATTTGCCCGCTGAGTGATCTCCCTGGGACCTTAAAGTTACTTTTAAATCCAGTGATCTCTGAACTCTCTGAAGTACCTCATATATTTCCCATGTATTTTCTATTCTAGAATGAAATCTTCATGAAAACAAAATTTCTCTCTGCCTCATTTATCAGTACATCTCAGAATCAATACATCTAGGATATACGAACTGAACATTTTACTTACGGTTGTCAACACACGCATAATAGTGTCTATATGCCACCGTTTGGAAGGCGCATACCTGAGAAAACAAGGACACAAGGTGAAAACCTGACACCTTTCAACTCTTTCATTCAGTGACTTTCAAAAATCATATCTTTTGCCTTTTCTAGACCTTGTACTGGACACATTTCACCTTTAAACTTAGCAGCCAATGCCATTTCAAGGGTGATGAAATGATACCTACCCAAACCAAAGTGTTTTCCTATATACTGTAACAGTAGCTGCCGAGCTCAGCATACAAATCATATAGTTAGGGAAAAGAAGCAAGAGAGAATGAACATAACTAGACAACACTAGGATTAGGACTTCATTCAATTAAGTGGCTTTCTCCAATAAAGTCCTGAGGGACTTTCTCCAAGCATTTTGCACAGAACTAGAATTGAAATGATGTCATCCTTCTACTCCCTTCAAAATAAACAGCATCAGAGTGAGAGGTCAAAATAGATACAAGGGAAAAAAATTATATTAGATACAAATTATAATGGTCTTTCGCAGATCTGACTGAAAAATGGGATAACTTGAAATAAATGTTGCAAGCTATAATTTGCATAATTTTCCCCAAGTTTTAATGGCACTTTCAAAGCAGTCCCAAGCATTTCCTATCAAAAAAGGTGAAAATTAAATCTTACTTTTCTGCAGCAAGAAAGATCCCAGATGCACAGTCTGCTTTAAATTCTGGCTCACAAGAATCCAGAAAATAAAGTAACTCCTTCATCATGCCTCGGATATTATTCCCATTTACGAGGGCAAAACTCAATTCCATTGCACGCCTTCCAGAGAGGAGAAAGAGGTTAGGATATTAATAGTGGGAATGAAGCACAGACCAAGTGTGCTCTCAGCACCAAGCACTGGCAGATGTGCTAGCACCCTTACACAATCTTATGATCTCAATCCATGCAGGCAAGACAACCAAGCAGATTCACTTATACACAATCAAAATTAGTTTTGGAATTCTTAATCTTCATTCAACACTTTTATTCAAGATTTCTAAAGGAACTACTACTAAGGATCAAAGTTGCAGCTCTGGTTCAACAGCTCATTTTAGAAAGCTGAAATTCAGTATACTTAAGAGAGTCACAGAGGCAACAAAATGATTACTAAACAATAATACTCTGTTTTATTTCTTAAAAAGTGATAAAGTCACCATACTCTCATTACATCCCATTTTTGTGCAAAAAATCATGCAACACATATACATCAAATAGAAGGAAGAAAATTAGCATTACAAAGTGAAAGGAAAAGCAAGATCTATGAAAAGAAAAAAAGGGGGAGCATGTGTGATGAGGGCAAAGAGGAATTCTACAACTGCGCCAAATGTGTCAAGGCAAGTAAAACTGGAAGTGCTTAACATAAAAACAATTAGGTTACAATACATATCTTCATATGTGATGAATAATTTCATACACCGTATATTAGCAGATTTTCAAAAACACCAATTTAACAATATAAATTCTAACTGGCATCCAAATAACAGAAATTGAATTCCAGACCAGTGTTGTGGGCACAGAATATTAAGTAGCCACTGGGACACTGGAATTCCCTATAGGCATGCCAAGTCCAATCCAGCTGCTCTGCTTTGGGGATTGCAGCAGATATGTGTGGAAAAGCAGCAGCGGGCAGCCAAGCTGCTTGGGACCCAACACCCATGTAGCAGATACAGACAGAGCTCCAGGTCCCTGATTTTGACTTGGCCCAGGCTGAATCACTATGGCCTTCTGGGGAATGAACCAGCAGCTGGAAGATCTCCTCTTCGGTTTATCCCCCTCTATCACTCTGCCTTTCAAATGAAACAAATTTCAAAAAGAGATGGGGGTGGAGGAAGAGGAAGAGAGACAGAGAGAGAAAGGAAGGTCAGAGGCAATTTTACAAAAACATTAAAGCAGGGGTTAGCTTGGAGATACAGGTTAGGCTACATCGTGTAGCACCTGCATACCACATGAGCACTGGTCCAAGTACCCACTACTCTACTGCTGCCCAAGCTCCCTGCTGGTGCTCCTGGGAAAGCAGCAGTAGATGACCCAGGTCCATTAGCCATTAAGAGACCCAGATGTTGTTGAGTTCAACAGGGCTCAGCCACAGCCACTGAGTCCACTTAGAAAGTAAAGCAGCAGCTTTTGTTCAATCTCAATCTTAATCTCTCTTTCCCAAAAAGCAAATAAATCGTCTAAAAAGTTTAAAAACACTGAAATCAATAATCACAAATTCAATTTTGAGATATAATAATTTACTACTCTTTAAAAAGTGCTTTTGGGGCCCAGTGTGGTAGCCTAGCGGCTAAAGTCCTTGCCTTGAACGCACCAGGATCCCACATGGGCGCCGCTTCTAATCCTGGTGGCCCTAATTCCTGCCCCAGCTCCCTGCCTGTGGCCTAGGAAAGCAGCCGAGGATGGCCCAAAGCCTAGGGACCCTGCACCTGTGTGGGAGACCTGGAAGAGCTCCTGGCTCCTGGCTTCGGATTGGCTCAGCTCTAGCCGTTGCGGCTGCTTGGGGAAGATCTTCCTCTCTGTCTCTCCTCCACTCTATATATCTGCCTTTCCAATAAAAAAAAGAATAAATCTTAAAAACAAATAAAGTGCTTTGGGATTTGACATATATACAAACGTACTAGTTCACTAAACACTGCATAACATTCAAAGTGGACACACTTCCATCTATATTCTACAAAAAAGGTTAGACAACTTGCGCAGTGTGTTAAAGGCAGGGCCAGGAGTTGGAATGAAGGAGCTAGGCTTCAATATCTGGGCTTTTATTATTATATATCCTATCAAGGAGCCACAATTTTACTTTTGATATAAATTCAATGGCAGTAATGAACTACACAGAAACAATTTCTATACCTAGGACTTTTCCATACATGAGTCAAAATTTCAAATGAGGCATTTGATCCCTTTAAGAGAATACATAGCTGATGTATTAGCTTAGTTTCTCTCACTGGCTTGCTCCGAGAGCCAACAGTGTGCTTCCACACACCTCTGAAAAGGAATAAACACTGATGCTGGAAGCAGTGCTGCAGGTAAAGCTGCCATCTGTGGCAGCAGCACCCCATACGGGTGCTAGCTGCCCTGGCTGCTATACTTGTAATTCACCTCCCTGGTAATGCATCTGGGAAAGCAGCCCAAGATGGCCCTGGCACCCACCCTGAAGACTCTGATAATGATCCTGGCTCCTGGCTTCTGACCAATCTCTGACTGTTGGAGTCATTCTGGGAATTAACCAGTGCATGGAAAATCTCTTTCCTTCCCTCACCTCTCCTCTCTCACTCCCTCCTTCTCTCAATCTAATCCTTCCTTTCAAATTAACTAAAGGGGGAGAAAAATGGTTGGTGTTACAGAACTGTGATGTGGTAAAATGGTTTAAGCTGCTACCTGGGACACTCACATTCTACTATCAAGGCACTGGTATGAGTTGCTAAATTGCTGGGTTGCAGTTTCCCTTCCAACTCCTTGTTAATGCATCTAGGAAAGCAGCATAAATGTGGGACCAGTTAGAGCACCAGGCTTTTATCTTTAGGCTGAAGCAACAATGATTGGTTCAGCCACTTGGAAAGTGAACCAGCAGATGGAAGAAGAGAATATCTATCTTGTTCATTCTGCTCATTCTGTCTCTTTCTCTCAAAAAAAAAAAAAAAAAAAAAAAAAGGCGTAAGTGAGTTTAGGTTCTAGCTCTAAGTTGCCCACAAGTCTAGTGACTGCTTTAAAGAAGAAAAAAAAAAAAAAGGACAAGAGTAGGAGGTGGGTGGGGAAGACTCAACAAATACATATTAATTGAATATACAAAGAAATTATTTAAAGTTTTCTTTGCTTCAGTAAAAACAAACAACCTAAAGTTTACTGAGACCAAACTACAGCTAGGTTTTATAAAGATCTTTAATTTTTGGAGGTAATTTCATCCAAGCAAAAGAAACAACCATTTTGAAAGTGCTATCTGCTGCCTAAGCAGTCGGCCTGAGCTGCAGTGGTCTACGAGACTTGCTTACTGCAGCATCCTGGGGCAGGAGCACTGTGCACACTGTGTGCTGTCAGCAGTGTGAGCTTCAGCATTGTGGTAAGACACTCAGCCGATGGATCACTCCTTACTTTCATCCTCCAACACACAAAGCACAGTGCCCCCCTCATCTGTACCTGTTACATTACTCAAAGAACTAATGGGGCAGCACTGCAGCACAACCATCTATGACGCAGGCATCCCATGAGCACAGGTTCAAGTCCCATTTACATCATTTTTGATCCAGCTACCTGGCAATGCACCTGGGAAAGGAGCAGAAGAAGGCCCAAGGACTTGGGAACCTGACATTCAAATGGACAACATGAATAAAGATCCAGGCTATGAGTTTCTGCCGGCCAGGTGCAGCCACTGTGGCCATCGGGAGAGAATCAGCAGAGAGATGCCCCTCTTTCTTACTCACTCTCTTTTAAACAAATACATTTTTTAAAAAGTGACAAGAAACGGACCAAGAACAACGTCAATGTGCACTTTATAGCCTGGGCCTCATTTACTGACCTAAACCTTTCCTGATTAATCCCTTCTAAAAAAGGATGTACTAAAACCATAAAAGTAAACACATTCACTAAAATGTATAAATGTCAACACTCTCACTCTCAAAGTTGCTACAAAGTACCAAGTAGGAGAACACTGAACTGCAAAGAAAAGATTCAAGTAAAAATAAAAACGCCATGTTGAGAAAGTCTGTTACCGTTTTATTGAGACATCAAGATCCTTCAGACAGTCCACGATCGTGCTCCTGTGCCTCTGCACTGCATTGTGGTCTGTCTGCACAGTCTTCAACAAGGACGTCAGCGCTACATATCTGGATGAGACAACGTTACACGGTAAGTTAAAATTTAAGTTTAGGTTAGGTTAGGTGAGATTTCCTCTTTACAGTGACCAAGGGAAAGCATACAGCTTTAAACATTTGAAAGATAGAGATAGTATTTATAAGGTAATATTTTAAGGCATAAAAAAATACCATTATCTAAAGTATGGAAAATTAGCAAAGTCTGGCTCATTTAAATCTCTAAAAGAAATGGATTCATTTTTTCAGAATCTTCCATTACAAGAGCAAAAAAAAAAAAGCTGCATTAGTCCAAAAATGCAATTATTTTACTATTTAGTATATCCCTACTTTGATAGTGGTACCAAAATTGCCTGCATAAAAACTTCACTTAGGGGGCGCAGCTCGATAACCTCGTTAAAGACCTCATTTTACATGCACTAGAATCCCACATGGACACCAATTCATATTCCAGCTGCTCTACTTCCCAGCCAGCTCCCAGCTTGCTCCCTGCAAAAGCAGTGGAGGAGGGCCCAAAGCCTTGGGACCCTGCACTTGTATGAGAGACCTGGAGCTCCTGGCTTTGGATCAGCTCAACTCCAGCCACTGCAGACACGTGGGGAGTGAACCAGTGGATGTAAGATGTATCTCTCTATCTCTCTGCTCTATAAGTTTGCTCTCCAATAAAAATAAATAAATCTTTTTAAAAAAGAAAATATAAAGTTTTAATACCTAAATATTAAGTTTAAGATATCAGTGATTTTTCAGTCAACATACCTAATATTCTTGTCATTGTTCAATAAGAAACGACCCAGGATATTTATGGCTAGAACCTGAAGAGAAATAGCGTATGTTGAAAATTTAGAAAAAGGAAATATTTCTATCATTTCTTGACATTAAATAATCATTTCCTGCCTTCTGATAATTATAGATAACAAATCAAAAGGAAAAATAAGTTTTAAAATATCTACATGCAAACTCTTAAAATCATATTCTATGTCAACAAAAATTACTGGAAGACCACTGCTTAATGTTTCAAAGCAGTAGAAAAAGAAAATTAATAAAAGTTTCTTGAGAAGAAAATATGGCCTATAAATAAAAAGCGTGGTGCTTCAATAATTCCACTTTGCTGAATTCACCTACCAAACACATTAGGCTAAACAAAGACGAAAGACACAAAACGATAAATATAGGAGGAGGTACTGGGACCTGTAAAATATATATTTGGTCTTCATTCCTATTTCCTGTACATATTTTTTTTTTCATTTTACTTTAGTTTTTTATTTTTTGATAATCTTACTTAGTTACTGAGAGTACAAAGAGTCAAGGGCTACAGGAAAGTGGGTAAGACCATTGTTTCCACACTAATATCATCATTTTTCCCCCTGCATCTGGGGTCAGGGGAGAAACAAAGGGAGAAGCCCCACCCAGCCTCCCACCCATCCCAGCTCCCCAATGTGAGGCATGCTCCAAGGGTCCTACTCTAGCAGTTTTAATAGTTCAACAGTTCTGAATTGCTACCAGTCTCGCCATTCCAATCACGATGAAATCTATTCAGAATCCACTGGCTGACAGTACTGAATATATTAAAAAAAAAAATTGGTTTTAAGGGTTCCCCCCACTCTATTTCAGAGATATTTAAGAGGCATCAAATTCAGAATGGCTGTTGCTAGTAATTAGAAGTGTGGGGAGTAGGAAACCATTGTTTAATGGATATCAAGTTTATAAAGACAAAAAAAAAAAAAAAGACTCATGAATATGGAACCAGCACCACAATAATTTCAGGTGAACAAACTAGAATGTTTTTCATGAAAAGTAGAGAAGGGGAAATCCTTAAGTTAACTCAGTTACTTAGATACCATAAAGCTAAAAGACAAAACAAAACAAAACGACATTAAGAAAGTGAACACAAATATTGCTAACTCTAATTGGCAAATTTTTCTTACACAATAATCGACTAGCAAATTTAATATAAACAGATGAATGAATGAATGAATGAACAAATAGGGGAAAATTAAGGACAACTCTTCTTTACAGAATTGCAATTATTTAGTATGAGAAAAATAAGGGGGAAAGACTATCATTAGCACATCATCCTAATAATGATTGTAGGCGAGATCTCTCTGGTGGACACTAAAACCAACCGACAAAAGTTGCAGGACAGCACCCTGGGGCAACCTGTATTTGATTCATTTATCCCAAATGTCTGTGTCATAGCACAAGCTAAGCAGACACAAAGCCAGCATCCCATACGGGAGCAACAGTTCAAGCGGTGGATGCCAGGCTTCCAATCCAGCTGCCTGCTATTGACCCTGGGAAGGCAGCGGAAACGGCTCCTTGGGTCCCTTCCACCCCCCATGGGAGACCCAGACAGAATTCTTGGCTCCTGGCTTCAGCCTAGACAAGCCCTGGATGTTACAGCGACCTGAGGAGTAAACCAGTGAACAAAACTTTGTGTCTCTGCCATTCCATCTTACAAATAAATAAATTTTTTAATTTAAGATTTTTCATTTGAAAAGCAGAGCATTCTATCCACTTTAAAATGATGAGCAAATTTCCAATTGTGGTTTTGGTAAAAAGTTATTCTGAAATGTTTTCTTGACTAGACAACATCTATATAATTAACTATTAAGCTTTTTGAACTTTATTAATGTTAATCTTTCAACAGAAGACAATCAATACTTCATATAAAACATTCAGCATTATACATTTTCCATTATTCTTTAAGTCAGGTCCCAAATGACATACTGTTTCAAACTACTACAAATTGAGTCTAACATTCTAAACAAAATGTTGATTTCAAAAAGACTTACTCGTAGTCCACTCTCTGACTTGATATCCATGATGGTTAAAACAGTTTCATAAAGAATGGCATTTCCTACATTCTTACTCGTCTCTGTATTGGTGGCAACCTGAAGACACACAGAGAGCAGTAAATAAGTGATAATAAAAACACTGCTTCCAAAAACAGCCAGAGTTAAAGTGAGACGTGTTGCGATCACGGCCACTAACAGGGAAGCACAAAGCCTGCTGCAACATAATGCAATCATTAAACTACTCCACGTCAAACTAAAATTTAATGTAACACAAGCTGGATCTACTCACCTGTGCTAAGATGTCATTCATAGCTTCACTTGAGTCATCATCATTTCGTCCTAAAATTCTTAATAACCGCAAAATTCGTACCTAATGAGCAAAATGAGAGATATCAACAAATTATGTCTTGCACAAAGAAACCCCATTTGGTATAAAAACAAATCTTACATTCCATCAGAAAAGGACGACATTAAACCAAAGAATTAGCAACATGACCTCTAGAGAAATCCACATACTTCTACATTTGATGAAGTCATTAAGCAACCCACTCCTCACCATGCTACAGCTAAAGAATATCACCTGGAAAGCCACAGTGCTTTGTTAATTCAAATACAGAAGTAGTAAATGCTTCCCAAGTAGGAAAACCACACACTGCACTGTAGCACAGCATATAAAGCTTCTGCCTGCAGTCCTCACATCCCATATGGAGTCCTGGCTGCTTTACTTCCAATCCAGCCACCTGTTAGTATGCCTGGGAAAATAGCAGAATTCAGCCCAGGTCCTTGGTCCCTTGCATCTACATAGGAGACCCTGAAGAAACTCCTGGTTCCTAGCTTTGGAACAGCCCAACTCGCCATTTGAAAGATTCTCTCTCCCTCTCTCTGTAACTTGACCTTTCAAATAAATAAACTTTCAAAAACAAACAAACCTTGTAACTTCACTCTTAATACAGAACTGTGCTCCACTCATTTATTAATTTAACTAATTTTAAGCAACTGACTGCCACATTTCTACCCAAAACAGACCTAACACACAGGAAAGAGTTTATTCTTTTTGCATTAACTTCACTTTGTATTTATTCAGAACCTTTTTTCAACCTCACCTGCAAAAAGGGGTCACTGATACCAGAAACATCATGTTCTGGTGAATATCCGGACATAATGAGATTCTTGAGAATACGAACTAACTGGGGCACAAGCTGCAGGAAAGAAAAAAAAAGACGCACCAAAAGAAAAATCAGTGAACATCACAGAATATCTCATGACTAAGCAAGCCTTTTGGTTTAGAAGAAGGGTATAAGGATCTGAGCCCAAGCAAATTATCTGATACAAATATATCAGTAAATTGTAAATGATGTTTGATATACATAACTGGAAGCATTTAGACCAAAAACACAAGAAGTAAGCATTTTACTTGAATATAAACAAACCAGACTTCTTTAGAATTATATACACCAAGATATTCTAAACAGTAGTGAACCAGAAAGCCTACAGAAACCACGTAAAGCAGACATCTACCGAAATTACTGCGTTTGCACTACCGTAGAACTTGACATACCTAGGCAACAGAAACACTTGAATGTAAAATGTTACCACACCAAAGTGTACCTGACAATTACATTACAAGGACAGCCTTCTGTGGTCAGCATGTGTGGTGGGTTAGGCCATCGCATGCGACACCGGCACTCCGCATGGATGCCAGCTCAAGTCCTGGGTGCTCCACTTTCAATCCAGCTCTCTGCTAATGGCCAGGGAGAGCAGTGAAGGATGCCTGCAATGCCTAGGCCCATCCCACAGAGGTGGGAGACTTGGAAGAAGCTCCTGGCCCTGGCTTCTGCCTGGCCTCACCCCAGCCATTGTGGCTATCTGGGTAATGAAACAGTTCTGTCTCTTCCATTCTCTGTAACTCTGACAGTCAAATATATATATATATATATATATATAACTATCAGGCATACTCAAATAGAGAAAAATTTCTTTTCTCTGAAAAGACAGCTATGTTCTTCAACAGAAGAACAGTAATCAAGTGGAAAAGACACACACACACAAAAAAGTTAGCTTTCATTTTAAAAGGACACAAAGCCATGAATAATTTCTTCATCCTAGTCTTCAATCATGTGAAGCAATTTTTGTTGAAGTTTAATTTTAGCGCTCGTTTATATGAACTGCTTCGTGGACTGTTTCCTCTTTTGTTTGAGTTTGCCAAGGAAATTCCACATTCCTGTACAGTCAGAAATTCCTTTCTTCTCCTTCCTTTACTTTCTCCATTAGAGTCCTAAAACCTAGTAGAGGCAATACTACTGCCCAGGTAAACAGACTCTTTAGGTATCAGCACTCTCTTCTTTCATGCAATTTCTTCATGCTAAAATTCTACTCTAAAACGTTAGTCACAATAGAAAATGTTCAAGTTATCAATTAAAAACTCAATTCAGCTAAACAAACACAAAAACTGTGATGACCTAAAACCAGGAAAGCAATGTTCACAATGCACTGTGCTGCCTCATGAGACAACCAGAAGTGTCATTCAACCCTTTCTCACGCCTAGCCCCCAAACCGCCAAGGGATCAGGAGTAAACTGCAAAGCCCCAGGCATGCGTTTAAAACATCAAGGTCTCTTCTAAAGACTTGAGGGCGCAATGAATTCCACTAACTTTGGTCATCACTCCTCAGAATTAAGTGACTCATTAGTCACGCAAACAATAATCGAATTTGGCCAACTCCACGTATAAGACAAATCTGAGACACAGAGATCTGTATATTCTAAACAAAATCTTCATTAAATCTGTCAGTTATGGGCAATTCCCAGTAGAGAAAAGATATCATTTTTAAAACTGCTTTAAATGTTGTGATAAAATCCAGGACATCTACTGTCAAAGTTCTTCACAAACCAAACAAACAAAAATCCTCACCTCACACACTTGCCAATGGTCTGTTTTTTTGTGCTACATAATAACCCAAATTATTTTGGTAAATCTGCTTTACTTCTTGGAGAAGGCATGTATTCCTTGGGGTACTAAATTCAGAAATTCTTTTATTCACTGTCCAAAGGCCAGCTCATTACATAAAATTATCCGTGGACAGAAAGCATAAACATCTAAGTGTTTATCATAAAAATTCTTGGTCTCAGCTTAGTTTTGTTCATACAGAAATGCAAGATATTAAAACACATGACAAGACAAACAAAATAAGATGACAAAGGGAAAGGCTGCAGCCATGAAAATCAGTTGGTGCCCACCTACCCTACTTCAAAATCCTTTAAACATTCTAGAACTTCCAAGCAAGATTAGGTCCAAGGAAGGAAGAAATAAAAGTTCCAAGTGTAACATGGAGCACACAAGTCCATGCAGAGCCCTTGGGAAGATGAGCTTGCCCACACAGGGCTCTAAAACATCGACCCAAAAGGAGTGCTTTCTATCAGGGCTCCAAACAGATCAGGAATGGCCGTCACCAAAGATAAGGGGAAACTTCTCTAAGTTTCTCATGTGAAGACACACGTAAGGCAGAAAAGGAGGTTCACAACTCAGGCTGCAACTGAGATCCAAGGCTGAATCTAGAGTCAGGAGTTTTAAATGACAAGACAACAAATGGACTAAGAAGTTAGCCAAAAAATGCTAGGACAAATAACTCACAGGGTTAAGCACAGCTTCAGCATCAGTACACTGTTAAAGCCACAGTGGTGGATGGGTACAAAAAAGCTACTAAAGGACCTAAGGCCAGCATGCACCATCTAAAAGAGGGTTAATTCTTACCTTTTCATTCTAACATACAGCAGGATTCCAAACAGACAACAGGAACAAAACATACAAAGCAAGCATTAGGGACAGATACGGGTCTCATACTATTTTACAATAATTTAATCACAACATAAACGTCTAGTTTGGGAAAGGCAAAAAAAAAAAATTACTATTAAAAGTCTTATTTCATCTAAAATACAAAGTGAATCTTACTTGTGTAGTGACTGACTACTACAAAAATAAACGGGCCAGTGCGGTGGATCAGCAAGCTAATCCTGCACCTGCAGTACTGGGCATCCCAGGCAGACACTGATCTGAGTCCCGTCTCTTCCCCTGATCCAGCTCCCTGCTAATGGCCTGGGAAAGCACCAAAGGACGGCCCAAAGCCTTGGCCCTTCACCCACGTGAGAGACTTGGAAGAAGCACCTGGCTCCTGGCTCCAGATCAGCTCAGCTCCAGCCACTGTGGCCACTGTGGCCATTTGGGGAGTGAATCAACGAATGGAATATGTTTCTCTCTGTCTCTCCGTCTCTCTGTATATCTGCCTTTCTGATAAAAAGAAATAAATCTTGGGAAAAAAAAACTAGTGAAAAAAAATGGGAATGGTCAGAGTTGCAGCAAAGTGGTTGAACCACGATTTGACAGTCCATATCTGAGTCCAGATTGTTCCACACCTGATCCAGCTCCTTGACTGTGCCTGGGAAGGCAGCAGAAGAATGCTTAAGTGTTTGGGCCTCTACCACCAACACAGGAGATCCAAGTGGAGTTTCAGACTCCAGGCCAAAACAGCTCAACCCTAATCAACAGATACAACCACAAGGGGAGTGACTAAGCTAATGGAAGACCTCTGCCTCTCCCTCTTATTTTCAAAGTTTTAAAAAGCTGGGCGCGGCACAATGGTTCAATGGCCGAATCTTCACCCTGCAAGTAATAGCGACCCATAGCGGTGCTGGTTCGTGTCCCTGCTGCTCCACTTTCCATCCAGCTCCCTTTTGGAGGACTAGCAAAGCAGTGGAGGATGGCCTAAAGTCTTATACCCTGTACCCAGGTGGGAGACCCAAAGAAACTTGTGGCTTCAGATCGGCTCAGCTCCAGCCATTGCAGCCATTCGGGAGTGAACCAGAGGATAGAAGATCTTTCTCTGTATCTCCTTCTCTCTGGAAACCAATCTGCCTTTCCAATAAAAATTTTAAGATCTTGAAAAAAAAATGTTGAGTTAAATCAACGAGAGACAGGAGAACTGTAATAAAGTAATGACTTCCATCACACAAGTCAATTGCCTAAAGTGAACAGTGGAATAAAAAAAAAAAAAAAACACTTAGTGCGTAATTTTCATCTTAAAAAAATTCATCACAAATTTTAAAAAGGAAAAAGGGTGTGCATGCGTTCACACACCGTTCCTATTTGTAATCTGAGCTCAGGCTACATTTCTTGACTCAAATGTGAAAACAGCAGAAAAACATGAGAAAGATCGGTGTGTCTACCAACAATGAGAAGACTTTTATTACGGAAGGGAAGAACACTACCACAGTGTCAGCTCTTATTTCCTTAAATCTGGATTCCAGCCCTACCACAAAGCAGGGTTGCTTAAATTCTTTATTCAATGCTACTGCTTGCTTTCAAAAGAAAATCGTGAGACATATCATATCCTTTTCAGTAAAATCATCTTTGAATCAAGAAAGGTTTAGGCAAACTGAAGGGACCTACCTTTCTGAAATGAGCAAGCATGTCGGGGCTGCGCTCACACATTTCTGTAAGAAGAACTACAGATGTGTGAAGGACACCTGAAAGAGAAGATAAAAAAAAACTAAGAATGAAGCTATGTCACTCACACTACTAGGACAGGGATCTGAGTTACTGAGGGTCCACTCAGAAAGCAAGTTGCTACTTCTGATTTCCCCAAAGCATTTAAGCACTGAAGTAAATAACAAAGAAGTACGTAATGACTTCATGCCTGTCAACTCCTTACAAAAGGAAACTCTGGGACTGGCACTGTGAAATAGCAGTGTAGCCTCCACCTGAATGCAGGCATGCCATGCAGGCACTCCCAGCCAGTCCACCTGTGCTCCAGTTCCTTGCTAATGGCCTGGGAAAGCCACAAAGGCAGCTCCAGTGCTTGCACTCCTCCACACTTTGGGAAGAAGCTTCTGGTTTCGGTGGGACGGAGCTCTGGGGAGTGAACCAGAAGATGGAAGATTTCTGTTTCTCTTCTCTCTCTGTAACTCTGCCTTTCACATAAAATAAACAAATCTATACTGACAACCTAATGTAGTGTGTATTTTTCTTTTAATACAAAATAGCTAGAGGCTTCTAGCTTCAGAATTGCTCAACTCTGGCCATTATGGCCACTTGGAGAGTGAACCAGCGAACAGAAGATCTTTTTCCTTCTCTCTGTGTATCTGCCTTTCCAATTAAAAAAAAAAAAAAAAACCTACAAGAAAATATTTTGAACATTTTCATCATAAAGAAATGACAGATATTTGAGGACAAAGAATGTTGATCCTTGATCAAAGGATCATCACAAAGTATTCGTGTATAAAAACATCACATGGTAGCCTATAATATGTACAATTTTATCCATTAGTTTAAAATAAATATAAAAATAATTGTTTAGATGACAACCAACACATGGGTGTCTCCATTTGACAGTATGCATAATGACATGCTCCTATATAATACCAGGTATTATCTGTTCCATGTTAGTAATCTGTTAGCTAAGTTCTGACAGATAATTCAAGAAGCAAAATATTTTTATTTCCAGATAAAAAATATCAAAACTCCAAGACAACTGTGAATAAAATTGAATTTACTTGTTCCAGTCAATTAAAAAGAATCTTTCTTATTACTTTATAATAAGAAATAAGTAAGTTCCATGAACATTTATCTGTTCAACCAATGTATTTTGAGCATTCTGGGCACAGCACTGAATTAACTAAATAATAAAATACACCAAATCAGTTTTTAAGAAACATAATTTTTTCAGAACTTGTTTCACTGACTTCAAAGAAAGAATAAAATATTTGGGGAAATAGCCACATCCCATTTTTAATTCCTCTTGAATTTCATACAGATAGTTGAACACCCATTTCAAACTCCCATTAGGAAGTAACCCAAAAGAATTTTCACGGGTCTTATACTTCTATCACATAATGAAGAAAAAAAGTTTTATTGTGAAAAAAAGGCAAGAAATCAAAGAGTTCTACACATAAAAATCAGGGGCAGGATCATTCACACGTTACACGGACTATTAGGAACGAGATCTAGTACTTTTAGTATGGTAAGAGAGGACTATCAGTGAAAGACAACCTAAGAAGGAATCACTCCCTAAATATAAAACTAGAATATCTGAGTAGAAAAGAGATACAGCAGATCAGATCTTTCTTTAAAAATGAACAAACACAATAGAAAAATCCACTGTACTGAGACTCAGGGCTACATAGTCTTAAGCCTTTTCTCTCTCCCTTTCTCCCTCAGCACTTTAAGTGCATCCAAATCACATTACCATGGTTCTTCTCATTCAATAAATTTTTTGTTGCTGGTAAAAACATCTCCATAAGCTCAGGGACCTTCCTGATGACATGAACAGCACATAATGCTGCCTATAAAAAAATAAATAAATAAGAGACAAGAGATTTATTTCATTTAAATCAAGGCAACAAATCTTTAAAACAACAACAACCAAAAAACGTACTAGTTCCATCTACTTGAAACATGAACAAAGGTGTTAGATATGAGCTTTACTACTTATTAAGTGGTTGGGGCTTTCCAGTTTGAACTACTATATTAGGGAAAACTTCAAATGCACCTGTCCCTTTGATGATATACTGCCATTCAACTGGGAAAAAATCTTTCGAGACTAATCACAGCTAATGTGATTTGCTAAAGAAGTTAAATATAGTTTGTAGAAAATAAAAAATAGGTAAGAATCTCCATCTGCGATCATCATACTTGAGTAAAATGGTAAACAGGTACAAAGACATAAACTTTAAGCATGTATACTGCAGATACCACAGATCCACTGCTATGCTTAACAATGCTTCATCTGACATTCTGCTGATACCAAAAAAAAATTGAAATATACTTAACCAGTCACAGGGAAAAAAAAAAAACCATGGTATGAATTATTAGCTTGTTCATGGGAAATAAACAGCTAAAGATTAATTATTCCCCTGTCAACATACTCCTAACAGTTGCTTCAATCAACTATAATAAAGGCTTAGAGAGATTAACAAGATTTCTGTTAATTCCCCTTAAATTACTTTTGGGAGTCAAAGTTGTTTTCCTAATCTACTGGAATACCTGATTTAATGTTATCCTGTCCTTTCTAAACAACAAAAACTCATATATTCTTTAAAGAAAAGGACTGACTTACAAATAAGAAAAATTTAATTTGTTTGCAGCCATTATTAACAGGGTATCACCTCTTTCTCGTACTACTGATAAAAACATACAGGAAACGTGAAACAGATGATAATGTTTTCCTTTCTTAGACTTCCAAATACTTGTGCAAGTTTTAGAGTTCAATTACAATTTTAAGAAATCCAATAAAATCATTGTGTCAACAACTAAAAGCAGGTAAAATAATAACTTTCTCATTGCAATTGCACTGTGATGTATCAAGTTAGTAAAGTGGGTTCAACATAACTTCCTAACAGTCATTTACGTATCAGCGGAACCACTCTTCCAGATACACACAGGTACTGAAAAAGAAACACTAAGAATAAAAGTGCTTGCATAAAGAATCAGCCTTGTTTAATACTGTTTTAAATCAGTAGTTAGGGATTAGTTATGCCACCTTGCACAGTTACTTCCTTGAAAAAAGGAAGAAATGCAATTCCTTTAAAATACACCCAATATGAAATAGAATTCACAGAGAAAAGTATCACAGACATTTGGATTGGCATAAAGATGCCAGTTAGGATACCTGCACACTAAGCTGGATTCTGGGAGTTCCAACTACAACCACACTGTTTTCATCTGATCCCAATGACAGCTTCCCACTAATGCGCACAAGATCAGCCCACAGTGATGTATTGAAGAGCTAGGTCCCTGCCCCCTCACAGAGATGACCTGAACACCTAGCTCCTACCTTCATCTTGGCCCTCCCCTGGCGTTTGAGAACTACACCAGTGGATAAGAGCTCTCCCTCTCTTTTTCTGCCTCTTAGAAAAATGAATCACTTTCAAATTACCTTTTTTCTTAAGTAAGAGTTGGAGGTTTTCAGAAGTTTCTCCACCTCTCCTGCGAGATCTCTGCACATCTCTGAGGAGCCCATGCAGCCGAGCGTACAGAGTGCGAGCCCCTGCACAAACTGCGTGCTGTGATTAAGGTCACTGCAAGAGAGAAAAAGAGGTGCTCACTGTGAAGAAACTTCACAATTTGACAAACCAGCTGAACAGGGCTCAGAATTTCTCTAAAACAATCCAAAGGATCAAAACGTTAATTTGTTACAGAAAATGCTGTCTCAATTTTATCAGAATTTATCAATACAGTTAAGACACTTCTGCCTTAAAATTCTTACAAATGTTTCCAAACACCAAAGCAGTAGACATGGGACAATGTATTATCTGTTGGATAACTAAAGGCATCCACTTTAAAAAGTAAAAAGTGGCCATGATTAAAACACAAAACAAAACTATCTTTAAAAGAGTCTTAATATGTTCCACTATTACTCACAACTAAAAGTAAAACGAGACATGAACCGAAATCCTTTTCTAGAAATTAGAAAACGCCATCTGTACTGCTAGCACACATCAGATAATAAACACGCCACACTGGAAATTCAGTTACCCCTTGACACCTTCAGTCTTATGCTTGAATTATTTAATATTAAATTAAATAATTTTATACTCCAGGAGCCAGGACATCCGCCCCAATTTCTTTTTTTTTTTTAAAGATTTATTTTTATTATTTTTTTTATTGGAAAGGCGGATATACAGAGAGGAGAGACAGAGAGGAAGGTCTTCCGTCCGATGATTCACTCCCCAAGTGAGCGCAACGGGCCGATACTATGCCGATCCGAAGCCAGGAGCCTCTTCTGGGTCTCCCACGCGGGTGCAGGCTCCCAAAGCCTTGGGCCGTCCTCGACTGCTTTCCCAGGCCACAGGCAGGGAGCTGGAAGGGAAGCGGGGCTGCCGGGATTAGAACCGGCGCCCATATGGGATCCCGGGCGTGCAAGGCGAGGACCTTTAACCACTTGCGCCACCGCGTCGGGCCCTGCCCCAATTTCTCATGTGGATGCAGGGACACCATCTGGGGTGGCAAGGACACGAGCACTTGAGCTCTCCTGCTGGGACTCAAACGAGCACTCCAATGCTAAATGCTGACGTCATAAGCAAAGCTGAGCCCTCTGTGCCATGATGCTGGCCCAAGGCCAGCTTTAACAAACTGTGGTAGGCTTTGGCAGACAACGACAGTGACTGCTAGTACGTATACACGATATCTTCAACAGGCAATGATTACCACATATAAAAATTCTAAACCAGTTAGGAAGTATACTTCAAAAAATGCTTCTTTTAAAGTTTGAACCAGTAAATTCATCTACGTACTATAATCAGCTCGCACTACTGAAAAGCTGACTTTAGCAGCTTTTAAATCATTTTAGTAACTTACTTTAAAAAATTTTTTTTATAAATTTTATTTTTTATAATGATTGCATGTGGGTCAGTGCAGAAAGGATCAAGGTTTAGGAAAAATTAGGTGTACTCTTGTTTCCAAATTTGCTATTTCTTCTTGTTGTTCCTGGGGGAAGGGAAATGACAAAGGGAGAAACCACTCTTGACTTTCCACATGTCCCAGTACTCAGGGATGAGGAACCACCACCTCATATCAACCCAGGGTCTCAATGTGTACATATTCCGAGCGTTCTGTCCAAGTGGTTTGGATAATTCTGAAATGCTGCTGATGTCACTGATCCAAGGATGATGTCACCTTCCCAGTCACTGAGATTTTCTGCTGTCATCGTTTCTTTGGCATGGTTGTCCAGTTAGTTCTGTGCTTCTGTTACGGCACCAAATGAGCTGCCATATTCTCCTTTTACCACAGCGCCTGTGTCCACTACTCCACCTTTTTCAATAAGTAGGACATGTTCTTGCAGGCAAGCCCAAGCACCCAGACCAGGCATCCCAAGCATTGCCGGATTCCCCACCCCTAGGGCTCACAAACCTGGCACCCAGTTCCCAGGACCCAGGCGAGGCAACCCAAGCATCGCCAGATTCCGCAACCCCCACCCCACAAACCCCTGGGGCTCATGAACCTGACACCTAACTAGTAGGACGGCCTTAGGACCTAGGCCAGGAGACTCAAGGCCCGCCAGATCCCCCAACCCTGAGGATCATGAACCCAACACACCCACCTAAAAGGGAGGCACCAGGATCTTGGTCAAGGGACCCAAACCCTACCAGTTCCCCTGTCCCCAGGGCTCAGGAACCTGGCCCCCACCCTTAGGCAAACCCCAGGACCTGAGCCAAGCTACCCAAGCCCTGTCAGATCCTCCGTCCCTGGGACTCATGAATCTATCCCCCACTGGGTCCAGGCTGGCATGACACGTCCCACCTCAGCATCCACAATTTTATTCCACAGCCTGGCCTAGTCTAGTCTGTCCCCTGTTCCAGCTCCTACTGGTGGGTGCTGCAGCTTATCCTATCCCAGTCTGATTGCTGTCCCGATCCTAATGTGAACTGGCTGGTGTGCAGACTGATCTGGCTCTCCTGCCCTTGCCCTGGTTTTCAAATCTGCCAGTGGGTGTTATGTGCTGGCCCAGACTGGTCTGTCTCCAGACCTGACCCACATGTATGCTATGCTGGCAGGTAGTGTAACACGGCATTGTCTCAGCTGCTTCTTGCCTTGCTTTTTTTTTTTTTTTTTTTTTTTTGTCATTTAAAAACTTTAATGCAGTTCCAGCAGATTCTCTTCACTTCAGCTCCTTCACCAACAGGCCTGGGGGAAGCAACTGCTTGAGCTTCTCGGCCTTTTCCTTGTCCATGATGACCAACGTGTACAGGTACCTGCTGCAGCGCACTTTGAACTTCACGTTGTCCTTGTTTTTCTTCATCTTGACATACTTGGCATCCTTGCGCCGCACTGTCAGCAGGAAGTCTTTGATCTCTTTGACTTTGTGGTGCATGGCAACGGGCGGCAGGCAGCACCGGGCAGCCAGACACCAGAGTGCCTTGCTTCTTGTGCTCACCTGAAGGAACTGCATCCCAATGAAGGAGTTTCCCTAAGCTCCTCCATCTAGTCTCCTCCCAGTGGCAGTTCTCATGCACACCAGTGGATCGCTGACCCAGGCTGACTTTGCCCACCTTCTGCCCTGGCAAGAACCGTAGCCTTGCTCAACTAGCAACACCCATTCTGGTTCTTGTTATTGGGTGTTACAGCCCAACAATACTGGCCCACAACCAGACACGGCTTTCACACAGTTCGGGGGAAGTCAAGACCTAGTCTGGTCTGTTCTACACCCAACCTGGTGTTCATGAGTGCCAGTAGGGGGTTGAAGTCCAGCGCAATCTAACGCTCCACAATCCCAGTACACACCCGCACCAGTGCAGTCTGTAGCCATGCCCAGCCAAGCCTACTGCCACCAATCCTACTTTTGCCCTCACCAGTGGGAACCCCAACCCAGCAAGGGTCCCCCGTACCTCCCCAGCAAGGCCTGACCCCACCCGCAGTTCTTTAGACGAGCCAGCAGAGACTGCAGTCCCACAGAAGTGAGCCCACATTTCCTCCACAGATCCTGCTATCAGACCCACTTCTCTCACTCTTTTTCTCCCCCTCAAAGCAATCTGCTGTCAGTCCTCTACTTAAATACACATCATAGATTTGTCTATGGAAGTCCCTCAGCTGTAATTCCTGACCTAGACACAAAAATCACAGGTCATCTCTCACTGCCACCTGTGTGATCCCATCCTTTCCCTGCAAATCAAGACCCCTCAATTAGAGTGCGCCATTTGCCCAGCGCCTTTGGCTGGGTCCGCCTGGGCACTTTGGCGCAGGAGGGGGGGAGGTGGGGACAGGGAAAGAAGTGAAGCCATGCGGCCTGGCTACAGGCACCAGTGAGGGTCAAAACACAAAATAACTTCCAGGATGAGGTGGTCCCAGAAGCCCGCTGAGCTTCCTTCCCCTGCAATATTTATTCTCAAAGTGTGGTTCACCAGTCTCAAGAAAATGCAGAAGATTATTTCAGAGTCCATCTGATTTGTGCTGTTGTCACAATCTTAATACACTATTTGTCAACTAAGTCAACAGTTGTGCCAGTGGGACATTAGAGCTATACCAGAGCACAAACGAAGTCAGGAGCACCATAATGAAGTCACGGCTATATACTCACAGCTTCATTTAAGAGTGCCAACCACAAAGCACTATAAAATCATTTTATCACCCCTCAACTCTATTGCTTAAAAGATTAATTTATGTATTTGAAAGAGATAGACAAAGAGAAACTCCAGCTGCTGGTTCATTCCCTAACCAGCCACAAGGACAGGCACCCAGGAAAGGCAGAGCCAGGAGCCTAGGCCTCCATGCAGGTCTCCCACAGCATGGCAGGGGTTCAAGGAATTGAGCCAGTGGATGGAAGTCACTCTTTCTTTCCAACAAATAAATTTTTTAAAGAAACAAGCAAAATGTCAATTAATAATGCTAAATTAAATCTATTTTATGACATAAGATTACTCACAAAAGTAAGTATATCAATTATGACTTCATCATTTAGGATTCCAGCTCCCAAAAGCATTTAGTGGAGTTTTAATTTTTCAATGATTATGAAGATTTTCAAAATATAAGCTCTTAAGTATCAGACCCAACTTAAGATTTGATTCCAAGGTCTGTGATAATTAAATATTTTTCTAAGCCAATGAGCAATGAGGCAAGCCCTCATTATTAAACATAAAGATTTCATTATGCCCTAATACAAACAAAACAAAACAAAAAAAAACCACCCAACAACAAAACTAAAAACCCCAGGACTTAAAAGATCACACACATGTTCATTAACAGATTAAAAAATGCAAGCCCAAAGTTGGATCTACCCCTGTTTGAGATCTGCTCTTGTTTTTTCTTAAATTTACTTTGTATTATGCTAGGATCATAAAAACTAAACCCAAGGATTTCTTCTTCATGTGCGTGCCTCATTTTTCCATCTTTATCGTGCTACAAACCTGTGCTTAAGTTTGCTATTAACTCCAACACAAACTCACTGCCAGGTAGAACTGCCAAATTATCAGCATGTGACTGAGAGCCTGAGTAAGGGCACCAGAGCGTGCAAGAACAAAAGTTAAAGAAACGCTTGGAAGACCTGGCCAGAGAAAGCACAGAAGAATCATGCTGAACACCTGGAACGTACCCTTCACGACATCAAGGACTTCTCTCCTTTGTTTCTATCCTAGTGTTTGCAATAGTTCCTGGTACTTAGCACATGTGCAGTAAATATTTATTCAAAAAAAAAAAAGAATTAAGATACAATTTTCATTATTAACATACTTCACAGCCAAGAAAATAAAAATTCTCCTAAAATGAATCCAAAGATGTCCTGTATTTAAACACTTCACTTTGGGACTAGCACCTGGGGCAGAGTATGCAAAGCTGTGGCCTGTAGCGCCAACATCCTATTTGGGGGCCAGTTTGTTTCCTGGTTGCTATACTTCATGATCCAACTCCCTGCTAACCAGTCTGGGGAAGCAGCAGAGGATGGCCCAAGTCCCTGGGCCCCTGCACCACATAGGAGGCCTGGAAGAAGCTCCTGGCTGTTAGCTTCAGACTGGCTCAGCCCTGGCGACTGTTTCCATCTGGGGGGTGAGCCAGCTCTGTTTCTCTTTGTCTCTCTATAACCCTTTCTAGTAAATAAAAAAGCATTTTTAAAAATGCTACACTTTCTCATTACAACAAAATAATAATAATTAATTATTTTGGAGCTTTCCATTATTCACTGGAAAATTTAAAGTAGAACACAATTACCACAAAAAAGTACAAGTTTTCAAACTCCACATTTGATCACCAATATCCCGATTCTACTATCAAAAACAGAAATACTGTAAATAAAAAAGAAGTCCAAAATGGCAGTTAAAAGCTCAAAACAAAGTAAAACCAAAACCAGACATTATTTGCAAGTATTTAAGTCCATCAGAATATCAGTAGCTTTTCAATAGAAAACTGTAACAGAGATGATGGAAAGAACTTAATTTCATGTCTGTCAATTCCTCCATCTTGCAAGTATTCTTCCATTTGTAACAAAGTTAAACAAGCATAACTCGTGCATCAGTAAAGGAGGTATTAAGGAGAAGGGCTATTTACAAAAATCCACAGGGCTAAGTAAAATTCCATGCAAGTAAAATCTCAGGTGGATTAAACGGCTGACAAGCAAGACTACTCTTTTTACCTCTATATATGTAATATAAACAGTAATTTTTTTGAGAAATGAGAAGCTTCATTTATTTATAACATTCAATAGCCTGGAAAAACAAGAAATCTGAAAGTTTACAAATCCTTTTCTATGACAGCCCAAGTGTTTATTTCATCGTTAACTTAAGTTCTTATGCCTGAAGATACAGATACACAACAATGCCTACCTTTAATTAAATATACCTTCTACAAAGCATATTAGCTATCACTAAAGAGAAAATCAATAGTAGGAGCTCCTGATGTACTGGTATAACACCTAAAAAATTCTTGAAAGGAAAGGTAAAACTTACTTCTTAATACAGTTTGTCATGAGAAGATGGACATCTTGTCTTTCATCTAAAAGCAGCATTGCCCCTAAATAGCCAATGCGTTTGTCTGTAAATTTCTGAGATGCAATAAGCTTGAGGCACTCCAACTACCAAGAAAGAAAAAGGGGTGGGGAAGAAATTAAGAAGTTGTTACCATCATTAACAAAGCAATATTTTTATTCAAATTCCCAGATGACTGAAGTATAAACTATCATCAAATTACCTAAAGAAAAGGCAAATATGCAAGACCTTTGGGGATCCTGATAACAGTACTCAAATTCTAGAATAACAAGGCCACATGCCATTTTAAGAATCCAAAAGTTTTACTTTAGCTCTACATTTCTAAAAACACAAACTTATTAACCACTGTGACAGACACAAAGAAACCCAAAATTCCAAATACTATCCCTCCGTTACACTGACTGAGCACCTAAAACACATATGTGTTCACGTGTGCTTCACATATCAAGAATCAAAAAGTTCAGTGGCTGGAAACACATCAAAGTGTCAAACACTGTCCTAAAGATCAAGAACATGTAATTAATTTAAAAAGAAACAGACAATAACTAACTTAATACACTTGGGGCTTTTAAGCACTATGAGGAAGGATCTTTTGTTTCCTATATTTTTCATTCACTTTTATTATTTTACTAATTTTCACTTGACAGTCAGGGTTACAGAGAGAGATGGAGAGAGATCTTCCATCCGCCAACCCACTCCCAAAATGGCTATAATGGCCAGACGAGAGCTGACCTGAAGCTGGAAGCCAAGAGTGTCCTCCAGATCTCCCACATGCATGCAGCATCCCATCCCTTTAATGAGCAACTATAAATACACACATATCCTGGGCCCAGCACCGTGGCCAAGTGGCTAAAGTCCTCACCTTGAACGCGCCGGGATCCCATATGGGATCCCACTTCCCTTCCAGCTCCCTGCCTATGGCCTGAGAAAACAGTCGAGGACGGCCCAAAGCCTTGGGACCCTGCACCCGTGTGAGAGACCAAGAAGCTCCTGGCTCCTGGCTTTGGATCGGCGCAGTACCAGCCGTTGCGCTCACTTGGGGAGTGAATCATCGGACAGAAGATCTTTGTCTCTTCTCCTCTCTATATGTCTGACTTTGCAATAAAAATAAATAAATCTTAAAAAAATATAGAGAGAGGAAGAAAAAAAACTTAGTAGTGGAGTTAAGGTATTTTATGATTTACTTATATAACTGTCCAGGCTTAAAACTCCTCACAGTTAAAGAGTTGTCTCCTTTCTAGAAAGTTACCAACACTTTCATATACTTTTATCACTCCAACACGACAAATAATAAAAAGGTCAAACATTCCATGTGGAACAGCAGTTTTCCAAGGGCATCCACAAGTCTGACTCTCCAAGAAGAGCTTTCAAAACCAAGAACCAGGTGGCCAGCAAGGAGGCTTAGAGGATAATCCTCCGCCTGCAGTGCCGGCATCACATATGGGTACCGGTCCATGTCCCAGCTGTTCCATTCCCAATCCAGCTCCCTGCCTGCGGCCTGGGAGAGCACTGGAGGATAGCTAAGGTCTTTGAGCCCCTGCATCCACATGGGAGATCCAGACAAGAAGCACCTGCTTTCAAACTGGTTCAGCTCTGACTGTTGCTGCTGCTGCCTGGAAAGTAAACCAGTAGATGGAAGATTTTTCTAACTCTCCTTCTCTCCAAAACTGTCTTTCAAATAAAAATAAATACATCTTTTAAAATACGTATATTTAGGAGGTCAGGTTTGTGACACAGTGAGGTAAGCCACCACCTACAACTTCAGTATCCCATACGGTCCAGGCTGCTGCTGTGGCTACTCCACGTCTGATCCAGCTCCCTGCTGAAGGTCTGGGGAAAGAAGTGGAGTCTGAGTCGCGTGCTTGGAGCCCCGACAGCCTTGTGGGAGACCCGGAAGAAGTTCCCTAGCTGTTGGCTTTGGCTTGACCCAGCCCTGATCACTGAGGCCACCTGAGGAATAACCTGCAGATAAAGATCTCATTCTTTCTTTCTCTTTCTCTCTTCCAGCCTCTTTCAAGCAGATAAACGAATCTTTAAAAATATGTAAAAAATGTTTTAAAAATTAAGTTATCCTTTATAAACATGAATCAGAAAGGAAGCAGCAATAATTGACAATAAGATCATACAAAAATATTTTCTAATATAAATTTATCTATTAGGTTTAAAAAGTCAAACAGGAAAGCAAAACAATACTTTTCCAATTTATGTGCATTTAGAAACACCTATGGTTCATGAATGCCTATACTGCTGCGAAGCACATGATTCAAACAGAGAACAACCTGGATCAAAAAAGAAAACTCAGGGCTGAAACTATGGTATAGTAGGTTAAGCCTCCACCTGTGACACCAGCCTTTCATATGGACACTGGTTCAAACCCAGCTGCTCTGCTTCTGATCCAGTTCATTGCTATTGTGCCCAGGAAAGCAGCAGAGGATGGCCCAAAGCCTTGGAACCCTGCACCTGCGTGGCAGACCCAGAAGAAGCTCCTGGCTCCGGGTTTCAGACTGCCTGAGCTCCAGCCATTACAGCCACTTGGGGAGTGAACCAGCAGATGGAATATCGTTCTCGCTGTCTCTCCTTCTCTCTGTAAATCTGATTTTTCAATAATAAAATAAATCTTTAAAAAAAAAGATGCATGTATACAACAGAAATCAGTCACTAACCCACTAAACCAGCTTAACCAGCTTTATCAAATTTTAACACTTTATCTTGTTTATTTTAATATTACAACTTAAACAAGACCTCTGTATATCAAGTCTCAATTCCATTTCCCTTTTCTCCTAGAAGTAATCAAACTCCAAAACAGCTGTTAATCTCAACTGTGCCTTAGGACCCTTAATATACATGTGAAGTTGAGTGGGCTTAAGGTTTTCTCAAGTTTTATTTGAGAAAGAAAATTTCATCTGCTCTGTCACTCCCCAGTGCCTGCAAGGGCCGGAGGCTGAAGCCAGGAATTCAAACCGACTGCCTGAGTGATCTCATCACCCTGCAGCACGCACACAAGCAAGAGGCTGAAACCAGAAATCCAAGCTGGGAGTTCTACCTAGCCACTTCAACACTCAGCCAATAAAACAAATACCCACTACCAAAAGTAGTTTCAGCAGTTTCAAAATTTATAAAATTTTGAATATACAGTATAATTGATTTTCATCCAAATACCTTTCAGTTTTATTCACAATAAGAAGCATTAATATGGGACTGGTACATGATGTCACAGGCTAATAATCCGCCACCTGCTAGTGCGAGCACCCTGGGTCACTTCCAGGCTGCTCTACTTCTATCCGGCGCCCTGCTTTTGGCCTGGGAAAGCAGCACAGGATGGCCCCACCCTTGTACTCACACACCCACGTGGGAAGACAGAGAGGAAGCACCTGGCTCCTAGCTTTAGATCAGCTCAGCCCTGGCTGTTACAACCATTTAGGGAGTGAACCAATGAATGGAAGACTTTTCTCTCTCTTCTCTTTGCAAAAAAAAAAAAAAAAAAAAAAAAAAAAAAGATCAGCTCAGTTGTGGCTGTTGTAGCCACTTGGGGAGTGTGAATCAGTTTATGGAAGATGTTTCTCTCTGTATCTCCTTCTCTCTCTAAATCTGCCTTTTCAATAAATGTTTTTTAAAAAGAACTTTATGGGCTCAGCACCATGGCCTAGCAGCTAAAGTCCTCGCCTTGAACGTGCCAGGATCCTATATGGGTGCCGGTTCTAGTCCCGGCAGCTCCACTTCCCATCCAGCTCCCTGCCTGTGGCCTGGGAAAGCAGTCGAGGACAGCCCAAAGCCTTGGGACCCTGTACCTACATGGGAGACCCGGAGGAAGTTCCTGGCTCCTGGCTTTAGATCGGCACAGCACCAGCCGTTGCACTCACTTGGGGAGTGAATCATCGGATGGAAGATCTTCCTCTCTATCTCTCCTCCTCTCTGCGTATCTGACTTTGCAATAAAAATAAATAAATCTTAAAAAGAAAGAAAGAAACAGAAGGGAAGGAAGGAAAAAAATGGCTTTCAAATAAAAATGAATGAATTTATTTTAAAAAGATACATTAATTCATATTCACATTATATACTAACCCACTCATATCAGCTTGCCTAGACCCAGCACAATAGCCTAATGGCTAAATTCTTGCCTTGCATGCGCCAGGAGCCCATATGAGTGCCAGTTCGTGGCCCTGCTCGCTGCTCCGCTTGCCATCCAGCTCCCTGTTTGTGGCCTGGAAAAGCGGTAGAGGACAGCCCAAAGCCATAGGACTCTGCACCTCCTTGGGAGACCCAAAAGCAGCTCCTGGCTCCTGGCTTCGAATCAGTTCAGCACCAACCACTGCAGCCACTTAGGCAGCGAATCAGTAGACAAATGAAGATCTTTCTCTGTATCACCTCTGTATCACCTTTCTCTGTATGTTTGTCTTTCTAATAAAAATAAATCTTTAATAAATAAATAAAAAAGTATCAGCTTGCCTGCTTTTTTTGAGGACAGATAACTCAACTGGTTTACAACCAAAATGGCCACAACAGTCAGGATTTTGCCAAGACAAGACCAAAAGCCAGGAATTCTATCCTGGGTCTTCCATATGTGTGGTAAGGTCTCAAGCTCTTGGGCCATCATCCATTGCCTTCGTAGGTACAACAGCAAGACACTGGATCCGAAGCAGAGCAGCCAGGACTCCATCAGCACTCCAGTAGGGGACGGTGACAGCACAAGGGGTGGTTTAACCCACTGCAACACAATGCAACGCCAGACCCTGAACCGATCTTACAAACTTATCATTTAAAACTTCAGAGTTTTAGACTTAAAGCCACTATTATCTTTTATATGAATGAGATGCATTTCAATGAATGTATTACACTTTTTAAAAATTCATGGGAGTCAACACTGCTTCAATGCTGGCATCCCAACATGGGCACCTATTAAATCCTGCATATAGAGAAAAAAATTAAGAAAACATCTAGCATATCTTTCTTGACTACTGATTATAGTCCAAGCAAGCCCTTTGGCAGAATAACTGCAATCCACTGGTTAATCCTCATCAAGCTGGAGGCCACCGCCAAAGCATCCTCTGCTCTACATGAGTCTCAATGGACAGGACACAGAAGGTAATATCGCACCTTTCAGATCTGCTGCTTTCCCTCACTCCTGCCTTCAGTTCCTCTGTGATCAAACTGCAAGACTACCAAACCTCCTCTCTTCACGGAACTAACAACCCCCAAGCAACAGCACCATCCAAGACTGCCTCTGCTGGCAGCCATCTCAGACCAGCCTACCTGGCCAAAGTGAGCAGGGTAGCCCAGCATGTGCATGTAGAGCAGTTTTGCCACATTCCGACATCGGTATGTATTGTCTTCTTCCCTAAAGGACGAGCGGATGGCAGCACACTCCTTCTGGATCATCTCTCGCTCCTCAGCTTGGGTTCGGGCTGTCCGGATGGTCCGGATCAGCTCCCGCAATCTGATGGGGGCTGGCATTCTCTGCACGTGGAAAGACAGTAAACAGAGAGGGTCACATGTTTACACTCTCAGAAGTGTCCACACAACTTCCCAAATCAACTTTCATCTGATTTATAAAAATGCAAGAATTCCCAGGTCCAGCTTGACTAAGCTAAACAGACTTGCTAAACATGCCATCATAAACCAAATTCTCAATTCAGTAAGTTCCTGGGAATGGTATAAACAAAAATGTTGTGTAGTAAATTAAGCAAAGTAAGACAAAGAACTCACCAACACGCAAAGTCTACCACTAATATCAAAATAAGAACTATGCCAACACAATTGGTTTTCAATCCTTCATGTAATAAAGAAAAACCATATATGACCCTATGTCAAAGGTATTTCTGCTCAACTGCTATCAAACTACAAACTACAGATGGATACAGTCACACCCACAGCTCAGTTCAACAAAACAGCAAATGAGCAGGGAAGACGAATTATCAAATTTAAAAATATCTAACAAGGACGCTATCTCAGTCTATATAGCATGAACATACTCTGAAAATGAAAAAAGCCAACCTCAGGGAATAAGACTGTCAATATCATGAAGGTTTTTAAAAATGAAAACGGCCCAATGTGGCTAAATCCTCACCTTACAACTGCCAGGATCTGATACAGGTACCAGTTCCTGTCCTGGCAGTTCCACTTCCCTTCCAGCTCCTTGCTTGTGGACTACAAAAGCAGTCAAGGATGGCCCAAAGCCTTGGGACCCTAAACACTCCCTCTCCAGTGGGAGACCCATAAGCTCCTGGCTCCTGTCTTTGGATTGGCTCAGTTCCAGCCTTTGCGGCCATGTGGGTAGTGAATCAGCAGATGAAATATCATTGCCTCTGTCTCTCCTTTCTGTAAATCTGCTTTTCCATTAAAAATAAATAAAACTTAAAAAAAACAGTGCTCACACTAGAACTACAATGACTTGCAGGTGGGGGAGAGGGACGCGTTTCCACTAACCCTAAGCTCACATGGTAAAAAAAAGAAGAGGGGGGATGGAACCAAACACCAAAGCTAAAGCAAAAATCTTACAGTAGGAAACACAGAAAAAAACCTTTCTGAATTCAGATTAAATAGACTTCTTATATAACCACAAAATACAAATGAAACCCTGATAGATTTTATAAAAATTGAAAGCTTTTGTGTCTCAGAAGACAAATCTGTAAAAATGAGAAAAGCCACAGAAGGAAAACTTTCAAACTAAAAAAACTTACAAAGGATTTCTATGCACCACATATAAATTTTACAATTCAGAGCCTGGCACAATGGCTCAGTGGCTAAATCCTCACCTTGCAAGCACCAGCATTCTATATAGGCGCCAGTTCTAATCCCAACAGCTCCACTTCCCATCCAGCTCTCTGCTTGTGGCCTGGGAAAGCAGCCCAGGATGGCCCAAAGCCTTGGGACCCTGCACCCACGTGGGAGACCCGGAAGACGTTTGTCTCCTGGCTTAGAATGGGCCCTGCTCCAGCCATTGTGACCAATGGGGAGGGAATCATCGGATGAAAGCTACATATTTCTGTCTCCTCTCTATCAATCTTTCCAACAAAAATAAATAAGATATTTGAAATAAATACATTTTACAATTCAGTTATAAGACAATCATTTGAAAGTGGGGACAGATGCTGAGCACAGCTGTTTAGACACTGTTTAGATACCCACACCCCACTCCTGAGTACCTGGCGTTGAGTAGGCTTCTAACTGCAGCTTGTTGCTAATGTGTGCCCTGGAGGAGGCAGGTGATGGCTAGGAACTGGTCCCTGCCCCCTATGCAGGGAACCCAGATCAAATTTCTGATACCTGGCTTTAGTCTGGCCCAGTTCCAAATGTTGTTGCAATTTGAAGAGTGAACTAGCAAGATCACTTTCTCTTTTAAATTTAGTCAAAATTTTAAAGTGAATAAAAGATACAAATTCAGAAAAAGATACACTAATAATCACAAAACAATGCATAGCATCCTTAATTATCAGAAAAACACAAATACCACAAATTACAGTGGAAGCTACCTGACGCCATCAGGAGGGCTACAGCTGAGCACTGACCGGGTCAAGCATTTCAAGGCAGCAAAGACACTACTGCCCCTCAGGGCACTCCGCGTCAGCATCTGGCAGGAGTTCTTGACTCCAGTTTCCCGCTAACACGGACACTGCAGGGCTCGAGGTAACTGGGAGCCTGCCACTCACATGGGAAAGGTCGGAACTGAATTCCCAGCTGCGGCCCAGGCTGGTTCAGCCCCAGCGCTGCAGGTATCTGCGGGCTGAACCAGCAGGGAGATCAGCTCTACCAAGTAGTGACAACGATACAGAACTGAGTTTCCAAAAACTATTAACAGAAATAAAACTTATGCCAGTACCTTGGAAGAGCTTGTAGTTTGTATAAATTTAAACATATGTCAGACTATGACTCAAGAAATAAACAGAAGTTTTCATGCAAGAGAAGTACCAAACTATTAAGAACAAAAACATGTTTTCACCAAGACTTGTCTAATTTATACTGACAAAGACTTCACTCACAACTGTTAAAACCGGAAACACCCCAAAGGTCCATAAGCAGGTAAATGATTGGATGTATCCATAATGAAATACTTCTCATATGAAAATGAATCAATTTGCAATACAGAAAACTTGAGCAAGAAAAAAAAAACATTCTGGGGCCCAGCACGGTAGCCTAGTGGCTGAAGTTCTCGCCTTGCATGCAGCAGCATTCCACATGGGCACTAGATCTAATCGCAGTGGTCTAACTTCCCATCCAGCTCCCTGCTTGTGGCCTGAGAAAGCAGCAGAGGACGGCCCAAAGCTTAGGGATCCTGCACCCGCGTGGGAGACTGAGAAGAAGCTCCGGGCTCCTGGCTTTGAATAGGCTTACCTAGACCTACAGTTGTCTCCATACTTTAAAAATCAATATTACATGTATAGGTGAAATTACATGATTGCCAGGATTCATTTTAAAATACTCCAGATATGACCAATAGTTGTTGCACCATGAGTTAACCCACAGGTTACAGCACCTTCATCTCATGTTGAGTCCTGGGGTTTAAATTCTGGCTGCTGCACTTCTGGTCCAGTTCCTTGCTTAAGCACCTAGGAAAGTCAAAGGGCGCTCAAGTGTTTGGGTTCCTACGGCCCAATGGGAGACCAGAGCAAGGTGCTGACTAAACCTTGGGCAGCTAGAGAACGAACCAACAGATCTCTCTCTCTCCCCCTCTAAATTTCTCTCCCTCCCCACCCCCACACCTGCCCCCGATTCTACCTCTTTCTCTGTAATTCTGCCTTTTATATAAATAAGGACTGGCAGTGTGACATGATACGCAGTCACTGCCTGCAGTGCCAGTATCCCACATAGGCACCAAATGAAGACCCAGCTTCTGCACTTCCAACCCAGGTCCCTGCTAAGTGTGCCTGGGATACCAATGGGAGATGGTCCCAGAGCTAGGGCCCTACAGCCATGTGGGAGGTTCAGAGGAGATCGGACTCCTGCTTTGGTCTGGCCCATCCCTGCCACTGCAACCTTCTGGGGAGTGACCCAGAGGATGGAAGATACCTCTGTCTCTTTCTCTCTCTGAATTTCTTTTTCAAATAAATAAATACTTATATCAATTAATCTATTAATTAATACCTAATGATTTCTGAAAAACTACCAGGGGAAAAAGTCTTGGGGGTCAGCACTGTAAAGTAAATTAAACTCACAATTGCAATGCCCTCATTTCATACGGGAGCCACTTCAAGTCTCAGCTTTTCCAGTAAAGCTTCCTGCTAGAGTAGCTGGGACAATAGCACAAGATGGTACAAATAACTGAGTTTCAGAACCTTTGCAGGCCTAGATGGAGTTACAAGCTCTTGGTCTCAGCCTGGACCAAACCAAGACGTGGAGGCCATTTGGGGAGTGAGCCAATGTGTGAAAGATCTCTTTCTCTGTAATTCTGCCTTAAATGGCACAGTGACTAAATCCTCACTTTGCAAACACCATATGAGCGCTGGTTTGGGTCCCAGCTACTCCCCTTCCTTTCCAGCTCCCTGCCTGTGGCCTGGGAAAGCAGTCGAGGATGGCCCAAAGCCTTGGGACCCTGCACCCACGTGGGAGACCTAGACAAACAAGCTCCTGGATCCTGGTTTCAGATCAGCTCAACTCTGGCCGTTGCAACCATTACGGGAGTGAATCAAAGGATAAAAGATCTTTCTCTTTGTCTGTGGATAAATCTGATCTGCCTTTCCAATAAAAATAAATCTTAAAAAAAATTATTACTTCATGCCAACTTGTACAGCAAGAACACTAACCTGTAGGCACTGTCTTAAGAAATCATGGACGATGACAGGTCCACACTTACAGGGAGTCTGTACAGTAACTAATGGAATCTGTCCCCTCTACCACACCAGCAGTCTGTTTACTGAGAGGGACATTAAAAGCCTATGCTCGGGGGACCCAGCGCGATGGCACAGTGGTTGGGGTCCTCGCCTTGCACGCCCAGGATCCCATGCGGGCGCCAGTTCTACTCCCAACAGCCCTGCTTCCCATCCAGCTCCCTGCTTGTGGCCTGGGAAAGCAGTCGAGGACGGCCCAAATCCTTGAGACCCTGCACCCATGTGAGAGACCTGGAAGAAGCTCCAAGCTCCTGGCTTCAGATAGGCACAGCTCCAGCCGTTCCAACCATCACAGGAGTGAATCAACAGATGAAAGACCTCCTCTGTCTCTTCTCCTCCTCTCTGTACATCTATCTTTTTCAATTTAAAAATTAAATTAGGGTCCAGCGCTGTGGCCTAGCAGCTAAAGTCCTCACCTAGAACGCGCCGAGATCAGGTTCTAATCCCAGCAGCTCCACTTCCCATCCAGCTCCCTGCTTGTGGCCTGGGAAAGCAGTCGAGGACAGCCCAAAGCCTTGGGACCCTGCACCCACGTGGGAGACCTGGAGGAAGTTCCAGGATCCTGGCTTCAGATCAGCGTAGCACTGGTCGTTGCAGTCACTTGGAACCACTTGAATCATCGGATGGAAGATC